CCCCCCCGCCCCCGGGGACTCCTCATGATTCTGCATCATTAGGTCGTCGTGTCGCCCAGTGCCTGACGGGGACGGGCGACGGAGGTCCTGGTTATCACTAGTCCCGCCGGGTCGCTACATAGAAAAAGGAGGAAAAGACGGGATGGGAGAAGGCGTGTCAAGACGCCGCATTCACACGACTTTCTTTAGTTGACGAATCGGAAAGGAGGCAGCGCGGCGGTAGGCAGCTTGACCTTTTTCTTGTCCTTTCGGTCCTTTTGGGGGGCGGCATCGACTGAGATGGCGGCCGAGGGGCGGCGAGACTCGCTCGGGCGGGGGGAGGAGGAGGAGGAGGAGGAAGTGCGGCGGGATCCGAGCATTTCGGCAAAGACTCTCTTGGACGAGGCGCGGTCGAAGATGTGAGGGGATGAGACGGGGCCGTAGGCGTTGAGGGCCTGCTGGGCTTGGATGGTGGCGGCGTTCATTTTTGGCCGGCGGGATGGGGATGCAGATGTGCCGTGGTTTGCGGATAGTAGAAGGGGCGTTGGAAAGGACTTTGGAGTAGGAACTTGTCTTGTGAGTGTGTGTGTGTATACGTGTGAGTGAGTGAGTGAGAGGTTTGTGGTGGATGAGGAGGGCTGGCAGATACTTGTACTTTATGACCCGAGGGGATTGCTGTACATGACATGACGTGGCCGTCCAAGCCTGAGGAGAACTGAACCATGTACAGTCTGAGTCCGGTTGGCTGAATTGTTGGCGATGTCTCGCCTGCTTTGCTTGTTGGTGGGTGGAGAGCCGCACACAAGAGGCCTCACCTCACAGTATGTATGTATGTATGACCATGACCACACAATGGCACGCTCGAAGACGAAGTAGCGCTGCTGCTGCTGCTGCCTCGGGACGCACGACCGCTTCTTTCATCCCTTGTCGTACATAATACTAAACGGCACGGCCAACCCATGGCGCCGCGCCGGGAAGGGGGGCGTGTCCGAAAAAGCAGACAGGCTCCTTCGATCGATCCGAGCTGCAAGGGACCACGAGGCGGCGGGTGACTCACGCCGTTGGGGGGGGGGCACGGAAAAATCTGTCGTCCCACGTGCTGGGGGGCGCCGGTTCCTGCTGTGCGTCTGCCGGTCTTGTCTTGTGGGAGGAGACATCTCCCTCATCCTGTGACGGGTCAAGGAATTTTTTCGTCGTCTTTTTTTAGTTTCTTGCAATAAGTGGAGCCGCTGCCCGGCCGTTGCTCACTGACGACGGCGGCGGCAATAATCGATGCGCGATGCCAGCCGAAGCCAGCCGCTGGCAAGGAGGTTGCGTGCCGCGCGGGCCGTTTTTCCCCCTCGGTCCGCGCATGCAGGCGGTTGCGTTGCAGTCGACTTGGCAAATGGTGGTGCCTAAGAGAAAGGGAGGAGGAAAATATTTCCTGCTCAAGGAAAATATTTCCTGCTTGAGGAAAATATTTCCTGTTTGAGGCTGCGTGTGAGTGCTGGATGATTTGATTTTTTTTTTTGTGTGGCGGGGCCGGAGCAAAGTGGGGCCCAGCGCCGGACTTGCTCCGGACCAGACGGCCGCTTGGGCTGCGCCGCTCCGTGACACGGGTTCAGCGTTGCCTTGGTGGACGGGACGAGCACCCCGTGCAAGCCTCGATGAGTGTTCTTTGCTGGGCAGTCGGTCTGGTGCCCTCTTCAAAGGTCTGTTTCGTGGGATGGCACGCGCTCGTGTGGCAGCACTGCTTTGCTGCTGGGCCATCGAGCGGCCCGCGTCCCTGCCGGTCTCGGTAACATGTTATGTCCATCGCCGTCGCCGTCAAAACACAGTCACAGGCCCAGTCTCGTCCCAGTCGCAGTCACAGTCACAGTCGCAGTCAACACGGCAAGTGGGCCTGCAAGGTGTCTCGTCGTCCGCTCAGCCAAACAGATCGGACTGTTGCCCGTCCCGGACTCCCTGCCGTGCGGCCCAACTATTCATCCCACTCCAGCGCAGTTCCTTCACATATCCTCGCACACACATCACGAGCAAGGCCTTGGGTGAAATGCCGGAAAACGGCCCCAGTCATGACGCCAAGGTTTCCGCAGACGCGCCCTGGGCTCCCGTGAACCAAGGAAGGCTGCCTGCACTTACGTAAATGTCTACTACGGAGTGTCATGTCCGATTCGGCCCAGAGCCAGGCGCATCGTCTTCACGTTGACGGTACAAAACACAATGTAAGTCGGTGTAAACTCATCCGTCCCATCCTTCCTGCCCCTCGCCATTGGATGCTCGCTGCGAGTTGGAGTCGGACGGACGACTATGACAAAGTGGCGGCTGCTTTAGATATACACAAACTACCACATCCATCATTTAGCAGACCCATGAGAGAGGGTAATCAAAGCAGTCCAATCTCAACTGTCCCTGGTGCTGCACAGGAGTTATCGAGACAGATTAGGTACCCAAGTTAAAAGCATAAGGTCGGCTCACTCCCGGGTAGGCCTGGTCGGTGGAGTGGACGAGGTCTAGTGGGGCTGGGTCGCCCGCCAACCAATCAACCAGCTCCCCACCCGCTGTTTCGCGACAAGCGTATCGATAAGCCATAATATTCAGACTGACCGAAAATTTTGGGAGTCGAGCACGACACCATGGCAACCATGGAGCAACAAGTGCACAAGCCGCATCGCAAGTCCAAGGAGAAGAAGAAACACTCGGGAGGTGAGGCTGTTGCTTTCTCCAGTCCTGACATCTGCAGCGATTGGAACCGGACTAGATACTGACCGAGGCGCAGACCATAACCCCAAAGCCTTCGCCTTCTCCAACCCAGGAAAACTGCAGCGAAGTGCAGCCAGATCCCAGGATGTACGCTTGTCTCGCGCCCCGTCAAGCATTCTACTCGTCTCCCCCTCCCCTGACACTTGACACTTCGTGCAGATAAGAGAAAAGCGCCTTCATGTGCCGCTCGTCGACCGGCTTCCCGATGAAGCGCCGCCTCGTCTCGTGGCCATCGTCGGCCCGCCTGGCGTCGGCAAGACTACACTTCTAAAGTCAATGGTTCGCCGCTACACAAAGGAGACCTTGTCAGACCCCCAGGGACCAATAACCGTCGTCACCTCAAAAAAACAAAGGTTGACCTTCGTCGAATGCCCCAACCAGATGGAAGCCATGGTCGACGTCGCAAAAGTGGCAGACATTGTCCTGCTCATGATTGACGGCAATTATGGGTTTGAAATGGAGACGATGGAGTTCCTCAATGTGCTTGCCGCCACGGGCATGCCCGGAAATGTCTTTGGCATCCTCACCCATCTGGATCTTTTCCGCAAGCCACAGGCCCTGAAAGACGCCAAGAAGAGGTTGAAACGCCGACTTTGGACCGAGCTGTACCAAGGCGCCCACCTCTTCTATCTGTCTGGCGTGATCAACGGCCGATATCCCGATCGCGAGATTCACAACCTGTCACGCTTCGTGTCCGTCATGAAGAACCCTCGGCCTCTTGTGTGGCGCAACAACCACCCCTACGCCGTTGTGGATAGCTTCCGCGACATAACGCATCCGACCAAGATCGAGCAAGATCCCAACTGCGACCGTTCCATTGTTCTGTCTGGGTATTTGCGAGGAACCAACTTTGCGGCACAGGGACAACGAGTACACGTTGCTGGGCTTGGAGACTTTACGGTTGCCAACATGGAAGTCCTCCCGGACCCCTGCCCGACGCCCTTCATGGAACAAGCGCTGGCTAAGATAACGGGGAAAACTGGTCGACGGCGGCTGGACGAGAAGGAGAAGAAACTGCATGCTCCCATGTCGGATCGAAGTGGCCTGAAGATTGATGGCGATGCCATCTGGATCACCAGGGAAAAGGGCTTCAGTTTCGACAAGGATGCAGAAGGCGTTGAAAGGGGCGAGGGTGAGGAGATGATTGTCGGTCTTCAGGCGGAGCGACGTTTGTTGGGTCAGATGGAACATGGCGTCCAGTTGTTCTCTGGCGGTGAGAAACTGAACGAGGTGACCGAGGAAGAAGACACCGGCCGCAAAACGCAACGTCAAGCGAGGATTGCCGAAAGAAATGAGTCCGACGTCGAGGATGAAGGCATGGACGGCGACGACAGTGAGGAAGAAGACGAGGGCTTCGTCAGCGGGAGCGATGACGAGGGCTCTGAGGCCGAGGCCGAGTTCCACGAGGGCAAAGTGGGCAAAATGTTCCGCAAAAATGTTGAAAAGTCCAATGGAGAGGATGACGTTGCGTTCGCCGACAGCGACTCAGATCTGGGGTCCATATCTGGAGACGACATGGACGCGGACATGGACGAGGATGAGGAGTTTGACTCTGGTGAAGAAGCCGCCGGCATTCGTTGGAAGGACGGCCTGGCAGATCGGGCTCGCAAGATGCACGGAAAGAGACGGACGTACCATACCGGCGATTTGGCAAGATACATTTACGATGATTCAATGACCCCCGAGGAGGCTCTGAAGCGATGGAGAGGCGAAGACGATGAGGCCGAAGAGGAGAACATCGAGGATTCAGACGATGACGATTTCTTCAAGAAGACGTCGCAGGAGAAGGAAGACTCGACCGAAGACCGCTTAATACCAGAGTACGACTACGACGATCTGGCGGCCAAGTGGGCGGAGCGAGACAATATCGAGGCCCTGCGTAGGAGATTTACCACCTCTGGCCTTGGAGGAGACGACGACGAGGAAGAGGGCGACGTTGACGGAGACGACGGTGACTTTGATGGCTTCGGGGACGACGATGACGAAGGCGACGGCGTCTTCGAGGATCTGGAAGCACGGCCCGCCGAAAAGGGACCAGAGACAGCCGAGGACATCGCCGCCGAGCGCCAAAGGAACGCCAAGCGTAAAGAAGAGCTCAGGCAGCGTTTTGAGGAGGAGGACAGAGAAGGTTTCCTCAACGACAAGGCCAACGCCCGCAGAGAAGGCGGTGACGTTCAAGAGTACGGCGAAGACGACTGGTACGATGCTCAAAAGGCCATGATCCAGAAGCAGCTCGACATCAACAAGGAGGAGTTTGAGACGCTTGACGAGCGACAGCGCGCAGCCGTCGAGGGCTACCGCGCCGGCAAGTACGCCAAGATTGTGCTGGAGAGGGTGCCCGCCGAATTCGTGACCAAGTTCGACGCCCGCGTGCCCATCGTGGTGGGCGGCCTCACGGCAACCGAGGACCGATGGGGCTTCGTGCAAGTCCGCATCAAGCGGCACCGGTGGCACAAGAAGATCCTCAAGACCAACGACCCGCTCATCTTCTCCCTCGGCTGGAGACGCTTCCAGACGATGCCCATCTACAGCACCACCGACTCGAGGACCCGCAACCGCATGCTCAAGTACACCCCGGAGCATATGCACTGCTTCGGCACCGTGTACGCGCCGCTGATTGCACCCAGCACGGGCTTCGTCTGCTTCAACTCCTTCTCCCCCGCCGGCGCGGGATTCCGCATCGCCGCCACCGGCACAGTCCTCAGCGTGGACGAGTCCACCGAGATCGTCAAGAAGCTCAAGCTCACCGGCGTCCCCTACAAGATCTTCAAAAACACCGCCTTCATCAAGGACATGTTCAACTCGTCCCTCGAAATCGCCAAGTTCGAAGGCGCGTCCGTCAGGACCGTCTCCGGCGTCCGCGGCCAGATCAAGCGTGCCCTGTCCAAGCCCGAGGGCCACTTCCGAGCCACCTTCGAGGACAAGATCCTCCTCAGCGACATCGTCTTCCTCCGCGCGTGGTACCCCATCAAGCCGCACCGCTTCTACAACCCGGCCACCAACCTCGTCGGCTGGCAGCCCATGCGTCTCACCGGCCAGGTCCGCCGCGACGAGGGCCTGGCCACGCCGCAGCTGAAGAACAGCCAGTACCGCAAGGTCGAGCGTGAGACCCGCCACTTTAACCCCCTGAGGGTGCCTCGCGCCCTGGCCGCCGACCTGCCGTACAAGTCGCAGATCACAACCATCAAGAAGCAGGGGCGAGAAACGTACATGCAGAAACGAGCCGTCGTGCTGCCCAGCAACTCGGAGGAGAAGAAGGCCCGCGCCGTCATGCAGCAGCTTCTCACTGTCAGAAACGACGCCGCTGCCAAGAGACGTGCCAAAAAGGCAGAGAACCACGCGGCCTTCAAGAAGAAGCTTGCCGACAACGAGGAGAAGAAGGAGGCCAGAGAGAAGAGGGAGACCAAGGAATTCTGGCGGAAGAATGGGCGAAAGAGAGGCGCAGAGGATGGTGGTGGTGGTGGTAAGAGGCGGAGGTGAATAATGAAAAAGAAAAAAAATCACTTCAAAGTACAAGATGGGGCTATGAAACGATTCGAGTTGGGCTACCTTGTAAACAGTGCATGGTGTTTTGGGACGGCGTAAATATCAATCACAGCTTAGACTGATAGCCTCGTTCGCCCAACTTTCCATTTGCGCCGTAGCCTTGGGGAGGCTACTTGGACCGTTCAGATCCGCCAAGGGAGCGAAGTAGCAGTCATGACTATCTGCTTCACCTTTCGTATACGGCAGATCCTCACAGCCTGAATCATGAGACTGAAATTTGTCTGGTGCTGGGACAGAAGCGATACGAGAGCCAAAAGCCAGCTGCCTTGAGGCTATTACACCAATCCGATGAGTGGATCCCAGGCCGGTGTAAAAAGCCCTTGTCCTCCCTTTCAGAGAGAGAAGTGAGACGGGAACAAATCGTAACCACATCCATTAAAAGGTGAACTACGTGGGTTGCATAATACCCACCTCTCCATACAGAACTCGTCCTACAATCTCCATCACAGCCGTCATCGTCTCTTCTCTGTTTCACAGAGGAGCATTTCTTTCAAATGCCGCGACATCTCCTTTTGCTCCTGTTAATATTTTCTCAATTTCGGCGGTCCAGTCGTTTGCGACATCTTTTCAAGGCAGAATAACGAATGTTCCAGGTAGACCCAATGCAGCTCCCATAGTTCCAAGCTTGTCCGGCCCGTTGATGAAGAAAAAGACATACGCCTCGTTAGAAAAGCAGATCAAAAGCATCATCGCCTAGTCCAGCTATGCCTTATTCCCTTATTTCGTGTACACGTGGAATTTGTCATGGTGAGCCACCTAGGAAGCGATCAAAGGCTCTGTCTCAGGAATGACAGGTTTCTCGGGGATTTTGCCCTCAGGCTCGGCGGTCTTTGTTGATTGGGGCTCTTCGGTAGGGGGATTAGGGAAGTCGGGCTTCTTCATACGAGCAACGGGCGCAGGCTGCTTAGGGGGACCCGACGGAGCAGCTGCGCCACGACTCCGGAGCATCTCCTGCACCTTGCCAGTGTAGTCTCCGGCATACTGCTTTCCCATGGTGGTGAGTTGGTCGGCCTGCTTCTGGGCAACGCTTCGGACCTGGGCAGTCTGGGCGCTAATAGCATCGGAAGCGGTCTTGATGTGCTGATCGATCAGCTCCTGATTGCATGTGTAGACCAGAGGCACAAAGAAGGCAACAGTTGTGGCAATGACGGCGAGCCCCCAGTATGGCACAAGCTTGATGAGATGGTAGGAAACGAAGGCCGCGATACCTGCCTAACGTTTGACACTGTTAACGCTACTGATGGGCGAATGGCTACGAGGCAAAAGCACGACTTACAGCAACAGAGGCACCGACGTTCTCCACGAAGAGGATTCTCTGAGCCTCAATAACAAAAAAGTTGACCAGTTCATGGAAGTCGGCAATCATGCTATCGATGGTAGACCGTGACACGGTCCAATAATGACGGGGTCGCATCTGGGTAGCCAGGCCGTGACTGAGGACGACCTTACCAGTAACCTCAGCGGCGACGGTAATGGCAAGAGCCATGAAAGACAGCTTGAAGCCCCAGCGGATCACATCAAGGTACCTAACGACGAAGATGAAGGAGACAATCGAAGCGTACGCGATGGCTGAGGCACCTATAGCAGAAAATTAGGCGATTGTCACCGGCAGTGATGATGGTATTCACCAAGCTTTCACGTCAAAGGACAGGAAGGAGCAAGACCTACGAGGGTTCTTCCATGACAGAAGCTCCGAGAAGAGTGAGTGATAATGTGTGAGAGGCTGGCCAGTGGCAGCTGGTGTGCTGGGTGTCTTGCGAGAGGCGGCAAGGTTGGAAAACTCAGCCTGAGTCTTTGCGTTCTGGTCTTTGACATTCCGAGCAATGGGACCTGGACAAGCAGGGAGCGACGGGTTAGCGCGCAGACACGCAAGAAGACATCGTGTAGAGGCCGTTTCTTTGGCGTCGAAGGTACTCACCATTTGCCACAGAGTCGTAAGCGGCAGTAGCACCTAAGAGATTTGAGTCAGGTTTACTTCGCGTTTCCGGAGGACGGAGAGGATGAGCACATGGCCACATGTCAAGTAACTGTAGCTTCTGGTCAGCGGTCTCGACAGCAACGCGGACGGACGATCAGAGGGCGATTACGGACGTACCGTACTGTTCTTGGTGGTCTCCAAAAGAGAGCCACCGTTGGGCGCGATGTCAGTCATTGTGAATATGGGAATAGAATGCGACTAGAGCAATTGTTCCGATGTCGTGCTGTGGGATTTTCTTTCTTTCTTTTTTTTTCTTCCTCCTTCTTCGGAAGTGCGCCGGGTTCGGGCTGCGAATTGGATTGGAATAGTTTCTGTTCCTAGGGGCAAGTGGGCCAACAGGGCCGAAAAATCTAAGCAGGACAGCTCTAGAGCTCCTTTATCAGCAAGGCTAATTCACTGAACGGGCCAGGGTCGAGGGTCGGGACTCGTTAGGTGGAGAGCGATGGCGAGAGCAACGTCACGCAGGGGGGCGATTATTTGGAGGGGGAAAGCAAACAAGATGTCTCGGGAGGTTGGAGGCGATAAGAAGTTATGGTGTATTCATACCTTGGGACGAGTCTCGAAGCTTGCAGCTCGCAAGCAGGCGACAGGTTCAGATGTCTGATCTGCGTCGTGATTTGAGGGGTAAGAGGAGGGACGAAGGAGACGGGTTGAGGAAGGAAGGGAGGAAGAAGGGAGGAAGGAGAGGATCGGAGAAGCAAGTACGAGGAAGGATGGAGGAGGAGTAGACGAGTGAAGACGCGGACGGAAGCCCGGGATGGCAAGCACCAGAGAGGTGCCAGGTGCCAGGTGAGTTGCCAGGTGGCAGGTGCCAGGCTCTGGCAAGTAACTACCTCTGATTAACAAGTTTCTGCGTACCTGGCCAAAAGTACCCCGTCATAAAACGTGCTGAGGCCAAAAAACATGTGCCAAAAACCGACGCAAGCCCCGCCTCCACCGACCAGGAAAGCGAGACAAGCAGTGGAGCTTTGAGCTCGCCGACCAGTGACGACGCCAGCTCGAATATGGGCTCACTGATAACACTTGACGGCCAGCTGTCCAATTGTCGTCTGGACCACAGCAACGCATCATACATCATTGATCGGTTACCTAATCGCCCTGCGACGCCTCAGCTGCCGTGGCTCGAGCCTCGCGCCAGACAGGGCCAGGGCAAGGCACGGGATTGCGTCACCCAGCGCGCTCTCCTCCGTCATATGATGATGATGATGATGGTGCGTGGTACGTACGCACTTGCGCCGGCTTGCCTTGTTTCCATGCCAGGCGCCCGCCCGCACGTGCAGTGCGTCTTCGGAGAGCCTCGGCGGCGCCGACTCGGCCAGATCAACCGACGCTCTGTCAAGATTTCAAACAATGCACTCACCGTGGAAACGCTCAACTGCTCCTGCTGTGCTGCCAATATCCGGCACACCCGACTATCAAACGAGAGAGAGTCTTGTTGTCAGGTACGAAACACCATGCGAAGCCCATGACGTCTGCTCGCACATGTACGCCCATGGCACCTGTCAAGACTGTTTAATTTATAAACCTCCATCTGCTACATACATCATCACTCTATGGACATGTTCTACTCACTCCTCCGCGACTTCTTTCATCCGGGGGTATAATACCTTCAACACTCCCGCCTGCTGATAAAATTTACCTCCCTTTGCCCCGACGCATGTATGTACTGAAGCAAGCTCGCCATCTCAGTTATTATGTAAAAAAACAATGCGCCATCGTAAAAGCACTTTGCTTTTCCATGCATCGTGTTCCGAAATTTTGATTTTTCAACAGGACGGCTGGGAAGAGTCATTCCCACCTATCGCTTTGCCGTGTGCGTCATCGTCTTCTTGTCATCTTCTCCACCCCCAAAATCCTCCGGTGTTGGGGGACGTACCACCAGTGGTTGCTGTTGGTTTGAAGTTGTTTTCGGTAGGCGGCGTCGTTGCCTGTCCTGTGAGTCGACCAAACACCCCAAGAGGTGTCGAGCCCGATACCGAAGCTTGCGACTCTGACAGTGGCGAAATGTGTGCTTTTCGGAGAGCCTCTAGTTTCTGCTTAGCCTCTTCGGCTTCCTGCTTCGCTGTCGCCTCGGCTGTCTTGGCTTGGACGAGTTCAAGAAGTAATGCCTCATGTTCATTTGGCGGCGTCACAGTTCCTGAACCAGCACCGAGTACGGACTCGGGATTCAGAGGCAGAGATGACATCCTCCTACTATACCCGGGGGCCTGCGGCGTAGATTTGCTTCGGCCAAGCTTGAACTCCCTTAAGCCACCATTCTTGCCCTTGGCCACCCAGTCCGCGTCGGCGGCATCTCGATGATTGGGCTCTGATGCAGAGCTGCTCGAAATCCTCGCCCTCATGCCGTGAATCTGCTTTTCTAGTCGCTGTCTGTCCTGATGCAGCGTCCTCACATGTCCATGTCTTTCGCGAAGCTGCTCCCTCATAGCGGAGAGCTCCTGATCCATTTCATGTATTCGGCGACTGAGCTCTTGAGAGTGTGCCACGGCACTGGCAAGTTGGCTCCTGGTGTCGAGAAGCTCTTCGCGAAGCTGGGACTTGGATTGAAGCACCGACGATCGATGCTTCTTGTTATCCATTGCAAATCGACTCTCGACTCTTTTCAAAAGTTCAGACAAGTCTTCCGTTGATGGTGTGTTTCCGCCATCATCGTCCCCCCTTGCGGATTTTACCTCCACCGCCGGATCCTCCATCGTGGGTGTCGCGTCATCTTCTTCCGTTTCCATGGGTGGCGCTCCTTGCTCAGCCCCTGATGACGGCATCTCCTCTTGACCTTTGGCCTCCTCATGACTGACTACCCTTTTACGCAAGCCATCTAGTAGTGACTGAACGGTCTTTTTGTCCTCGTCTCGCTCTTCCCGCTCGGACTGCAGCTGATGAGAAAGAAGTGTATGGTTCCTTTGGAGTTCGCTTAGAGCTGTCAACAAATCCTCAATTTGACTGTGCAAATATCTCTCCTCCGTAGTTTTGGTATTTGTCGTCGTTTTCGGTCCGACTGGGGTCGATTCCCGGCTTGATGCTTGGTCTTCGCCATTCGCAGAATCTCGGGATATTGTAGATGCAGCCGTCGAGGGTGTGCTCACAACACTTGCAGAGCTTGCTTCCATGGAATTCAGAGTCGAAGCTATGCTTTGCTTGGACGTGCTGCGGCGGAGCATACTCAGCGGTCGAACAGGACCGGCCGTCGAAACAGGGGTTAAGCTGCCATTCTTGCTCGATGCAGCCCAAATACGACCAAGAAAACGGCTGGCAGCAGTAGTGATGTCGGACATTCGTGCAAAGTTGGCTGTTGCAATTAGGGACTCCCGGTATGCTTGCGCCAGCTGTGATAGCCTCTCTCTAGTGACGGCGCCGCTTAAGCTGGCAAAATCCTGTACAAACTCATCCGCGTTGTAGTGGTAGCAGTCCCACAATCCTCGAGAGAGAAGAAGCTGCATTACATCTTCCAGTTCTGTACACACCATGAGGCGCGTTTCATTCTTTCTCATGAGCGATAGTGCGACACGCATCAAAGTCTCAGAGGCCCCCTCAGCAAAAATGACATCGTAGATCCGGAAAAGCATTGGCAGAGGGCACGTCACGGCAAAGAAGCTGAGGAACCACTGGGAGACATAGGCTGGCTCTACCTGGAGTTTGTCGAGATGATCAGCCAAGGCAGGCAAGTTCTGTCGGAGGAGTTCGCGGAACTGATATATCCGAACGTGCAATCCGGACAAGTCAGGCAGAAAACAATCCCGTAGATCGTATTTCTCCATGAGCCTAGGGTATAGCAGTCAGTACCATCTGTGATTTGGTTTCAAGCATCATATGATGAGATACATGGCTTACCGAACAAGTACGCAAAACGCCTGTTTGTCGGGCATATGCATTAACAGAGGCCCAACGAGGAATGCCAACCCCTGGCAATAACCTATCTTTGTATCATACAAACTGAAGGATTTCAGTACTCTGCCCAACATCAGTTGCCCATCCCCATCGGGATCACGGAACAAGTCGACTCCGGGGAAACTTCGTCCGAGGTCTTTGCCAATGATGAGCTCGTATGGGCTAGTTTCGCCACAGAAACGCTCGTATTGTTCCTCAAGAAGTGAGTCACGAGCACCCGACATGCTTTGCCACACGACGCCTCTCAACGGAGGTGGGATGCCCTTGCGAATTTTGTTGGACAAAAGAGTGGGCAGACGAGCTGCGGTTTGCTGATAATCTTTGACAAGAGCCGCATAGAATTCCAAATCAGTCATTGGGGGAGGCGGTAGCATGGAATATCGAAGGGCCGCAGGTGTTGGACCGCTGACCATCTTTTTCAGTTGAGCCATGGACGGCGGCCGCGGTTTGGTTGACGAAAGCTTTTCCACAGTCTGAACTTTGACACTCTTCGGGTTCGTAGCCAGCTTTGCATTTTCCTGTTCCAGACGTGCCAGGAGAAGAGCAGTCGACTGACTCGCTGTTAGCATGGTTTGACGTGACAAATTACTCTGGAGGAGGGTTGTCGTGTTAGGGCATACATTGTCCGTTTCCTCATCCTTTGTTTGCTCGTCTTCGGTCTTTTGAAGCTGTGCCCAGTTCACCTCTTCGTTATCTTCGGACGAGTCAGTCTCGTTGCCGTCCACACTACCCAGGCCGAGTTCGTCTTGGAGGGTACGACCAGTGTCGGTTGGTGAGATCACAGGTGCCGAGACTCTAGATATTCTCCGGAGGCTGTCACGAGTTTCTGTGTCTCTGGCCTTTTTGAGGCTGTCAGCTTCTGTCGAGGTCTCTTCCGCAATAGGCGAGGTAGGTGTCAGCGGGCCGGCACCAGGTGTAACTCCAGTATCGAGACTCAGGGACGGCGGCTCGGAGAGCCTGACGGTGACCATTGAGTCGTGCGCCATCTTGGGAGTCTCGGCTCCCATCTCTCCAGTCTCGGCTCCTTCATCCGTCTCTTCAGAGTTTGCAGTCTGATTGGGGTCTTTGAGCTCCATTTTGATGCGCGGCCACCATTCTTCCTCCTCAGACTCTTCCGCTTGCTCCTTCAAGCCAGCGGCTGTCGAGGTGCTTTCATTAGCGTTTGGGGGAGAAGAGGCACGCTGCTCTAGTTTCGCCTCTGAAGCGACTATCTGTGTCTCGGCCGTTGAGCTTGGGGGCTCCTCGGGATTGGAGTGCAACATGGTGTTGGACGTAGACAGATGCAGCCAATCCAACGTATCGGTAGACGGGATCTGCGCCACAAAAGCGTATCGATTGGCAGCCCAGCTTCCTCCACAAAGTGGGCGTCAGGTGTCCGCGTCCGTGGTGTTGAGCGACTCGCGACCTAGAATGGGAGCAGATAGAATCCTTGAGGAGACGCCGTGGAGGTTTGTTGTTTCATCGAGGGGTTTGGATATGGCCTCGACAGCAGCCAGGGCTTGATTTGTGCAAAAGGCGTGAACCGCCCGCCGATGGTTGACAAGGCCTAGACGGATTGACACGTCTCAAGGAATACAGGAAAGAGGCATGCACTGCTAAACAAGAACGCAAGAGAGATAGAAGTGAGTGTCGACAACCAGAAAACGAGTGACGGGGTAAGGAACGGCAGGACGGGTCTCTATAGCCTATATAGGGGCCCCGAATGTTGCGGTGGAGAAATCAAGGTGCATGTGCAAGCTGGGGAGGCGAGCAGGGAGGAGTCGAGAGCCCATTTCAGCACTTGAGGGCCTGGGTCTGGTTTGGTGGTGTTGGCGGTTTGGTGGCGGCGGGAGCAGCTAAGTACCGGCAGCCTCCACCGCGACATGCGCCTGATAAGATTACAATGGATGAACACACAAAGGCTCAATGAACCAAAGGTCCAGACTCCAGACTCCAGACATCCAGGCACGGTGACAAAGTATTTCTGAAGAAATCACAATGCCGCACACGCGCGACACTGGAGAATTGCATGTTGAATGACTGGGCCTGGCCTGGGTTTCATGTCATACTTGATGGCGACATCGAAGGTACCAGACCCATTGCTGCAAGTGATTGGGCCGAAGAAGACCTGGCGACAACTGCTTCGGTGGTTCCCAGGCACTGAGGTGTACTTATAACCACTTACCAAGTACCTAGGTACTTAATAAGTCATATAGTACGGGCAAGTTACAGGCCTGCCTGAGCACGGATAGCGGAGCGCGTGGTCCAGGGGGCTTCTTTATTGGAAGCAAGCGCGTTGCTTCACTTCACTTCCAAGGTGCCCAGATTTGTATCGCATCGTCAGGGGCTGGTTTCTTTGAGAACAACAGCGAGTTCTTTGGCCCCTGATACAAAGTACTGCTAGTACGAAGTAGTACATAACAGTACTCCGTACTAAGGATCTATCATTTGTTCCTGGATGGGGCACTAAAGCAACGTAAGCGAAATTAAGCTTAACCACTAGGATTTTTCTTATTACAGTAAACTACCTCTATAACGATAACCTTTGTGAGCCTTTTTTCATCGTAATATAGCAACTATTGTTAAGATGCAATAATTATAGAGCTTGTACCTTTAATTAAATTTACTAGGCAGTTGCACTTAAGAATGTTGTAAAGTATATATTAAGAGATTATTGTTTCTTTGCCGCCTTGCAAGCTTTCTGCTAATTGTGCTAAATCTGCCTTTAATGCTGTTAAAGCTATTAAAGAAGCTTAAAATTAATAGATTTATATTATTCTTTAAAGAGAATTAATTTGTTAATTGCCTTAGATGCCTCTTGTATAGTAATTACTAGTAGTTTAGGTTCTTTATTAACGTCTTTAAAATTAAGAGAATAAACCTATAAAAACCTTGCTGTAATATTATTAATTAAGTCGTTATAGCTCTTATTAATGCACTTATAGAAGAGCTTAATAAGGTTATTAAGGTTGCTATTAATAATATTTCTAATATTTATAACACTTTAAATACAAATATTATATACTATAGCAAGAAGGGACTAACAGCTTTTATCCTAATTCTTTAGCTAGTGCTTATAGCTATAAAAATTGCTAAGCAGCTTTAACTTCCTCTAACAATTAGTAATAGTATCTTTTTTTACACTATTATGCTATATATATATAAGCTATATAATAGCCTTTAATAAGGTTAATTAAGGCATTAAGTTAATGTTCTAAAAAGCTAATTTAGCTATAAACTATAGCTACTGCTTTTAATAGTAAACCTTAAGATTATTAATAATTCCTTAGTCTATTAGTTAATATAAGCTTATTGTATTTACTAGAAGAAAAACAACTATTATATTAGCAAGAATATCTATAAGAATAGCTTTATTTATAGTATATTAGTAGGCGCTAAAGTTATCTAATAGAAGAAGAATGCAATAGCTACTTATTTATTAATTAAACTATTGCAGCTATTTAAGGAATATATTAAAGTTTATCTAGCTCTTTATGTTGCTCTAATAGTATACTAGAAAGGTAGCAATTTTGCTGTTATTTTTACTAAAATATTATAGGTTTTTAGACTTACTAATAATCTAAAGATTAAGCTAATAGGTTCTAGACGCATTAGCATAAGGTAAGACTATAATATAAGCTTTATCTTGCTTAGTCCTCTTTTATAGACTTATTACTAGTATATATAAGGGATTTCCACGCTAAAAGAGCTTAGTCTTATCTGTATTATAGGTATTATTATCTAAGTACTGTCTTTTTATCTCTTGTATTGCAGTAAGGTCTTAAGAGGAATTAAAAGCATTAGCAGACTTACTTTTGCTGTTAATCTTATGTTTCTTAATATAAAAGCGTAATTTAAAGCTGTTAACCTATTCTTAAGAGAATAAAGAGGTCTCTAAGCTGTTAAAGTCTTCTATCTTCTCCTAAAGCTGTCTTGCAAGACTAGTAATAATCTTACTAGTAATAATATAACTAAGGTTATTTAATTAAGTTATTAATTTAAAGAGAGCTAACTTAAGCAATAAATATTTTACTTAACAGCATTTTTAGGCATTTAAGGGCTTTTTAATGTTAATATAATTATATTATATACTAATTAACTTAGATATTATAGATTAAGAGAAGTTTTAATTAAATTTATTATAAGCCTACTGCTAGAGCTATGCCTATTGCTAAAGGGGATTCTTGTAATGCTTTTGTTGTATAATTTGCCTTTCTTAATAACTAATTAGCATCTGCTTATATATAACTTAAGAAATTATAATAAAAGAGGTTAAATTTATAATATTATAATAAATAGAGGCGTTATTATAGTAATATTAAAGAAAGAAAAACGTATTAAAGGCAGCAAAATTTAGCGCTTACAGTAGAGGCTTAATAACAATAAAACACTAAAATATATAGTAACTAAGCAAAAAGTTAATAATATTATTAGTAATGCAACTATTAACGATTTACTAGGGAAAAACCTTGGAAAAACCTTAGATAACTGTCTGTGAATTATCGTAAAAGCCTGAATATCGCTAAGATACAGAATCGTTATAGACATAGTTTACTGTATTTCCTTTTATTTTTATGATGGATAAAAAAAAATAGGCTACGTAGGAAGAAGCACTTTGGCCAAACTTGACTTGCTCGGTGCTGACTTGATTGAAGTAATAGATTTTGGCGTCGTTTTGCTTCCTCGAAGACAGTCCTATCCACTTTCACTCTCGTGACGGGAATAACTGCAGTATGTATTATAAATATGCGTCCAAGTGCTCGAGATGAGTCATGACGGCACGCGTCTCCAGCACAGTTTTGCGACGTTGCGTCTCCGTGCTGCTGAGTCGATCTTTTCTTCAACGTGGTCTATCCAGGTACGTACTTGGAGGTAGCTTGCACTCTCATGAAAAAGAACCCCAGTCCCGCTCTCCTCGCATTGCCGACAACATGAACGCTTCCGTAATATAAGTGCCGGCCTAGAATCAACTGTGCATACCAATATCATGTCTAGTAGACAATAGTATTGTTCTCTCGCAAAGGGCGCACGATGTCGAGTTGCCCTTCCAAGTTCTGCCCTTGAGACGGTGGACCCGTGCCACCTCCTGTGGCGCGAGCTTCCTTGTTCTTTCCCAGAATAGCTCCAGCCACATGTCTGTCGCCCGCAGCCAACCAAGCCAAGCTGGGTGTACTAGATACGCACCTAGGTGCATCTAGGGTCGATGCACCGTACTCCGTACGTGCGGAGCACCTGTATCGAATCAAGGAGCAGGGTCATTCCAACGCGCTTGACGCAAGAGCGGCAGCTTGAGTCGTAAGCCGCAAGTCTTTCATGCAAAAGCAAAATGCAATCCAACCACCAGTGGTGCTTCCTCACCTCAAGCGGGGATTGGCTGAGTGGCGAAGACGCTTGTTAAGCAGCAGCGTCTTTGATCACCGAGTCAACATGAAATTATGATCTGCACTCGGGGCAATGTTGAGAACGTGGTTTCCTCTGTCGTCTTTGCACCTAGAACGTACCTGTACTAAACCTAACCTAAGAACCTTGGTGGGTACTCACGAATAGGAGCAGACTGGGTGTTTGGACTGGCACATAAACGCACACGGCTATTGTTATAACTTATGAGGTGCCCGCCGTGTGGTGTTGGCTTCCACCATGGAGACGCAGACCGCATGTTTGAATCGTGTCGTGACTCGTTGCGCACACCACCGTCAAACTGTACTGTAGCCTCCCCCGTACGTGCCGAGCCCGACACCACGTCACATGATGAATCCGACATCGCGACCCGCAAATGGCGGCAAATCCGATATGTAGTGCCGGAGCCGTATCACGTCGCTGTACCGCGAGGCTCGCAGCCGCAGCGCGTCGATAACCCGAGTATGTAAAGTACTTACTCAAGACAGACAAGATACAAGATCGGACCCAATGAACTTGGGAGACGAGGCATGTGGCCGCCCACCACCTTGCACCATGCAGAGTCTTGACCCTTGACGGCTGATGGGGTGTCATGCGTTCAATCTTGATGGTCGTGCATGGCTAGCTTGAAATGCAGGTTTGGCCTGCAACCACTCTGGTTGGACGAGAAGCCGGCAATGTTTGAACTGGCGGTGATGGACGTCTGTGAGGAGCATCACCAACGATGCTTTCACAAGACGGGCGCAACGAGTACCTACTTAGGTACCTTTCAAGGTTATACGCGTACCTACTTACTACTTAAGTACTTAGTAGGTACTTAGGTAAGCAACTGCCCCCAATTGACCCGGGGCCGCCAGTCAGCTGGCCTGTTTTCGCCAATTTTCCCCTTGCTGCGCAATTTTGCATTCCAACATTTTAGATACGTAGATATCAGTCTTCAGACGCCTGGTTCCACTCCCTCGCATGAGACTAAAAGTACACCTCATGGTTCCTAGCTGGTTACTCCCTTCACTCTTCTCCCTGGCTACCCATACAAAATAATGGCGCATTATGTGAGAAATGGGAAACTAATCGAGGCCGAATGAAGCCCTGGACACTAGACAGCAGGAGCACTGACTGGTCTGGTGCATTTATTAGTGCTTGGGGTGCTGTAGCTCTTTCCGCTCAGGCTGACTTTCTGGAACATTTGGACCCGGTTGGCGAATCCCGGCCCACTGGTGAAGTTGTCCGTCCACTAGTGGTCCCGGGTACTCCGCAGGAACTTGACTACCTTGAGTAAGTACTTAACTACTTAGTGCTCCTTTTCTGCATACTTACGTACTTGAGTAGGTAGAACTGGGGTCTCTTGGGCCCCTTAGTGGCGCTCAGGTTACAGCACTTGAGGTGTGCTCAAGCCGGTCGCACCTTGAAGGCTCTCTCTCTCTCGGTAACGTTATGTCTCCATTCATGTCAAGTGCCATCGCCCGTTGCAATGTCGACGCTTGTGCTTCCCTTCCCGTCCTGTCCTCTTCTTCTTGCCCAACACTCCTGTGAGAGCGACACCATCGTGACGTCGCTCCTCATGGAAAGGACAGTTTCCTAGGTGCTACGCTGGATGCCATGACTTCCAAAGGCGACACCAGATACGGAACCATGTTCTCGTCTCTCTTGCGCCGCCCCAAGCGCGGGTCCCGTCGCGTTGATATCCGTGACGTCTCCGGCTCCCCCTCGTCCGGGCCTCCTCGACAACTCCGCTTTACTGGTCGAACTCACGCTACCGCGGATTTCACCGAAGCCGATGATGATGACGATGACGAGGATACGAACGAGGATGATCTGGTTGAGTTTGACGAGGAGGCCGACGTCATTCGTGACGAACAAGGAGAAGGAGAGGAAGAAGAAGAGGCAGACGACGGGGACGACGCAGCCGGAGAAGACAATCGTCATAGGGCATTGCCTGTCCTCCCCCTGTTCTCGGCAACACACCTTGGTAATTCTTTTGATTTCCTATCCATCTTCCCCCCCCCCCCCCCCCCTCCTCTTGACCTTGCGCCTCCCCTCCCCTTACAAGGTCTGGACAAAGTTGACATGCTCTCCATCCAGACACACTGCCGATTTACAGCATCACCCACTCCATTCGTATAATTGTGAGCGCTCGTACCGAGACAACGCTGTCATGGGACCAACTCCGATCTCCCCAGGTCTCTCAATTTCTAGTAAAACCCATGCAGCAGCAGATTAGAACACAACATTTCTCCAGGGCCACCATATATGCCTTGATGGCGAATTGCTTGCAATTCTCCAAGGAAGGACAGAGATATGCTGCCAATGCCGGTATCAGCAACACCAGAGCCAAGGTTTGCGAACTGCTTGCTCTCAAGCTCTTGAAGGAGTATACTACCAGAGAACTCATTGACGCCTTGGCCTACGACTTCTACCCCCTCCAAGGGTTCCCAGGCGCACAACCTCCCCTTCCAGAGAGCAGATCATCCAGCAAAAACAAACAAGCCATGACCGCGTCAAGGACGTCGACATTGGAAGTGGCCATTCGTGCCTCTGCCAAGCATTTTCTCGCACACCCGGTCGTTGTTCAACAGCTGGAAGCCATTTGGAACGGAGCCATCACCTTCTATTCTTCCGCCGACAGTTTGCATCGCGAACTGCCTCCAAGCCCCTTGGGAGGTGTGCATGGAGAAATGGGGAAGCCGGATTCCAGGACCCCTTTACTTGGGTCGCTTCCCGCGAAACCAGGACAGTACCATGTCCCATCTGGAAGGAGAACCGTTATGCTCTATGACCCTAGGCAGGCTTCCATGTTCAAACTTTCCCGTCTTCGTGTGCCACGGTACAGGTCCTTTCTGTCCACCATATCACTTGCCGTCCTGATTGGTCTCTTTCTTGCCGTCTTATCGCAAAGGTCTGTCAAGATCACAGGGCTAGAGCTGGTCTTCTGGTTTTGGAGTGCAGGGTTCATGTTGGATGAGCTTGTTGGTTTCAACGAGCAAGGATTTGCGCTCTACATCATGAGCTTTTGGAATATTTTTGATCTCGGAATCCTTGTGCTGTTGATAGCATACTATTGCATGCGAGCCTACGGTGTATTCTTGGTTGACCCCCATCACTGGAATGCCATGGCTTATGACGTCCTAGCCGCCAATGCTATTTTGCTTCTGCCCCGAATTTTAAGCGTTCTGGACCATTATCAGTACTTTTCACAGCTTCTGATCGCGTTCCGGCTCATGGCCGTGGACCTGGCTGCTGTGTTCGTCCTGGTTTTGATCATGTGCAGTGGGTTCTTTGTTTTCTTCACGCTGTCGCAGAATGCAACCGACGGTGGCGAGGTTGCGTACAAGATATTCCAGATTCTTATGGGTTTTACCCCGGCCGCCTGGGATGTGTAAGCCAGCCAGCCCCTAGGAAATCTCGTGGAGGGATATAAATTGCTAACGCTGGTTAGATGGCCGACATATAATTGGCTGGCGAGAACATTAATGATGATCTTTCTCATCATTTGCCATTTCTTGGTTGTGTATGTACTCCCTGATCTCAAAGCGAGTGGGTGGGTGTCGACGGAGCAGACGCTGACAGGCGCTGAAGAACAATTCTTATTACTGTTTTGACCAATTCTTTTATGGCGATTGCTTCCAATGCCACGGAAGAACATCAGTGAGTATCGGAGATCTTTGCCTTTGATGCTCATTCCATGCTAATCGAACCGAGGTTTGTATTCGCCATCAATACAATCTCCATGGTCAAGAATGATGCACTCTTTTCCTACATTGCCCCTAGCAATATATTTGCCTGGCTGCTGATGCCGCTGCGCTACTGCGTGCCCCTGAAGCACTTCGTCTGGCTTAATCGGACCGTCATCAAGGTCACGCACTTCCCGGTCTTGTTCATGATTTACTTGTATGAGCGATTTTGGCTTGCGCCTTCTATATTCGAGCCCACGGATCTCGTGGAGAACCCTGGTCGATCCCGGACTCGTGCAATATCTTTTGGAGATGCGACGCAACGCACCGTCATGTTCAGCCCTAATGTCCGTGTACGTGAGGAATCCGTCGCAGGATTCCACAAAGACAGAGCGCTTGAAGAAGTATTTCGTCGCGTGCCGGATGCGACAACACTACGTACGCAGAGGAGGAATGAGAGACGCAAGACTCAGACTGCGATCCGGAACTGGATGGAGCAACATGACGAAGAGGGTATGCCGTCTACGAACTGGCCGACGCTCGACAGCCGGGCCGTGCCTGATTGGCAAAGGAGGATGAGTGTTGGCTGGGACAGGCCCTCGCACTTACGACGGGTGTCTGATGTGAGGTCGACGGCGAGCGACCCAGCGGATTTCATGTCCAACCCCGGTGCATCGTTCAATAACGTCAAAGGTCGTGGATCGAGGGCAGACATTCTCCCCGACTACAAGGACCATACGGACGCAGACGGTGACGATGAGCTGGTCACAAACGACGAGGACGAAGACGAGGCCACCAATGCCGGCCGCAGTCAGCAGTTTGAAAAGCATGGTGTCGAAGATGGCGGCGACTATTTTGCAAGGCCCATGAGAGCTGGAGCAGCCAAACTGGCATCTTCTCACGAGTCATCCGCAAGAGCCGCAACTACGATTCGTCAGGGGCATCCAAGACGCGGTGTGCATGGCCGGAATTTATCAACAAACACCATACTGTACAATCCGGAAGACCAGCCTCGCGCTCAATATGCACCGCCCGTCTCGCCGCCCAAGCCGATCCCCTCTCGAAGACCCAACACGAGCGGGCGTGCCACAGGTACAGACACGGCCGCTCATACAACCCGACACAACTCTCCTCGAAGGGCGCCTCAGCTGTCAACCTCGAAGCCCCGACCGATCATTGCGCCACGTGGCATGACGGACAGCGGTGGTGTTAGCAAGTCAGCAATGCTTAGCCTTGCGCCTCGCGACAGACTTAGGGGGGCTAGGCGCCTGTCTTCAGTTGATCTGAGTCTCATGTCGGACCACCTGGGTATCGAGGACAACAACCTCGGCCTGGCAGGCAGTTTTCAGACACAAATGGCAATGGCACTGATGAAGGACAGCCGGCTGCGTGCAGCCGGAGGGCTCGAGGCAGCAGACCGCGATAGAATGGGAAGGCTGGTCCTTGCACGCATGAAGACACTGGAAGAGAGCTTTGCGGATGTAATCAAGGAAATGCGAGATCTGAAGAATAGCTCCACTGCACCACAGTCGCAACTCAACTCGTCCGGGGATGACTTCAGAGAAGGAATTGCTAGCAGTGAGCACGAGCGACGGCAGAAGAACAAAGGTGACGGTACGCCTAGGAAAGGCCACGGCAAACGGCCCGCCAGTCGACGAAGCATGAAGGAGGGCAAAGTAGGTCCCTTGATGAAGCGCCAGCCGCGAGGCAAAGACGTGGTCTCCCCATCAGGCGACATTGACGAAAGCGATGGCTTTGCGAAGAGGGGTAGCTCTTTGTGAATCGGATGATGGCTAGCCAGCCAGCCAGCTAATAGGGGTATAAGGCGTGGCATCTAGGCGCTCATTCTCGGCATTTCGAAGGCGTTGGCTCGGTTTAGGTGGTGAGGTTGACATCAATCAATACTGCATGCATATCGTCGCCACACGGCTACACAGGTCATACTGGCGTTGGTGGAAGATTGACTTACAAGACAGCGGGCGAGATGGGCAGGGCAGCCCGGTTCCAGGCACTTTTGTGGCCGGCGCTTGTTGTTTGAGCTGTCTATCGTGTACCGTGCGTTGCGAATATTCAGCAAGAGCTCGTTCAAGTAGAACTTTTGTGCTGCTGTCCTTGAAATACTGTCATCCTGTCCGTACACTCCGTACAGTGGTTCCTATCTATGGCAAGCAGTGGGCTGCCTCCCAAGTTGAACGTGGTCACTTTTGCCGGGTTCATGCCTGCATCGCCTCCATCGTCCCGGAGCAGGTGTCACAGAACATGGCATGGTATATCGAGATTCAAAGGGCATCCGATTCCTAGAGAAGGCCCGTGAGAAGCAGAGGACCACACCGTCATTTACATGGATAGAACTCCTGATGTCGAGCAATTCCAGGGCCCGACAGGCGGCACGCTTCTCCCAACAAGAGACCCCACGGCACCCTGATGCCAAAAAAGTTCACGCACATCAAATCCAGGCCATGGAAATCAGTCCACGGCACCTTGATGCCAGAAAAAAGTTCACGCATATCGGATCCAGGCCATGGAAATCAGTCCTCTAGCCACCTGCAACGCCTAGGCCAAGAAAAAAAAAAAACCACAAGACGCTCCTCACAATGGTAGAAATGGTAATAGCCAAAACCCCTCGTAAATCATCCCATGTTCAGTGTATTCCCGGCACCCCTCCTGTTGTCGTCCTTGAAGTCGTCCCACTCCCTCGCCTTGTACGTCTCCCTATCCACGGCATCCATATCGTCCTCATCCACCTCCGCCCGCGGCGGGTCCGTGCCGCCCTCCAGGAAGTTGCCCCTCCTCTTCTCCTCGGCGAGGTACTCGTCGATGGACATGGTGGGCAGGTTGTGGCCGGGCCGGAACACACCCCTCGCCAGCTCGGCCCTCGAGCCGACCAGCGTAAACGGCTGCAGCGGCCTGCCGTCGCGCGACAGCAGCGCGCCGCCGGCCCTGGCGCTCCTCCCAAACGGCTGGTCCAGCCTGACGCTCGCGTCCTCGGCGTGGGCGTGGGCGTGGGCGTGCCCGGCACGGCGCGGCTCCGGCTCCGGCGCCATGGCAAGCATCTCCGCCTCGCGGTTCAGCCCCTCCAGCCCCTGGAACGCCCGGTGAATCCTCCACGTCACATCGGCCAGGTACACCTCGCGCGTTGCCTCGTCGTCCCTGGCGATGTACCCGGGGTCCCTCGTCAGCAGGTCCAGCTTTTCCCGGAGCCCCTTGTCGGCCCTGGAGCTCGCGATCCTGGCCTCCCGCCTGCTCGCCATGTCGCCCGTTTTCGGGGCGACGGCGAACTGCTCCTCGTCGTCCCTGTACCGCTCCAGGAGGCTGGCGTACGGCCCGTTGACGAGCCCGTACCCGTCGGCGAGGGAGAGGAACCGCTCGTACGCGTCTCTCGCGGCGCGCAGCACGAGCCTCCGATGCGCGGGGCCGGCGAAGGGCGTGCGCTGGACGAGCTCGGCGACGGTGAAGTTGACGAGGATGTAGGGCAGGGACGAGGTGGCAATGTCTTCGAGGCCCTCGTTGGGGGAGAAGAGAGACACGGAGCCCATCTGGTCGAGCACGCGGGCGTAGAGCGCGAGCAGAGAGTTGAGGTCCGAGGCGTAGGCGGGCGAGGTTGCGTCGGGGGAGGATTCGAGGAGCCGTCGTTTGGATTCGGCCTCTTCAAAGGCTGTACGGAGCGACTGGGGCTCGTCTGTCGAGGCCATGGCGACTTGCTGGGGCCTGGGGCTCCGGAAGAGCTTCTCGCTGAAGAGGTCGGGTCTCGGAGACGGCGGATGTTGATCAATGCATGTGTGGGTGAAAAAAAAGGAGACGTCGAGCGCTGTGCTGTGGGAGCTCGGAGCCGCTCAGGCACCGGCGTATCGGCGTATCGGCGTATCGCGGCACTACACCCCGCCATAAGCATAACTCGGTTACGCGAATCCACGTCACCACCCCGTATTGGTTGCGGAACCGAGCCGGACGTCATGACAACGCTCCGTGAAGCACTTCAACAATCGTCAATTTAGCAGAGTTCCAGATAGAGAAAGATGTAGCAAACTAAACTACAGTGTATCCGAACCAACGCCCTGGGGCTGTTCTGACCAGCCCAGCCTACGTAGTTCCCTTCATCCTTCTAGCATCTGCTAAGCCTCCAAGCACATACGCTGATCATTCATCGATCCGTCACATCTGTTCTAATCTCGTCATGAAAGAAAGCCGTCCGTGAAGCTTTCCGCGTCAAATCACTCAGTCGTCATCCATTTCAAACGGATCGTCGCTCTCGTCTTGTATCAACGATGAATCCTCGTCTATAATGACTGGTCGTTTGGCCGCCGCGGCCCGGCCGGGCCGGCCGCGAGCCGCAGGTTTGGGTTTCGGTGCGGGTGATTGCGGCTCATCCATTCCGTCTTCTGAGTCCTCCAGCGCGCTCTTCTTCACACCAACGACTTTCTTCCTAGCCGCGTAAGCCTTGGCGGCGGGCGACAGTGCCGTCGCTTTCGCCCTCGGCTTTGGCTCAGGTTTGGCCTTGGTCCTGGAAGCTACGGGCTTGGCGCGAGCCTTCTTGACCGCAACCAAACCACTGTCGGTTGCTGATGCGGCTGCGTCTGCCGCCAGCTCATCGTCCGAGTCCCCAACTGCGTCTTCCTCATCCTTGATCTTGTGAGGAGACGACTTTGCCAGCATCTCGTAGTTGGTCTCATCGTGACTGTCAATATCCATCGACGTCTTTGACGCCTTTGTCTTCAGCTTCTGTAGACTACCAGAGCCGCCATTGCCCTGGCTGGACTCTGGTCGGTTCATAGCATATAAGCTCAGTCGTCCACTCGCGTCGCCACCAGACTTGCCGATTCCCTTTACCATCGATCCTATATCGCCAATCATTTCCAAGTCTTCTGCATCACTGTCGGAGGAGACTTCAAACAAGGTCTTGGCTTTGGAAGCGGCTGCCCTCTTAGTAGGCCTTGGAACCGCTGCTTCTTCAGCTTGGGATTGCGAAGCAGACTGGGACAGCTCTGCCGCCCTTGTAGACGAAGGTTTGTTTCTGCCAAGAGCTGCAAAGTCATCGTCAGAGAAATTATCAGACAAATCCTTGACATCATCCCTTGGCTCCTTCTTCGTCTGTGAGCTAAACATGTCAGCGAATCTTTGAGCGCTCTTGGTCTCGGTCTTGACTTTTGGCGCTGCCTTTGCCGCTGCCGCTTTGCCCTTGGCCCTGGATTTCTTTTCAGGCGCATAGTCATCATCATCCTTGCCCTTGCGATTGCGACCTGCACCAATCTTCTTGGACTCACGTCGCCCCATGCGGCGGATCTTGGTTTGCAGTTCTCGCTCGAGAGCCAGTTGAGTGTTCCACTCGGCCATGAAAGCATCCAAATCTTCACACCAAAGATCTTTTTCACTCTTGGCGGACAGGTCATCGATTTCACCCTTCTTTCTATTGATAGCTTCCTTTAGCTTCTCAAGTCGTTCCTCAGTAAGCGACCAGATTGGCATCTAGTTCGGGGACTTTTGGTTAGAAGAATTCAAAGACATCATAGTGTGTGTGCTACTCGAGAAGACTCACCGAGAGTAGATAATCGTAGTCGCGAGCACCGGCCGCTGTGACCTTGTCGTCACCGTCGCCATCTTCCTTGTCAGACTCGTTCGTTTCATCGTCCGTTGTCTTTTCTTTCTGGCCTCCTGGTGGGAAGGCTTTGTATTTGCGGTCACGAAGCTCTGACACCAGCACAGCCTTCTTCTTCCTCCCCACAATCAAGTCCCCGTCGATGATTTCTTTGATGAAGCGGTACTGATTTTTCAGCTTTTCGAGGTCGTTAAAATATACCTGAAGCCAGTGTTGCTTTCGTTCATCATACATTTGAAGTCTGTAAACATAGTATTCTTCCAATATGTCCTCAACCTTTTCATATTTTCGGATTTGACCTCTCGTATCAAACGCAACCATGTTCGACGTGGCAACTTGCTTAGTGAGCTTGAATCTTTCAAGCAATCCCTCCTCAAGAATCTTGGGCAAGTGCTTCTCGTCCACCATGATTTCAAAGTGAACAGTCTTGTGGTCGTTGAATTCCTTGTAGTCTTTGATCCAGGTAGGGCCATCTGTGCCGCTGATGACCTTTTCGAGTTTTGCTTTGAAGTCATCGGTCCACATGCGGATTGGTAATTCCGTGATGATGATTTCATTGGGATTCTGGTCATTCTGATAGGCGATACCGTTGAACTTATATCTATCGGGGCCGGCCGCTTCAGGACTGCCCTTCCAGCCTCTGAACCAGGGAGTCATTGTCTCGAAAGGCTTCTCCTCCGTATCGTCTCCATCTAAACGACCCATGCGACGCCTCAAGTTCTTGACAATATCTTCGGGATGGTAGTTCGGGATTGTTGTGCTCCATCCAGTTCCGATACCGTCAGCGCCATTGACAAGAACCATGGGTATAATAGGCGCGTAGACCTCGGGTTCAATACGCTTGCCATCTTCATACTGGTGCTTCAAACTGGCTTCATCCAGGGGAGAAAAGATCTTCTTTGCAAATGGAGCCAATCGCGTGTAGGTGTAACGAGGACTAGCAGCATCAGAACCACCAGCGAGACGAGAACCAAAGTTACCGCTAGGTTCCAGGACATTGATGTTGTTGGAGCCGACAAAGTCCTGCGCCAATCCAATGATCGTCTGCTGCAAGGAAGCTTCGCCGTGGTGATACGCCGTCTGCTCAGACACATAACCAGAAAGTTCCGCAACCTTCTTATCCTTGGTCAAATTTCGTTTAAAACAGGCGTAGAGAACTTTTCGTTGTCCGGGTTTCAAACCATCAATCACGGACGGTATTGAACGCAAGTTATCGGCCATGCTGAATAGAATGAGCTCCTTGCCAACAAAGTCTGTGTAGGTGATCTCCTTCGTGGTGTGATCTAGGAAAGTGCCTGGGATGAAATTGCCGAGCCATTCTTTTCGAGCGTCTGCCTTCTTTTTCGAGAAAACAAGGTCAAATAGCTCAGCTTCTTCAGACTTCATAACTTCAAACTCTTTCAGGTGATTATCAAGGTTGGTGAAATAGACCTGGGCATCTTCACTGGAACTTGTTCCTAACCCCTTGAAGTACTTGGACTCCCATTTCGACAACTCTGCCTTGTGCGACTCCTTCCATTCCTCATACTGCGGCTGAGTGAAGAAGGACTTGAGTCTCAAAGGCTTCTTCGGGTCGGGACCTTGCCAGACCTTGACAATGGGCGTGATGAATTCTTGGAGGAATTTCGGAATCTTCAGTAGGGAGGGGAACTGAACTTGAAGAAAGTTAATAAGGAGGCCCTTGATATGACTGCCGTCGTGATCCTGATCCGTCATAATCATAAGGTGACCATAGCGGAGACTCTTTGTGTCCGTGTATACTTGTTTATGTTTTAAGCCCAAGAATTGCTTGATGTTTTGAATTTCCTGGTTCTTGGTGATCTGATCTAGCGAAGCGTCACGGACATTAAGTAGTTTACCTCGGAGGGGGAAAACACCAATTTTATCAGGGTCCAGAATGGCTCTCCCAGAGACAGCAAGACCCTTGGCGGAATCACCTTCTGTCAAAATAAGGGTACACTCATGGCCGCGCCGGGTGCCTGCCAGGTTGGCTTCGACGAGCTTCGCATTGCTGACTCTTGCTCTCTTGCTTCCGTCGCTTTTTGCCAGCATTTTATCAGCTTTCTTTTGAGCAAATTCCATGATGTTCTCGATAGCATCTGATTTTGCAATCGCTTTTAAGAAAGCGTCGCCGAGAACACACTTGCTACCAAATTGGCTCACTTTGGTCGTCATCTGCTCCTTGGTCTGGGAGTTGAAAGCCGGGTTATCGATCAAGCAGTTGATGAAGATAAAAATGTGGCTTCGGAGATGGCTCTGCTTTAGACTATGGCCCTTCTTCCTCTTGTCGAGCGCTTTGAGGAGCGAGGCCGTAATTTGATCAGCAATGTAGTTGACGTGGGTGCCTCCCGTGGTCGTCGCGATGGAGTTGACGAATGATACTTGTTGAAAGGTTCCATCAGAAACCGTGAATCCAACTTCCCATCGAGGATGCGACTTCTCCTTGTCGATCTCGACGGTGCATGTGGGAGTACCGCCTTCTTCTGCGGTTCGCTCAGCGGCGATGGACTTTGCATAGAGGTCGCAGTACGCTTTGAAGGTGTTGAGCTTGATTTGCTCGCCATTCAAGTATACCTTAACACCACGGACTGTTCCCGCCATGTCGTACACTCGACGGTAGAGAAGAGATTCTAGGTCGTCATCAATGCCCTCTGACATTCCAAACCGTTCGTAGTCTGGCTTGAAGGTGACGCGGACGAAGTCTGCAGTTTTGCTTGAAGTGATCTTGGCCTTTTGCATTTTCTGCATGTTGTCTGTCCACGTCTGCTTATATCTCTTACCATTCCCAGCATCTTGACATTCCAGAGTGAATTCTTTGCTGAATACGTTACAAAGCTTGGCACCATAACCGTTGCGTCCACCAACAGTCTTTTTCTCGTCATCGTCAAAATTGGAACCAGCCAAGAGGTGGCCGAAAATTAGCTCGGGAATATAAATCTTCTCCTTTTCATGGATTTCGATTGGGATGCCTTTGCCATTGTTTTCAACGCTAATCTCTCCAGTTTCTCGATTGATGACGACCTTCATGTAGGTCATACCACTGCCCTCACGCTGCTTGTTATCAGCTGCGTTGACCATGATTTCGTCAAAGATCTTGTAGAAGCCTGGGACGAAGCTAATGTTCTTGTACTCCATTTGTGATGTTGTCTTGTTGTACACCCAAATCTGCTGATCCGTCTTCTCGACTGATCCGATGTACGTGTCAGGCCGCTTGATGATGTGTTCAAGTTGTGTGAGCTTTTGGTACGTCTCTGTGGCGGTTTTTGAGGACTTTGATGTCGATTTGGCTGGTGGAACGTCAATGATGACACTGTCGTTCTCAAGCTCCGCAAGGGGGACACCGCCAGACTTCTTCGGCGGCGGCGCCTTCTTCTGCTTCTTGGAACTCGGCGGGGTATGTGAAAAGCTCTCTGAGCTGCCTCCGAAAGAATCTCCATCGTCGCTGTCCGGCTTGGGTCTTTTGGCTGCTGCTTTCGTCTTCAAGGTGGTTTGCGTAAGTTTCTTGCCCGTGGCCTTGGCAGCGGGTTTTGCCGCCGCCTTGGGCTTTGCCTTCTGGTGGGGAGTCGTTAGCAGCTTGGTCGTGCATGTCTGAGTTGGTCTTGCGCCAGGGTACAGGCCCGACGCTGGGTTTGGGCCTGACATGCTCATGTTGCGAGTTGCGGCCAGAGTCTAGGAATGCACACAGAGTGTGACAACGATTGAAATGCAAGCAGCCCGCCGTGGATGTTGCCATCGCAGCTGACGGTGACAGTCCAACAGCACAGCCGGCACGGCCGGCACCGCTTGCATCGCCTTTTGGGTCTTCAGATTCCCGTGATGGAAGGCTCACCTTTTGAGGAACATAGCCGTCTGATTCCTCGCCCAGGCTGAAGGCGGGATCGGACATGGCATCTGAATCCATGATGACTTTGAGTACGCTCCTGCGCCGACTTTGATTTGCGGTCCTACCGAACAAGGCCAGACACGACAAGAATTCTAACGACGATTGTTCAGACAGAGACGCGCGGATTAAACAGGAACGAGCGGCTCGGCGAGTTGGGGCGGGACTCGCGCGATTAGACGGGAAGTTGCCCTGAGCAGCGGGAGTTTGTTGACATTGGCATTGCCCGTGGCAAGTCGACGCCGGGGCGGTTGTTGAGATGGATGTTTATTGTTGTTGTGATGGCCCGATTTCGATGCGCGTCGACATGGACTGGACGCGCGCCTCCCTGGCCTTGTGTTGGACCACACTAACGAGGCTTGCTTGCAGGTACATGTGCTTCCGCTTCAGACGTTGGGTGCTCCATCCATTCGATTCCGGGCCAGGTACTCCGTACTCCGTATCATGTTTTGTTGCCTCAGGCATAAAGTGCGAGGTCCCGCTGTCGACTTGGGTCCGATCTCAGTCAGGGTTGAAGTGTTCAACGTTGAACGCCAAGAACAAACCCGTGAGATGGACAACCACAGTTCCTGTGTTGCCAGACCAGGCCAGACCAGACCAGGCCAGGTCCTGAGCAGACAGACCGGCGTTGTCAAGCACACTCGCTCAAAAGCGCGGACACACCAAGGCTGCACAATGCCTCGCTGTCATGTTCGACGGGACGCCGGATTTCTCAAACAACATGTCAGTGAGTGTGCGTGGGATCATGCAGCGCTTGGGCAGGACGGGACCGAGAACTGACAGCGGTTGCAGATTTCCTTGTCGGTGGTGACTGGACAGCGCTCGAGTGAGCTTTCATGTGCAACGGAAAAATCAATGAATGACAGATGCATATGGCTCCGGCCAACTCCCCAAATCCCTCGAGGCGGGCGTGCTTGTTTATTCTGTGCCTTGTTCCTACTCTTCAATTACTCGGTTCCGTCTCTGCGCCATGTGTTTGTACGCCCCCGGAATATTTCCACGTCTTCCAGCAATATTCCATCGGGAAATCTGATGATTCTAACCCCTGGCAACGGACCCCTTTGCACGTTTTTTCAGCTCCTTGTCTCAAGAGAATGCGTCAATGAGAGACATTTTCTGCAAAGACATGTAGGACTTCCTGGAGCTCCACGGCAAACACGCAAGTTACACGCGGCCTTTCTCCGGACAGGTGAGGTTTCTAGTACAACATGGTGTGCAGATAGCATCTTGAAGACAACAGCTCCCCCAAACCCGAGCCCGAGCTCCGTTTGCTTCCTCACACCTCGCGACGCCCCAAAGTGTCCAAGAGAACAAACGCAGGTCAGGGTTGACATGCTCCTCGTCCACATGTCCTTGGCATCTGCTTGTGCTTCAGTCTTTCGAAGCAAACAAGATCCCCACGACTAGGTTCCATCCACGTGCTGCCATCAGGTCCCGCAAACCAGAACTTGCCTGGGTGTCCCGACGTTGTAATAACGTTACACATCATTCATACCTCGTTGAACGAGATCTTTCCGCGGCGTTGTAACGGTCAGGGGTGCTTAGGGCTCTGCCAGGGTGCAGCCACCCGAAAAGCGCAATCGAATCCTTGCTGTCATGCTGCTGCTGCTGCTGCTGCCGCTGCCGCTCGGCACATGTCTCTCTGCCCTGCACACAATTGGAGAGTCTGGCGAGCCTGGGGCATGGTCTACACCTGGCATGATCTTGCAGAATGATCCGTACGAACATCTTTAATAAGAACTTCAACAAGCTCATTGGTTGTCTCGACGTCGGGAAAACCGGCCTTGCTTCTGGCGTGGCATCTCCGAGTCTATAAAGTCGAGCTCACTCAGATATTCACCCCACAGCGATGTGACTGACATGCTCCCGTATCACGCTTCTGATGAAATACCCGGGATAGTAAGCGGGTCCCTTCATGTTGGATTTGAGCCGACTCGGCTGCAACCGCTGAGGTGTCCCTCATGTTTGACAGATGGCAAAGCAAAATCAGTTGGCATATCGATCTCGTCAAGCAATATGGCGAAATACCGGTGCCGATGCAGGCCTTCCCAGGCGTTACAGTATGGCGGTTTGATGACCGTGCTCACCGGTCCGTATCCTGCCACGATAGAGAGATTTTGACCAAGCGAATACCCATCCCTGCGTCCCAACCGTCAGTCCATCTATAATCATGAGTTACCACCATTACACGTCTCCTTTCCAAGTCGTCTCGGCCCCTCAACTTGAACACACACGCCCAAGAGAGATAATTAAAAAAGGGGACAAGCGAAAAATCGCCCGGGGTCCGCAGAAGAGAAGCTGCCGGCATCGCTTCGCTGCAGACGGTGCCGTCTGAAGCACAAACGAGAGCACCCAAGCAGATACACCTTCCCTCAAGCCCCCCAACACAATTGGTTTTACAATAACACAATTCGGTATTGTTCCCAAGGCTAAGACGCATGTGGTATTTCACGGCTGGGCTGGACCACGAACCATCCGCCCACAACACGGTTATTATGCCGAGTTTTCAAGACACCAAAAAGTAGCGTCAAGAGCGACAGCGGCTGGCGTCAATGATCATGTTACGCATCGAGGAGCTTCTAAACCCCGCCGTGCCCGAAAACACCGGCGGGAATCAGGACAGAACAGCTCACACACTTTCAGGGGTCTCAAGTTCCCGGTATCGATGTCAAGTGCTGAATGGTGTTCAGCACCGGGCGGCCAGCAATACGCCCAACCAGCGAACTTCAACTTCTTCGCCAGGAACACAAGGACGGGTCAACTTCCCTCCGTTCGAGGACGTCGACGAGAGAACCAGACAGAAGATATTAGCATTCAGCATCCCGCAGTTTGGGTCTATCACAACAAGCTATGAGCACATTCCCTACAACAGCTCCAAAAAGGATTTCTTCGCAAAGACAGGCCGAGAATGTATTGAAGGTTTGGGCTTTCTCGTCTCTAGAAGGATTTCGACTAATGAATAACTAGCATTCAAATATACCTTTCAGGTCCCAAAGAATCCCGCCGTATTCACAGTCATGTGGGACTACAACATGGGTCTCGTTAGAATGACTCCTTTTTTCAAATGCATGGGGTATCCCAAGGCAAGTGTCGATCCCAGGAGGTGTAGCTCGTCAAAGTCTAATAAAAGGCAGACAAAGCCGTCCCAAATGCTGGAAAAAAATCCTGGGCTACGAGACATCTGTCCCAGCATCACTGGCGGAGCAGTATCTGCGCAAGGTATGGCCTTCCCCTATGTGAACTTGGTCTGGAACGTATTGCATAGCTAGAGACATTTCCAGGGTACTGGATGCCATAAAAGTGTGCCAAGGCTGTATGCGCCACTTTTTGTCACGGTTTTGCCGCCGCTTTGATTCCGTTGTTCGGTCCTGGGTTTCCATCGGAGTGCACATCTCCAAGCTCAGCGTATTTCTCCAGCATGACCATCAGTCAGGAATTGATCAGGGAGGTTGCTGGAGATGCTCAGAAGCTTCACCAAAGACATGCCGAGAAGAACACGCCCAGCCATGTATTTACACAGCGACCAGCAGGACGGAATCTCCAAACACGGCAGCCTACCACCACAAGAGGAACGACCCGGACGAGCACTCAACCCATTGGCAGACCGCGTGATTTCTGTAACCCAGCAGCAAAAAGACGGCAGCAAGATGATGTATCTCGAGCAGACGACCAAGCATTCTACTCGCTGCCAAGCATGGCGACTAGCCCGAGACGAGGCGTCTCGTCGTCAAGCCATGCCAGCGAGTATTTTCCTGGTGCAAGAGCCCCCGAGCCTACTGCTTCTAGACGCTCAGGGCAAATACTCTCAACCGCACAATCTTACGAAACCAGCCCAAGGAGTAGAAAACGACGAAAAATAGGCGCTGAAGGCTCCTGCGACAGCGTTGAAGACTTGATGCCCAGGCGGCGCAGCCAGTCAACTAGGGCGTGCTTGCCGAAAAGTAGGCCCCAAAGAGACACCCATGTTGATGAACAGAAACGTATGACGGGGCAAAGGGCCGGCTTCTCTGGCACCACCACCAATACATTCATGACCTGGAGAGGAGAAGAGGAGGAGCCGGGTGCTGACGAAACTCGGCGTCAAGGAGATTCATTTCCTTGGACTTGCGGGAGGAGGAAATCCATCTGAGTAAGAAAGCAGCACCAGCGCCGTCGGACGTGGGACGAGCATCATAGATCGATGCAGATGCGGCACGAGCAAGTATTATCAGTGAGCACTGGGAATTGGAGATATTGTGTGCAAGCAGAGCAACCCCCCCTCCCCTGAAGCCTTGAGTTGCGCTTTGATTGATTCTGTTATTATTCCCGTGTGTAATTTTTCCAATTCCGGCCCAAAAGCCTTTTCCCAACATGCACCAAGTCACGGTGAAGCACCACCGGCCTTGCTCATCTCGGCCGCCTTCTGCTCCTTAAACTTCCTCACCCACGCATCCGCCTTGTCGTTGGGCAGCACAAAGATCCTGACAAGCCCATCCACCACCTCGACTTTCCCCGTGCCCAGCACCTTGAGCAGCGGCACCCGCTTCCCCATCTTGAGCACGCCCCCTCCCACGGTCTCGACGTAGCAGGACACGCCGGCGGCGGTGTACACGCCCTCCCTGTCCCACGGCAGCGGCAAGACGTACGACAGGTGGTCCCCGAGCGTCTGCGTCTCGTCAAAGGCCTTGATAAAGTCCGACTCGAGGTGCTCGGGATACAGCAGCACCGTCGGGAACGCGAGGCTGCTCCGCGGGTCATCCGGGTCCGGCACAAGCTCGACCTTGGCGTCGCCCATGTCCGGCGGCCGGGCCGTCGTCCGCGTCCGGATGCCCCTCGCCCCGAGGGCCGCCCGGAGCAGCATCCCGCGCCGCCCTCGGAGCGCCGCCCTCTCGGCGTCCCCTTTCGCCCTGGCGTCCGCCTCGCGGGCGCGCTCGGCAACGACGCCAGCCACCTCCCGGAGGCCCCTGTTGTCCGGGTCCAGGGACAGCCCGCGCGCGCAGACGTCGTCGGCCTCGGCGACGCGGCCGACCGCCAGGAGGGCCCTCGCGCTCCTGTAGCACGCCTTGACGTTGCGCGGGTTCAGGCGCAGCGCGGCCGCGCAGTCGCCCCAGCAGCTCCTGTAGTTCCCCAGCTCCAGGTGGCACGCGGCGCGGTTCACGTACAGCGCCTCGAGGACCTCCCTCTGCGCGGCGGCCTCGTCGGCGCCGTCGGCCGACGGGCTCCTTGTGCCCGGGGGCTCGCCGTGCGCCGCCCGTCTGCGCTCCTCCGCCGACAGGATCTGGATGCCCTTTGTGTAGAACTCCCTCGCGTCCACGTAGCCGCGGACCTTGAAGCACTCGTTTCCGCGGACCTTGAAGTCGGCCCCGTTCTCGAGCGGCGTGCCCTCGTAGTTGAGCGCCTGGAGGGCCGCGATGTCGTCGTTCTCCTCCATGTCGGTCATGAACAGCGGCGACCTGTTGAGGTCCGCCATGATTTCGTCAAACGTCTGCTTCTGGCGGGATGCCATGCTGGGCGGCAACTCGGGGTTTGGTTTCGTCGACGGGCACACGTGCTGGGCTGGTGGTGGTGGTGGTGCCGCCTGCCCGGCTCCGGCTTCTCCTGCGATCTCGTCCATGGTCTCCTCGCGCTTCGTCGGGCTTCGTTTGATGCGGCGTCGAGTAAGCTAGGCTGGCTTTGATCACGGACAGGACATGGCGTCGCCAAGATGTGCGTGTGAGGTGTCGAACGAGGCCTCGACTTCACTCGATGAGTTTTGTGTTTTGTGTGCTCCGACTGGTTTCTGTTGTGGCGGAAAATTCCCAGCACGCAGCCTCGCTCGCCGATGCGACAGATACTACATACACGTTGCGATGGCCAATAGCTGACGTGGCCATTTTGCACCACCCCGAACTGTCCCGAGGAAAAACTCAATACTATATACGTACAGTGATCAAGCGCTTTTTTTCCTTCTCGTATAGCGGCGCCCGGGTCGCGCCGCATTCTTTCGTTTCGATACCCAACAATTTGAAAATTCATACCTTCATCAGTGCCCCACATTTTCTGCTACAATTCCATGCGCCGCGACCACTCTGGGACGAGGAACAGGCTCTTTTTTTGTTCTATTTCTTGTTTATTCATCTACTCCATGCCTTCTATGTACCCGAATCCCTCAATATATCATAAGAAATATCCAAACGACCAGGATAAATACACACTTTCAAAATGCAGGCTTCCCAACGCCAAACGTATGCATCGTGGCATGACAGCATCTAAACTACCTCTTCTTCTCATCAGTACGTTTCAATATATTCCAAACTGAGCGCTACCGTCACGCGACCTTCACAAGCGTACGGGCCGTAAACCTGTGACATGATGGTCACTCTTGAACAGAATGCCAAATTAGTAATGAGCATTAGTTCAGAACAATATTCTCTCAAGGATAACATGTTCATGCCACATTAGTGTCAAGACAGCATAAGAAATCATGAGAAAATTCGCTTCATAAAAATGAGGCCGTCATTGCCGTCCTTGCTCTTCGTTAGAGACTTCAGCGGCAAGAGCATTGAGTTTGTTGCAAGGCGGTGGCCAAGCACATTCGTCAGATATTTCGGTATTTCGCTCTCGAGGGACCAGGAAACATTGAACGGAGCCAGCAATGGCAACGACGACACTCCCGTACCAAGCCAGAGCCGTGCAGTTCATTTTGCTACCGTAGGTGTAAAGGAACCCTGCAATGGGAGGCGCAATCATCCGACAGGCAGCGCCAGCACTAGCGGCTAAACCGTTGACCTTGCCCAAAGCGCTGGATGTAGGAGTGGCTTCTTTGATAAGAATGAGGAGCAGCGGGTACAGAGTGATGGAAAGAATATTTCGAATTGCAAGGCAGACGTAGATTGAGGGAAAGATGAGGGACTCAGGAACGAGGAGTAGAAAGGGAACAACCGCGTACACGACGGGGTGCAAGACGGTGACAATGAGAAAGAGCTTGTACACACCGACTCTCTCTGCCGCGACAGGGAAAATGACAGCCTGAACAAACAGAGCAATGCATCCGTTGACAGCCATGATCATTCCAACATCTCGGAGAGAGAGCCCCAAGCCACCAGACGAGCTTAACGTCGCCAGAAGGGAAGTGGTGCCTCTGTTGACGATGCGATCATCCTCGAAGAAAATTGGCATGAGGTGGTCGTATGTCATGGAATGATATGTAAAGATGCACAAGGCAATGATGAATCCAACAACACGCTTGTTCCAAACCTTGGACAAACCCAGCTTTTCCTGACTACAGACTTCTCGTCCCCCGTCACAGACGGCATCCCTTTGGACACTTCGGAGGGTTCCATAGGTTTCGGCTCGCAGGTCTACCGCTGGGCGCTTCATAGCATCTGAAGTCTCTATCAGCGGAGTCTCTTCCGAGACGTAGGTATCTGCAGGCAACAGTATGCGGGGTTGCATATCGGGATGAGTCTCATCGAGGAGCGCGAATCCCAAAACAATGCTGACGAGTAAGAGAGCTGCGCAAAGGAGGTTGGGGAGAAGGTACGGATAGCGTTGAAATAGACCGCCTTTTAGGAACACGTTGGGCCAGGACTCGTGGGGATCGGCAAAGGTGCCGCCAATACAAGGTCCAATAATGGTTCCGATGCTCCAGACAAAGGGCATCACGGCGAAAGCGCGGGCTGTAAACGGTCAGCACGTGTGTTTGAGTGCGAAACACGGCAAGGTGCAGCGAAATTAAACGGCTTACGTTCGTGTTCGGGCTTTGTGACGAGTTCGCCGACCATCGTTTGAATAACGCCAATGTTCCCGTTCAGAAGACCGCCTATGGCTCGACCGAGTAACGCAACCCAGATGTTGGAGGCGAATCCTACCATGACCATGCTAAACATGGTCCCCAGGCAACCAATCATTAAAACAGGTTTGCGACCAATGCGGTCGGATAGGCCGCCCCAGTACATGCCCATCAAGGCCTCGGCGAGAGAGAAGGAGGAAATAAGAAGTCCGGAGTAGAAGGACGCATCTTGTTCGTTTCCAATATGGAACTTCTTCACAAGGGCCCATGCGTAAGGAAAGATGGAGGTGAGTGCAATGGGTTCGGCAAGACGAACCACGGCTGCGAGGCGTAAGCGTTATTTCTGAAAACATGTCGAGTCTCCTTCTCAACGACTGGGCATTGGTGTTGGGTGGATCGCGTACCTAGAAGAAAGAGCTGCAGAGTCGGAAAATCATTTGGATTGCGTGTACTGATGTGCTTTGTTAGGGCCATGTTTTTGTTGCGCAGCGAGAGCTTACAACAAGACACGGGCACGTCGTCGGAAGAGGCCAGTGTTTTGAGGTTTGTCAAGATCAGTATTGACGTGGGCGTGAGGCGAGGCGAGGCGAGGCGATGCGAATACTCTACCGCCACGGAACACACAGGACAAGAGCTTGCAAGGTGTAAGGCGGGCTTTGCTATTGAGCGCCCTGCACAATCAAATGGCAGAGGCACAAAGTGGCAAAGGCAGCAGAGATTGCCAGGGCCAAAGGGGAAAAAAGACCAAAACGTGGAGGGGAAGAAAGAAGCCTCGAGAATAAGCGGTGGGCCAAGTCTGTATTTCAGGGCGGATGTTCGAGGCGGGTGGTCGGCGAGGGACCGGCGTTGCTAACGATTAAAGCGGGGCACTGGCAAGGACCGAGCAAAAGGAACAATAAACCGGGGCACACCAAGAAAAATATTTGTGCCATATGCAACCAGTTCATGCATGTAAGCCGAAATGCAATGCAAAAGAGGCCATTAGTGCGAACTGATGCGGAAGGAGCATTGACGGAGCGTGTCTTGCTTGCCGGTTTGAGCATCCTTGTCTCGCATCTTCTCGCGCGTCTGACTGCTGGTGCTGGTCCCGTCGAGAATGTCTCAGTCGCGCAGCACAACAGTCTGGTTGCATCCAACGAGTGGAATGCAAAGTGACCAGTTTCAACGGGCGCATAGCGGACTGCCGCATTGTAGTCACATTATTGAACACGTTTTCGTCCTTTGTTCGACGGCCCGCCGCATCCCTGATTGTCGATACATTCCTGGCGCGTTGGTTGTCGCAGATTCTTTTGGCGCAGATTCAGGACTGACCAATCACAGAATAATCCATGCACACCGCAATCGGTGCCTAGCTAGGGCCACGCGTCGGAGGTCAGCTCCGGCCAGCCGGCTACGTCCTTGCATGGAATCTTCTCGCCCGAGTGCACCGGCCGGGTTCAGGGTGGGGGTGGGCTCCATCCACGAGGCAAACACTTGGGAGTTGCAGCCCGCATACAAGAATATACAGCAAGATTGAATAATTTCCCGCCTGCAGCTCGATGCCACGTACCGAGACCTCGTCACTCACATCCGACTCGGTCCAAGATTATGGTGGCTTGCAGAGTCTATCCAGACCCCGATTTGACGTGCATATGTAACGTCAAGGCGAGTGAGTGAGTCTTCAGCGTTCACGTTCGCTGGCAAGGCGGGCCTTGGAATCCTTAATGACACGGTTGTATCAGTAGCAGCCGACGACTTGCATAAGGTGCGAATTGGGGATCGGCAGGAAAAAGCGAAATTTGTCGTCTGATCTGGGACAGGGCAATTATATATCCTATCCTTATCAAGAAGGGGGGGGCAGTGCTTGCTCACACCAACCAGTTTCCGGCCCGGTAGGTCCTCGTGGCTTGGATCATGTGGAGGCATTGTCTTGTCTTTTACTCCGTACTCCGTAATCAGCTCAAGTACGGAGTACGGAGATTCCGTACCCATCACCCGCATGCTGCAACAAATACCCCGGCAGTGACACCTAGGCAACTTGTCCCGGCTCTGCCAACGTCATCTGGACGGCAGGATATGGAGGAAATGTCCTGCTGGATGATCCGCCCGTACGGAGTACCGTTGAGTTGATTCATGCTCCATCCATGTCATCCGTCCAACGGACACGACTGCCCTAGCGCTGGCTTTCCCAGCCAGCCGCTCCTCATCAGGAGCCCAAGCCGCCAAGCAGGCCATCCCAAGGCCGAGGTCCAAGCGATTTGCCTCTCCTCCGTCATCGCAGCCATGGCTTCGTCAGCCCCGACCCTAGCGTTGATACGCCCATGTCTGATGCAGTTAACCGAATACGCTAGCTGGGGGCATGCGCTAGTTCCCGTTCGCGATATTTTCATAAGCCGCACTGGGTGGACCCCTGGGGGGCAACCTCCTGCAATGTCGCATAGCGTACGGAGTGCTCCGTACGTTATAAGGTGGTCTACTTGCACACAAAAGTGTGGCGTGTGCCACGTTCATTTCATGGTGATAACTATGTGCGTCGATATCACATCTGCGTGACTTTCTGCAATGTGCCAAACGAGGATTGGACATGCGCATCAATTTGATCCAGAAGACGCGGCACATTGCAAGCCGTGAACTCCGACAAGAGAAAGAACCGAGACAAGGAGAACGTTGCACGGTTAGGCAGCGCCTCAGCTACAAGATACGAAGGGCTCTGGGTACGGAGTATGATAGACGTCCTGAAAGGCTACAAAAGAGAGCTATGTTTGCGCACGGCATGATGGAAGTGCGTTTTGTGGTCTGTTCCGGGACTCGTAAAGATATCACGCTGCTCGTCGCGACAAGAAACGAGTTCAAATGCAGTCGACATTACTTACAAGTTCGTTCGCGGTCACAAAGCCCATGGATTACCGGCAAAAGCAATACCTCATGCCTTGCCCGTGAGCCTGGTTTAGTTGTACCAATATTTTCCGTACGGAGTACTTTGCCACCCGCTCAACAGAACCGGAGTCGAGGAGGAATATCCAGTTGAGCATGATTTGTAACACCCCGAGGCTGCTGCGCCAATTGCGACTCTAGGTCTTGTCTCAGAACGCCCAGTGGTAGACAGATGGATCAAGCTTCTGCCTCGTCTCGCCGTGACGACAGTCCAGTCCCGTTTATATGTGCTGATTGGAAGTTGAAGGCTGCCAAAAAATCAATATTTATTTCAGCTTGAATGAAAGAGTTCAACCTGACGACGATGATGGTATCGCTGCAGCACTGACACATCACTTCCACACGGGCGTCCGTCATGCGTCAACAAGAACACAGGCGGCATGGCCAACTGGACCGAAGGGAAAAAAGCCAATAAAACAACAAAATTCTGTCTTGGGTACGAAGCGAAGGGTCTGTGAATTACCGTACTAGAAAACCCAGCATGTCGCCACAAAGCCAGCCTTTCACTAAAGGCCACCACTCTTCGTATCCTTGCAGAACTTCATGATGGAGATGGGTGTATGGAGTACAGGCATTGTCGCTTGTTGCACGGCGGCTTCACCGCGAAGATTGCCACCGCAGCTTCACCTGGCTCCCGTTGACTCTGCTCAGGCTTTTCCCTGTGGATCAGTCCCAGGTTTTGCCTCGCCTTATTCCTGCTTTGAGGCTGAGGGGCTGTAAGGACGCATCTGACGGATACCAGGCAGCTGATACTAACAACACGTACGCTCTCGGGATATTGTGTGGTCCCGTCGTCGCCGCTTTTGTATTTGGTAGATTATCCAAGATCGGAATAAAGGCTACCAACGTGACGAGGTGCGACGGAGAGCCTATCGCAACAAGGAAATATCCTCCAAGGGACCTTGTACAGGGTTGGGCAAAGGTAGTCGAACAGCGGCTCATCTTACGATGTGTACGCGTAGACAGCCGGAATTGCGGGGGAATGACTGCATGTTTGCTTGGAATTAGCAAAATTCACACACCGTAACCGCTGGCCTTGTGGTCACCGCATGAGGGCCTGTTTATCCCGGTGGCCACCCACACCGTCTGCGCATAGCGTTGATCCCATCATGCCGTTACGCAAACCGACACATAGTCACTGCACTTCGCTGCCATCCCTTGGCCGCAAAGAGACTCACGCTACGCCCAGCTTTCTCAGAATTTTCTTGTACTCCTCCGCCTCCTCTTCCATCTGCTCCGGGGTCCTCGAGTCTCGATCCGCGTCCTCAATCCTGGGCATGCCGCCGGCGGGCGCGGGGCGACGCTCTCGATCCCACATGGCACCGCCGACATTCCCATCCTCACTAGACATCTTGACGTAAATGGCATCCGGGCTGTCACCCACGTCTCCCTTCCTCCGAGGAATCACGTGAACGTGTAAATGGGGGACAGTCTGACCCGAGTCGGGCCCATCTTGCACGGCGACCGTGAAGCTCCCCGAGAGCAGGTTTCCGGGCTCAGGCAGGTATTTCTGCGCCAGCATCCGCTGCGCGAGCTGGACGGTGCAGAAGAGATCTGCCGTCTCGGCTGGAGACAGGTCTGTCAGGCGCGGATGGGGCTTCAACGGACACACGAGGATGTGGCCTGGGATGAGGGGCTTGAGATTGACGAGGGCATACGAATGTGGTGTCGTGAGGAACACCTGGTAATTGGGCGGTTAGGGTCTTGTGACTGGCTCCGTTGCAATCGCGTAGACGGAGTGTTCAGAGCGCGCGGAATGCCCATGGCACGCACCTGCTTTGTGACCTCGAAAGGCCCAAAATGTATTGACATGCCTTCCGTCTTTGTGGATGTCATGATGGTTCTGCGAAGAGGGGATGACGATGGGAGATGCCTGCCGATGCCTGATGCAGCTCGAAGCATGTTATCATGGAGGGCGCCAGTGTGCAGCTGCTCGTGCGCCTATGCGCGTGATGAGGGTTGTTTGATAGGGACCTGGGATGGTTGGTATTGGGCCAGAGGCGCGACGCGACCCGACATGACAACACCAGACACAAGTCGTCCTGACTCCTCCCTCATACGAGTGCTCACTGCTCGGCGAAGAGAAGCGCGCTGCTGCGGCGGCTGCCCAGGCGTGGATCAATGCCAGCCATTGGTCAATGAACCGCCGACCCGCCATCTGCTAGCGCCCAAGTTATCTACTTACCCAAGAAGTGCCGAAGAGTGTTGCAACTTGCCATGCTTGTGGTCATCGGTCACCAGCCGGCACGCATGGCTACAGTCTCGGGCATCGAGACATGAGTCGTTTTGATCTCGTTCATCGAGAAATCAAACAGCAAAACACCGACTGCTGCTTTCCAGCGTGCCAGATCTGCCACCACACATACGTTGTCAAGACTCACGGCCAACGGCAGGGTACCACACGTGCATATACATACATATATGAGTACGAGGAATTCGTCCGTCACACCCAGCTTGATGGAAAAGCAATGACTCGCAATCCTCGGCTATTCTGCCTTCAAAATCGTTGCCATAGGCTTGTTCAAGCTTCCGAGGCCGAGGCCAAACCCCGCAACATTGGCTAACATCGACGAGAAAGAAATAAATGTCTCGTCCGAAAATATGTACACTCTAAGCCTAAACTTGACATCTACGCTGACACAAATCGAAAACATGTACGGACCAGCGAATGTGCGAATAGAAAAAAAGGCACGGAAATGCCACGTATTGAAACGTCAGTACCGAATTTCGTCCTCGTCCACAGGAAAAACGACGCCACCGGTGCCAACTGCTTATGGAACGGTTCAATTGAGCGGCTCGCGCGCATCCCCTTCTTCTTCGTGGTCCTCGTGCCAATAGACTAATGATGATGAGGTCAGCCAGCAGCGAGGAATCGGCACCCTGCAAGTCTCTTCAAACTTACCGAACGGCGTGATTATAAAGCTGCAGACCAGCGCAAACGAGAAAAGACCAGCGATGGCGACGAAAATAGCCTGCGGAAAGCTACCTACCGTTGCAGCGTATAAACCGTTGAATGCCACAGGTCCAATGACTCTGACGAGAGCTTGAAGCATGCCAATTGCACCGAGAACGCTGCCGACCCTGTCGTGTGGAACGTGCTTCGTGATGACAGATTGACTGGTTGCACTTCCAAGCCCGCCGAACGCAGTGACCATGGCGCAGGCGACAAAAGGCCCAGGGGCCCTGGCAAGACTGTATCCGACATACCCCAAGATATCCGAAACAAGGGCGATGCGGAGAATCCATATGTCCAAATGATCGGCTCCGCCGTTCCTATCCGTAGGAGTGATACCAGATCGCCGTCTTCTCTTGGCGGCAGGTCGTACACGAAAAAAGTAGTTGATGAATGGGAAGAAGCCCATGAGTACAACGACTCGAAAGGAGGAGGCGGCGGCCACGAAGCGTGACGTTTCAGGAGTCTGCCAGCCAAACACGTACTCGGCGTAGAGCATGATAACCTGGCCAGTGGCCATGGCGGTTCCCATGATAACCATATCGCAAGTGGCTAAAGCCAAGAGGTTGAGGCGGAGTCTTGTCGAGGTTCCTTGTCCCCTGGGCCACAGAACAGAGAGAGATGAGAAGGGGTTTCTCTCCCGCACCCAAGAGACCCAGGATACCGATCGTTCCCTGCGCGCCTCCTCTTCCTTGCGATGCTTCTCGCGAGCGACAAGCTTCTTGTTTCCGGACAATGAATCAGGGATGACAAAGGCGACAAACACGATGAAAAAAGAGTGAGCCGCGAGACAGACGTAAAATACTGAGACCAGGCTTCCCGTCAATCTGACGATTTCTCCGCCCAAAAGCTGACCCGCGGCCAAGCCGGTGAAGAGACAGGCATGGATATAGCCAATGGCCACAGCACGTCTGGATGGAGGCGTGCAGTCGCTTGTATATGATTGAGTCAGGATGTGTCCAGCCGTGAAGGAGCCCGTCACGCCGTCGAAGATGGATCCAAGCATCAACCAGCGATAATCAACAATGTCGGGAAACTTGGCGGCCAGGATGGTTATGAATTCGCCGAGCAATCCACCGCAGGATGCAAGAGCAAGTAATCGCCGGCGACCATATCTATCGGACAGCTGTCCAAGCCGAGGGGCAGAGTAGGCGCTGAGCAAACCTGTGCAAAAGCTCATGGCCAGCATGAAGGCTGCAACACGTTTCTGAACCTCTGGGTTTCTGCATTGGGGGTTGTCGGCGCCCAGAATGACGGGCCTGGCGTTGGGATCCGGGTGCAGATGCTGTTTACTTGCAAAGTAATGCTGACATACCAGGTCGAGAATCCTGTGACAATGTTAACCGAAATATCGACACGCACGGCGCTGCGAAGACTTGCGCGGTCCGAGGGGCGCCTTACAGATTCAACTTGGGCACAATGACACTTCCAAAAGCAAGGGTGAAGACTGAATACGGCGCCAGCAACCAAAAGACCTAGAGCCACCTGATTAACAACAAGATCAGTCTCCTTGGTCTCGAGCTGGAGCACTCACCGACGGCTTTCGCCACCAAGGCAGTCCTTCAAAGTCGGCCAGGCCGTTCCAAGCCCCCTTGGCGCCTTGTACATTGCTTGCCGCGGTGACTTTCCCAGTCTCCTCAACAACCGTGCCTAGGAGACTGGTTGTTTCGGTGGCAACTGCCATGGGCAAATTCGAATCATGTTGCCGGTCACCTTGCGCCTCTGGACCGTTCCGTCGGCTTGGCATCTTGGAATAATGATACGGGGAGGCGCAGCACGTGCACCATGTATTCGACGAAGCTATTAGATCATGAGTTTCCGTGGGGCGAGGGTCGCAATCAAAAGCAGCTTATGGGCGACGGCCAGATTGATCAGGTGTGCTTGGGGCTTTGTGTTTGGTAAGCCCATGTCGTAGCACAGCTGTGAGTTCTGTCTCAAATCTGGGAGCGCATGTGTTTCAGAGCGATGGTGGAGGAAACGTAGGCTCTGGGTATTGTTGTGGTATGCGGGCTTGGCCATTTATGATGGACGCTATGAAGTGGACGACGCGGAAAATTCTCGACCAAGGCTGAGGAGTCAATGACGACCAGTTGACCACAGAATCTCCCGACCCCAGCGGACATGGACGCGCATCTTGGAACTAACCGGTCGAAGCCTACATGTGATCTAGGGGCCCAGGCGACGGCATTGATTAAAAAACAATGCCGAGCACACAACGCAAGTACGGACTACGGAGTACTCCGCCAGCAAGGCGGCAGCAGGCCAAGCAACGGTAGTTTCAGCCCCCCGTCCCCATGGCTGGCGCACCATGAAGCCATGCTGCGCTTGCTGGAAATAAAAGGGAGCCGTGGCCAGTCCCCAGAGGGCTTCGAGCATTCCTCGCCCGCCGTTTGCAATTTGCAATGCGTGTTGGGAGCGCGATGCTGTTGCTGCAGGAGAAGCATTACGCAGCATGCTGTCGTCATGGTTTCATGGAACGGTTTGGCCCATGTCGCCGCCCTCGCAGACCCAACGGTCCATCGCACCAATGAAGTGATGACAGCGCCAGCCGGAATCAGGTTTAGTTACGGAGTACTAGGGTCGAAGACGATTGCCCAGTGGATGTGGCGTTACGCGGCGTGGAATGACCCAAACTCCGCGCTGCGGCTCCTAGACTTTGGGGCTTGAGATGCAGTGCGCGCGATAATCGTGCCCGCCCCACTTTATGTGGTTCGGCTAGCAAAAGCCCTCACCACCAAAGGTGGTGCTCGACAGCAAGGCGGGCCGGACACCAAGGCGGGCCAATTTTCAACCTAATAACGCTATTAACCTCTTCGCCTATAATGTACACCCTTCTCGTCCCAAATTTCTAGTAGATCTAGTACAGAATCCAGACGCCATTTACGTGCCTTTTTAGCTGCTTCAAAAAACGTCCTCTTGGCGTGGTTGTGGCGCCTTTTGTCGGCATGCTCTTTATGCTTGCTGTTCGCCTGATGAACTCGAGAAAGGTCTTTGCAAAGGCGTGATTGGAAGGAGAAACGGCGAATGGTTGACGCGACAGGTATGCATTTGTTGGCGGTGACGGGAGGGGAGCCATATGAAGAGGTGCATTATCTGTTGACTGTTTTTCTAGACCGGGAAATAAAAATAGGACATGTATAGAAAACCAGATATTACAGCCCTTTTTAAAAAAAAAATCAAAAAAATCAAAGGTCGTCACTCATTCATTGGAAGCTTCAACGAAAAAAAAAACCCCGGATGTAATTACGCAGCTCATTAAAGATCCACCTGATCAATCGCCGGCCACCATTGAGACCAGGCCCCCTGCTCGTCGAGGTTATTGCTGACTTCCGCGAAAAGCTGGTTCAACAAGGTATTAGTGTCGAGCTCGTGCTCGTGCTCGTGCTCGTGCTCGTGCCCTTGAACCGGCCAAGTCGCCTGCGCCGAGGGCCGCTCCGCGCCCCGAATCTCCCGAGTATGCGCGTCGGATCTATCCACGACACGGAACTCGTGGACAGACTGGTGTAGAGTATCAAAGTCTGCTCGTGTGCGCCCCTGGTATCGTGTCCGGTCCTCGGTTGCTCGCTCGTAGAGCACGGATGCATGGTGTATCGTTTTGATCTTGCGCGTGCCGCCCTCTCAATGTTAGCGCAACGGTGGCCACGGTCGTGTCATGCTTGCGGGCGGCTTACCCATCCGTCGGCGATTTTCCAGACAAGTCGAAACTTTTCCAGGTAGTCGAGACACATTTTGAGACAGTCGCTTGCTCGCGGGCTGCGGCCCAGGTTCATTCGGGGGTATTTCGCCACGTAGAGGTTGAGGTAGCCGGCTGAGAATGCGCAGAACCCGGCAAAGGGCGTCATGAGATGCACGCCACACTCGGAGGCCTCGTGTAGAATGGCGGCGATGTGCTCTGCCGCGCCGAAGAGGAGTCGGGAGCTGTCGTCCCACCAGCCCTCGGGGGCGGGCGCCCCCAGCATGGGCTGGTCGACTGGACCCCGTGGCTCCGACTCCGGGGTCGGCAGGAAGGGGAAGTACTCGCGGTGAAGCATGAGGGTGCTGACAAGGCGTAAGCAGGGGCGGCGGCGGCAAGTTGGGAGCCCCGTCGACCGCTACCGCTGTGGGAAGGGGATTCTTACCTCACGTAGTACAGGAGATTGAGGTAGACGAACGTCTCGCCGAAGCCGAGCGTCATGTGGACGGCCACCGAGTTGCTGGGGTAATGGAGCTTCCGATGCTGGCCTGCCCTCAGTGCGGACTTTGGTAGCGTCGGAGCGCCGGACACGATCAAGACTCGAGCGTAGTCATGTCGTTCCTGGTGTCTGTACGAAATACAGTGCAGAGCGGTACGCACTTTTGTTGGCACCCGACAGAACATCATGTTGAAGTACTTGTGCACGGGCGAGAGCACCGAGTCTGGTCTTGTCGCCTTACTCCCTCAGATGAGAAGCTGTAGATCGTTTATTATATGCTCGGGACTGTCAGCATCGTACGTCTCTTGATGCTACAGAAGCCGTTTGATTACCTAGTAACTAGTCATTAGCTCGCGTACTTTACGAAGCAGAATAACCGCACGTGGCCATGACTTCATCTGCACCATGGGCCTCCTAGCAACAACAGCTCGCAGCTCTTCGTACAGGCGTCGATGGCAATGATGACAAAACATGCTGCTCTTCGATAGATGCCCAAGCGCAATTTGAATCTGAAGAGCCCAGTAGACGATGCTCAAGAGCACGCACTTTGCCCACTTGGGCAGGCCTCCCCGCCAACCAACCAGCGCTCGTCGTTGCATGACTCAGCAACTCAGATCGGCCTGCACCATTTTCCAGTAGCGAGGTCAACCAACACGAGCGCAGAGCATCCGCCGCCCGTCGTCGTCGCCGCATCGCATCGCATCGCATACAGCGTTTGTCCACCATGCCGGTCGTCAAGGGAGGTGTTTGGACCAATATCGAGGATGAAATCCTCAAAGCCTCCGTCTCCAAGTATGGCCTGAACCAGTGGGCACGCGTGTCGTCCCTGTTGGCGCGGAAGACGCCCAAGCAGTGCAAGGCACGATGGAACGAATGGCTGGACCCGAGTATCAAGAAAATAGAATGGAGCAAGGACGAGGATGAAAAGCTCCTGCACCTCGCCAAGATTATGCCCACGCAATGGCGGACGATAGCTCCCATTGTCGGCCGTACAGCCAACCAATGCCTCGAGCGGTATCAAAAGCTGCTCGATGAAGCTGAAGCTCGCGAGTCGTCCAGCCTAGGACTGACGGGCCCGGATGGGGGCGAGACGCAAGCGCCCAGCGCCGACGATGTCAGACGATTGCGCCCCGGCGAGCTCGACCCCGATCCCGAATCCAAGCCTGCTCGCCCTGATACTATCGACCTCGACGAGGATGAAAAGGAGATGCTGAGCGAGGCTCGAGCTCGTTTGGCCAACACTCAAGGTAAAAAGGCAAAAAGAAAGGCCCGAGAGCGTCAACAAGAGGAGTCTCGTCGCTTGGCGACCCTGCAGAAACGGCGGGAGCTCAAGACGGCCGGTATCAACATCAAGGTCATCACAAGGAAAAAGGGCGAGATGGACTACAACGCCGACATTCCGTTCGAGAAGAAGGCAGCACCCGGATTCTATGATACAGCTGAAGAGCAAACGCAAAACGAAGCACAACGCAGAGCGTTTGATCCCCAGAAGCTGAATCTAGCCACGAAGCGGAAGGGCGACGAGGAGGAGGACGGCGATCGTAAGAGGAGAAAGAATGAAAAAGAGGGGCTTTCCGAGTCGCAAAAAGCAGCCATCAAGGCCGGTCAAATGCAGAAGATTCGAGAGGCTGAGCAAAGCAGCAAGCGCCGACCTCTGAACCTGCCTGCACCGCAAGTCAGCGAGGGCGAGCTGGAGGACATCATCAAAATGGGCAAGATGGGCGAAGCCGCAAATGCGGTGGCCAGAGAAAGCGACAATGACGCCACGAGAGGGTTTGTCAATTCATACTCTACGCTCAACACCAGCGCGCCTATACGTACGCCCAGGGCCCCGGAACAGGAGGACCACATTGCGAATGAGATTCGAAATATCCGTGCCTTGAACGACACAAAGTCGGCGCTGCTGGGGGGCGAGAACACCCCCCTGCACGAGGGAGCAGGATCAACCGGCTTCGACGGCATCGCGCCCAGGAAACAAGCCATGGCGACGCCGAATCCCCTCGCAACCCCGTTGCGATCCGGGGCCGGCGTTGGAGCAACGCCTGGCCGGCCTGGACAAACGCCGATGCGTACGCCGCGTGACACCTTCTCACTGAACCAGGAAGATGGCATGATGCCGTCCGCCACGCCCCGCGACATGAGGATGCACGACCTTGCCATGCGGAAGCAACTACGCTCGGGCCTTGCTTCGCTCCCAAAGCCCAAGGAGACCGAATGGGAGTTTGAAATTCCCGATGAGGAGCGGGAGACGGCCCCGGCAGACGGCACACTAGAAGAAGACGCCGCGGAACGAGACCGCCGGGAGCAGGCAATACGTGCCGCGGAGGAAGAACTAGAGCGGAGACGGAGAACACAAGTCATGCAGAAGGACTTGCCGCGACCGCCGATTGTCGACCTGACCCTGTTGCTCGAAAAGGCCGACGCCATCCAGGACGCCGGGGAGGCCATGATCGCCAGAGAAGCAGCGTTACTCATGGCCAATGACGCAGCTCGATATCCCCTGGCTGGCTCACAAGTCAAGGGCGCCCACAAGCCCATTGAGCGCTTCGACGACGACGCGCTCGCAGACGCTCGCCTCCTGATTTTGTCGGAGACGAAGCCCCGTCCCGAACTGGAGCAGATCCAAGATTTTTTTGAGACGCGAGCGAAGAACTCTATGCTCCTAGGACTGGGATGCTACAACGATGACGAGGCGGAGCACGAGGCCGCCATGCGTGCTGCATTTGACGTAAGTTTGCACCCCCTTCCTCGCCGTCACAAGGGCCGACTATCTACCTGGAGGGTGCTGTTAACTTTTTTTTTCCCCTCCCTCTCCGCAGGCCGTCCAGGATTCAATCATGGCCTCAGCAGAGCAGGGCGCCAAGCTGGAGAAGAAGCTGGCTCTTCATCTCGGCGGATACCAAAAACGGCAAAAGATGCTCCGGGACAAGATCAACGGTGCCACGGACGCGCTGGAGAAGGCTCGAAACGCTCTAAGCGGATTCAAGACGTTGGCCATATCCGAGGACGTGGCGATAGACAGACGGTTGGAGGCGCTGAGAGAGGAAGTCGCGTACGTTACTAGGCGGGAGAGAGAGGCGCAGGAGGAGTACAGGAAGGCGAGGGACGAATTGTCCGCCCTGAGGACGGACGGGAGAAATGGACACCTCTGAAGAGAAACAAGACAACGGGGGCTTGTTGATTTCGATGCTGGGAAGAACGCGTGCGTTGCGGGACAGGACAAGTTGACCAAGGTCTGGTTCCTTAATGTATTCTAGAAAACCTGACGGTGGTTTAAAATCCACATGCCCCGTAGGCAATATATATATGCCCAAGGGGGAAGGAAACTGTATGATAGAAAGTGCTCCATCCAAAAAGTGCAAGCTGAAACCATTGCTCCGTTCCTAGACGACGTCATGTCCGAAAGCCGCCTTCAAGAAGCCACGCTTGAACGTGGATAATCCCCCCTCTGGAGTCCCCGACATGGTTAGTGGGACGTACGTACGTGCTCAACTGACGCTGTGGTTCTTGACGTGCTTCCTGGCAGGCAATCTCTTCAACTTCATGGGCACGACAAGGGCCACAGAAACGGCGGCCATGAAGATGCAAAATCCAAATGTCAACCGGAGCGACGCCTCGTATGCCTGGATGACCTGCTCTCTGTACGGCTCATCCAACTGGGCCACGGCCTCGACCGACGCCCTCACGCGGCGAATGACGCCCTCTTTCAGCTCGCCACTCACGTAGTCGTCTAGATAAAAGACGAGGGCATTCTGAAGCAGCAGACTGCTCATGGCTATGCCGAGGACCATGCCCAGACTGCGCCAGAGGATGAGCGTGCTCGACACGACTGCCTGTTCGGACTGCGGCGACGAGGCCAGGATGGCCATGAAGGTCCCCGGGAAGCTGAAGCCGCCGCCGATGGACGACGGGAGCAGCGTGAGGAAGTAGGCGACGGACGGCAGGTTCCGGCGCAGGGAGAAGAGGCAGACGGTGCCGATGAGGTAGCCGGTCGCTCCGCAGACGAGGGGCCACTTGAGGCGGCGCGTCCATGTAATGGCGAAGCCGGTGAGGGCCCCGAAGAAGGAGGAGACGAGGGTGGGTGCGACCAGGCGGAAGCCCGAGTCGGTGGCGGACATGAGAAGGACGGCCTGGAAGTAGAGCGGACTGTTGCGTCGGGTAGTTAGCGACGTGGCACTCGGTAAGTCGAGAGTCGAGACGGCGGTGGATGACGCGGTGATGCCGCTTGTCTGCTGCAACGGCAGGGTCCCCTCCCTGGAAGGTTACGTGGGGACGTACATGTTGAAGAAGATGGCGTTGGAGAGCAAGGCGGCAATGCCATTGGAGTAGATGAGATTGGAGCGCGGAGATTCCTGGATGAGACGCAGCGGCATGATGGGCTTGGAGACGCGAGACTCGATGGATATGAATGCCGGAAAGCAGACTGCAAAGATGGCGAGCGAGGCAATGACGAAAGGATGAGACCCTGCAATTTGTCAGTTGCCGCCCTGTCCGCCCTGACTACGGAGACGTGTCTCGTTCTCACTTACATGGCATCACATTGCCACCGAGATTCTGGCCAACAAATCAGTCAGGGCAAGCCAAAGGCCACGGCGTCATGACACGAAACAACACCTACCAGTCCAAGTATGAGAAAGGAAATGGCAACAGTCAAGAGCAGCGACCCTTTGGCATCAAACTCTCGGATGGCTTGCGTGACCGTCTTTCTCTCGCCCACGATGCCCAGGTCATCGGGTATGGCCGTGGCCGAGATGCACAAGCCAATCACCAGGGGAGGGATCTGGATGCCAAACATCCACCTCCAGCCGATTGCTTCGGCCATTGCGCCGCCGAGAGCAGCCCCAAGGGCAGAGGCCGCTCCGTAGACGATGTTCATGTACGACTGGTACGCTCCTCGCCGTCTAGTACAACAACAGACACGTCAGCAAAGGCAGGCAAGCTAGGCTAGCTAGCTAGCCAGGACGCAAGCGCCTGGAGACACGCACTCGATTGGGATCAAATCACTCGTGATTATGCTCCCGACCGTCATACCCCCTCCCGCACCAAGTCCGCAGAATGCTCTCGCCGCTATGAAGGCCTGGATGCTGTCCGCCAGGGCACACCACAGCGTGGCGAGGCCGAAGATGGCCAAGGACCCCAGGAACAAGGGTTTCCTGCCCAGGGCGTCAGACAGGCGTCCCAGCAGCGGCTGGAAGGCGGTAGAAGTCAGGAGGAACGCCGTGGACAGCCAGGACGCCGAGTTGGCGGCGCCAAAGTAGGATGTGATGACGGGATGAGACGAGGCCATGATGGTGCCGTCGAAGCACCCGATGAAGTGCACCAGCAGAACCTGCGAGAAGATGTACCAGAAGCGTGAAAAGGACGTGTCGCTCAGGAAGAGGACGGCGTCGGCGTCGGCGTCGGCATCGGCAGCGGCATCGGCATCGGCAGCGGTCAGGCCGGAGGCTGCGGAAAGCCCAGAGACGGACGCACGTGGACGGAGAAGCGGTGATCGTTCAGACGGTGAGTGGCCATTCGGAACGCCGCCGTGGCCTTGGCCTTGGCCTTGGCCTTGGCCGTCAATGTCATCGTGGCTGCGGTTGCGGCCGGGGCTGGTGGTGCACGGCTGGTTCGATGTCACCGGCCGCAGAACGGCGACGTCTGCTGACTCGGGCTCGAGAAAGGGTCCAGCCGTCGGCAGAGAGCGGGAGAGCATGTCCATGTCCGGTGCATCATCGTGGTCGTGGTCGTGGTCGTGGTCGTGGTCGTGGTCATCATGGTCGTTGCCGACATCGACGTGGCCGTTGCCGCCGACGCATTGCCCTGGCACGGGCACGACACCATCCGCGGAAGCCGCCATCGTCTGTCTGCGCATGAGAAGAGGAGACGAGACGAGACGAGACGAGGACCAGACCAAGCCGGCGTTGGTTCGAGATGGGCCAAGGCCTCGCCCATTCGTCAAGGGTCCAGAATCGCGCGGCCGCGACCATCTTGCCTTCTCTCACCGGCCTCCTCCTCTCGCTCGCCACGCGCCTCCGACTCGGCCGCATGAAACCGGCTAAACTGCCGGGCCCCAGTCCCAGTCCCTCCAGGCTAACTGTCTTTCACCTTGCGAAATAATGACCGGTCAAAAAAGCCTGTACGGAGTACGTGCACACACAACTGGTACTTTCTGTCTGTCTATCGCATGTTTGCCGGACCATCTGCTTCGGCAGTCCCTTCCGCCGCAAACTGAGCCATTTTATCCCACCAACCCCAGTCTTCCCAGTCGTCCGTCCACATGTCCGACAAGTCCTCCCAGCCCGTCCTGCTGCAACTCCGCACCGGTGTGGACTGTTTGCAACGAGCTTTCCGACTGGCAGGGTAATGTCCTCGAGTAAGTTGCGCCATCAAAGTTTCCGTCTCGTCTCTTCACGTCTGCGACGCCTGGCTGGAAAGGGCCGCCGCCACCAGGATTCCAGCGCCCGTGATTCCGCCGTCATGGCATGGACTCATTGCCACTCTGGGAGGAAAGTCATTGCCACATCTCCTCTTGACAAGCTGGTCCACAAAGTGTTGGCAGTCCACTAGATAGTCCTGAAAGTGCACAATGCAGCCGCCAGTGTAGCCAACCCCCAACTCGCCCGTCTCCCATGTTGGAGGTGGAGGCGAACCATCAGCGGGAATTTCCTCCCCGAGCGCGAGCAACGCAATAATGGCCGCTGCTATAATCCCGGCCGCCCGCACTTCAATGGCCTTGGCAATACGGTACAACGCCTCGGCATGATGCTCCGTCCAAACGAACTCGGAGCCCGCCGGCTCGGGAAACTCGGCCCTCAAAGTTGCTAGCAGCGTCGTGGGCTGCAGCGGCTTGAAGTGGCTTAAAAACGTCGTCGTCAGGACGTCCTGTTCCAAGATTTTTCGTGGCAACAAATCTCTCCCAACGTTGAGTCTGCTGGTCATGTAGTCGACAAACATGATACGCCCAAGCTCTCCGAGGTATCGGCCAGCCGTCATGTACTCCAGGGGCTGGAATCCAGGTTTCTCATTTTTCGCGCTCAGCTCATCATCCCAGGCGCTAATCAACCCAAGCTCGCGCATCGGCGGCGCCGTTCCGTTGATGCTCCATTCAGTATTCACCGCGATCTTGACATCTTCTACCTTCTCTCCAGGCAGAACATTCACGTTTTTAGGTCGTTTGCTCGGGTGAAGAAGGCGAAGCTTCACCGGGATTGTAGCGTTGCTCCCAGTTCCCAGTATCAGGCCCATTGCGGCACGCCGATGGCCCGGCCTGTCATAGTTGAAGATGAAGGATATTAGGGTAGAGACGGAGTCATTGGCAATGGCGGCAACATAAATGGGTGGCAGCTTGTCGCCCCTGTGTTTATCGTACGCGGCTTGAAGATGTATTCCAAGGTCGACATGGGGGGGGATGGCAAAGCCTTTACCCATGGAAGAAATAATCGCCTTCTCTAGTGACGGCTGTTCGGCGGGGAAACTAAATGTGATGCCAAGAGGAAGTGGTGTGCTGATGGGGAGGTTGAACGCCCTGCATCCTTCTTCCACGACCTCGGCAACACATTTGCCAATCCAGAGGAATAGACTGTCGCCATTGTCGCTCTTTAGATGGTTGGAAATCGGCCACGACTTCCCCAAATGTCGGCGTACGCGACCAGCAGGCGATGTTGGGATTACCTGGCCAGTGGTGCTGTCATTTGCACCGTTTCCCCGATTCCCATTGATCCCATGACTCGTATTGCTGGGAGGAGCGACGGAATCGCCCGCGAGCAGCTCCACGAAACCAACTCTTAGATTGGTTCCCCCGCTGAGGTGGTGTTAGCCACAAAGAACGACGACGCTGACACGTCTGCTTCGAGTTTCACACACTTACATGTCGATGGCGAGGTGCCTGCATGGCCGAGAACGTTGGTTAGCCCAGGTGTAATATGCACGGATGGGAGGTGAAAGTGAAAGCAATAAAAGCGACTGACGGCCAAAAGTCGAACAAGATTGGCAACTTACCGTCCGTGGGCATAGTCGGCTACAGGGCGTAAAATGGACTCGGAGATGGGGGTCGGCAAAAACTGATCCAAGGACTCTGCGGAGAGACGGACAAAATTTTTCAGAAACCTCTCGGATAGGACGTGGCATTTCTCGACGTCCATGCTCATGGGCTGTAGAAATGTGCCAAGGAGGGCCAATTGCTCCGTTGTCGACGCCATGACTGCTGGTCAAGCGATGGAGGATTGATGATGCGTGACCGCTGGTGACGGGTGACCACTGATGACCGACAACCAAACGGCAGGTGCCACGCACAACCGTGAGTCGGCAACGCAGAAGCGGAAGGAGCACCAGTTGACCAGATCTCAAGGTCGAGCAAACGAGGCAGAGGGTGCAATGTCTCGTTTGGCCGTGGTCTTGTTCAAGGGGAGCAGACGACTTTCACTTTCATATTTGCCGCACCTCTCTGCAAGGGTAGATGTGAACCGATGAAACTAAGCCTCCGTAACGGCACCACCCAACAAAGACCGGAGGCGCGCGATCGAATATTAATACCCCGTACTCCGTACTCCTTACAAGGTTGTCCTCGAGCGCTCCCGTTTGCGATGGCATGGGATGGTGACAAGGCCATTCCACAGAGTGGCAACCACCCCGACGAGAAAGAGATGCACAGGGAGCGCGTGAGTGCATCGTTTGCCTTGCGGTGGCCCCGTCGGGATCCAGCGCCTTCACATTCTATACATGTCAACATCTGGCTAACGATGCTGCCTCACTACGTACGGAGCAAGTAACTACCACCAAAAAGACTTGAGTCCAGCACCAAACTCAGTTTGTTCCGTGGATGAAAGCGCCAGGGTCTCTGTGACGATGCGCCGGCCATGCGGGGCTTTGTTGTAGAGACGAGCCCGTCCCAGCACTGCTACGGAATAAGCAATAACGAACAGGGAACTCTGAAAAAGGTGTCGGCCTAATAGGTCGAGTGCTGATTCACCGACATCACGAACAAGACCGATGGATGGAGAGGGGCCCAAAGTTTTGTCGATGCAACGTGGGACCACCAAGAATAGGAAGTCTGGAAGAACCATGGATGATGCAGACCCCCCGCATATCGCTCCGTGGAACGAGTAGTAGTATAAAATACTACGCCGTTCGTGGTTGATCTCCTCGGCCGCAGCGACAGCATACGCTTGGTCGAGTCGACTAAGTGCCCGGCACTGAGTATTCCGTAACGAGGAAGTTCAGTCGTGTCCTGGCCGCCAAGGAATACGTAACAAGCTATATAATATCAGGATGGATAACCTGGATCCGCCACATGCGTTTAATGGTTGGAGTACAGAGCACTGCTTTCAGAAAGATTGGTGGGACCATGTTCAACAACGAGCTTCACACTCGCACACACATTTATGGCAGCATACAGACCAACTCGCAAGTGCTTTCATGGTCATCATAGTTTTGGGACAGCCACGTAGGTGCGGCAAGAACAGTAGATTGGGGTTCATGTCGAACTGACACACCAACAGATGCTCAATTGATGCGGGTCGACAGACATCTTTGGCGTGAGAGGGCATACACACTAATTCCAAGGCGCTTCATCCGTTGCTGGCCAAGAGCACACGGGTATATATGCTTCAGCGGAAAGAAAAAACGCGCTCAGGCCTTCAGCGTTTTCCATCTCCGGGCGATTGCCGGCGTCGATGGTGTCAAACTTCGGGCGTCCAACGGGCAAATTCCAGCCAGCCATGACTTCACAGGCACGGGGCAGCAAAAGCCACGGGTCCAAATGTTACTCGACTGGTCCGTCATGCCCAGTCAAATCCACATGAGCGGCACGACGGCTAGGACGGGCACCAAAGCCCAGAGAACGATACTACGGTACATACGGAGTAGTCCGTGTCACCCAGAGATACAACCATATGCAAAACACGTCACACGCATGTCCCCACGACTCGGTTATCCTCCACCCAGCAACTCCGGCGCTCCGTACTCACACGCTCCGTAGTCATACGCACCTCAGATCTTCAATCAGCCCATCACCTCACCTAGTTACACCCCAACCCAGCCCACTTGCTCTTTATAGTTGGTGACATCCGCTTGCGCGGGGCCCAGAATCTCCCCGACGCACGAAACGAGCCTGCAGCGACCTCCACGCCGACTGACGACGACGACGCCGACGACGACAAGAAACAATCTCGGACCTTGCCAAACGGCCGGCCCGCGAAACCTGGAAGCCCAAGGACGGGAGACTTTGCGGAGCAAGAGGCGATAAGGCCGCACACCTGCAGCGACGTTGGCTGCAGTAGGCAAAGCCACAAGCTGCGGCCCGTGATTCCAGCCATGGCTGGCAAGCAACAATTGACCCAGGGCATTTCCAGCGGGAGTCTGACGCGTTCATCGTCCATGCCGTCCCTACTCCGCCTAGGCAGATATCTGCTTCCTGCTCTGGCCGTCGTCTTGTTACTTCGGGGCATTTATGATGTCTCACACCGGCGCGGTTTCGCTGTCCGAGGCGCCGCCCATCTAGTGCCTCTGGAGGCGCACATTATTAGTAAATGCCCAGACACGAGGGTGAGTGTGTCGGCGCGCGGACAACGCGCCTCTTTCCGGGGCGGCCTGGCCGTCACTAATGCTTCGAATAGGATGCCTTGAGGGAGCTGATCCTCCCTGCGATGCAGCGGGTATATGACAAGGTTGATTTTCAGCTCAATTATATTGGAACGTACGTGCTTCCCAGATATGATGGTACGGAATACGGCGAGGCTAATGTGTCTGGACCAAAAGCCCAACGGACAACGACGGCGTCGAATGCAAACATGGACCCTCTGAATGCATGGGCAACATTATCGAGCTTTGCGCACGCGAACTCTACCCGGACCCGAAGATCAACCTGGGCTTCATTATGTGCTTGACCAGGGACTATCGACACATCCCCGAGCCAGCTCTTGTTCAAGACTGCGCCTTGGAACACGCCATCGACATTAAAGCCATCAACGAGTGTGCTGCCAGAGATGACGGCGCGCACGGCATGGCTCTTTTGCGAAACAGCATTCAACGGACCTCGGACGTAAGTAATTGAAGATGTGGACGACACGCTGTGCTACACCATTGTCGGTCGGTACAGCGGCTAAACGGCGGCCTGACTAACCTGCGCAGGCCAATGTCACCGTTAGCTGCACGATTCGACTCAATGAGGAAATCTATTGTATTCGAGATGGCGGCGAATGGAAAGACTGTCCCCACGGTCCAGGCGTAAACGACCTTGTTGTCGCTATTGAGAAGCTCTACCGCTCTTCTTAAGCGGCTCATATACATCTTTCCACAACTCGCTAGCCTCGCCAAGAGTGTACGTCATTGACACCGCGTCCATGCCTGCCTCCTCATCCCCAGCCATGACCTTGAGCGTCTCTATGATGGCGTCGAGCCCGAAGGCTTTCCCCGTTGCCTGGGTTGCGCCGGCCTCGAGCGCCACGTTGACGACGTGGATGTGGAAGTGGTAGTAGGTGGGCTGGTAGTGCACATACAGCTTCAGCTGGTCCGGTTCGACGGAGGGATACGTCTCGACGGTGGCCATAATCAGCTTGTCCTTGATGTGCTCCAGCCAGGGGATGTGCTTCCTCTTCAGGTCCCGCAGAGACCAGATGTCGCGCCGCTCCACAATGGCCAGCAGGTGCAGCGCGTCCAGCGTGCCGCGGTCCCAGTTCAGGTCAGGCAGGAGGAGGAAGCCCTCGTCGCCCGCCTCCCCCAGCTTCGTCCTGTAAATGACGTCTTGTGCCTCCTTTCGGCCCTCGATGATGTTGAACACCCAGTTCAGTCGTCCCTGGTCGCGTCTGCTCCGCATGTACGGTCTAATACACTCCTTGTATATCTCTGGCGTTTCCGTGACGCACCGCACGCGCTGCTTGCTGTACTTTTGAACGTGTGTCTCCGTGCACGGGTAGATGAGGTTGATTTTCAAGTCGGCGACGAAACCTGCCTGCTCCGCGTTGGGCCCGTGCTCGTCGTCGCTGCCCATACGGGCCAAGCTCCAGCTGTATATGTCGTTGGCGCCGAGGTTCTTGAGTCCCGCGAGCGACGCCGGGATCCGGCCCAGGTACTCGTCCGAGGTAGGGAACGGGGCGCGTTCGACGACGAGAAGCGCAGGCTCGTCGTCGATGGTGCCGTACATGGACGTCCGTCTGCCGGCCTGGTCTGCAGCCGAGTCAGCAAGGCAGCCCTGTCAACTTTGGGGGGCCCAGGCAGTAGCAGGTGGTGCGTGCAACCTTGGTTGAGGACGCGGTCGAGCCGGAACTTGGGCACGAGGGCTTCAGCCCGAGCCCGAGCCCGAGCCGTCGACTCGGCCATGGATTGCGTCTTGTTTTCTTCTCGGCAGGGGGGAGGGCAGGGCGGGTTGTTGGGACTTGTACGTCGGCCCGTGGAGTTCAACTGCTCGCTCTCGTCTCTCTCTTGGAGTTGGGTCAAATCTCAAAATGTGTGCCCGACCCGGCTGGGCTGGCCCGCCGCGCGCCCCCCCCTCCCCGGGCGCCGCCCCGCTGTGGCCGGCTGCCCTGCAACGCAAAACAGTGGCACGCGGGCTGCTTTCTGGGCAAGCAACGGCGCTGGAAGTGACAGGGCAGAGCGGGACTCGTGTGACCGGTCCACCACCACCACCAAGGCACTCACTCCCGCACATCGACTGCATTTACTCATTCGTTTATGCTGGAAGCTGGCGAGACATCCAGGCCCCAAGCAGTCCGTCGCCATGGCCAGTTTCTTTCCTTCTCTCACCTGGTGCTTGGACAACTCAGAGCAACAAGGTACTCACAGGACAATGGCATCTCAGGAAGGTATTCATTGGTATCTAAACTACCTAAGTAAATCAGGAGCTTGCGTCTCCCTTCGTATGACTATGTCCAGGTATCGCCTCATGTAGGCCGTGAAATATGTCTTCTTCGAACCTCCAAGCAGTTTCTCCCACCATCGCTACAATGACAATCCGAAACCGATGGCAAGTCTCCAGTACAGTCGCGCCATTTTGCAGGCAAAACTAAAGTATCAAACATTATTCGACAACCCAGCCATCCATGCAGTTTGTCTTTCGCCTCGGCCTCGATGTAACGCCAGTCAATGCTCATATGGCTACTTTTGAATCAAGAATGTAGACCAAGTGTCGCAGGTAATAGGACAATCACAATTCATTCGCGCCTGAATCATCTCTTCAAAATTTCTCGCGCACATGAGAACGGCCCACTAATTCGTTCGCATAACGGGCGTGGTGGTCGCTAGGGAGTCATGCAGTCGCTCATTCGTCGTGATGCTTTAAAGTTGAGGTTCTTGTTTTGTCGTAGAAAGAGATCATGTACATCGCTCAACATTCCGTGTGAAATGAAGAGATTCTGTGGTCCAGAGGTGCGGCTGCACGTTGGCTACGAGCAGGATTGGTGCAAGCAGTTCAGTATGTACACGGAGAAGGAGCTGTCGCAAAGGCGGACTCGACAGAACAAGTCTTGCGCGCTGACCATCATGAAATACTTGCTGGTGCTGGTGGCCCCGGACTCGACGCAGATTCCGTAGAACCATCGCCTTCTATCGTCTTTCTCCAGTGCTCTGGCAGGCAGACACACACGAGTGGGAATGCTTTCGTTTCCCCATGGGCTTCCGGTGATGCGTCGCGGACACCCGACGTGTTTGACACACCACTGTCTCGTTGGGCTTGCCGTCTGGCTTCCCAATCGTCTGCGCGCTGATCGAGCATGACGCCTGTGGCCCAGCCGTCATCCCAAATTCCAACAACCTTGATCATGTCGCCGCGCTCAAGAGAGAATTCGTCAGCGGCGCGGGGCTGGTATGCCCAGAGAACTGCCACCTTGTCCGAGGGATGGATATCATCTTGGGAATAGTAGTCTTTGAAAAACGGCAGCTGCTCCGATTGCTGGCTAGCCATGCCAAGTGGTGAAGAGTATCCAGCACCACCCGGTGATCGGGGGCCATCGCTTCCGAGCACAGAGCCGCTCGACAATGAACCTTGTCTTCTAGACGTTGGCGGCGGCCGCAAGACACCTCCGCGTTCGGGGGATTCACCGTACTCGTCAGATGAGGACTGGGTATCGCTTCCCTTGTGAGCTGCACCGCCCGCAAAAGCAGCGGCGCCATTGTTGCCGTCTCGCTGCGCGAGCGAGCCGCCAGAATGGCCCTCGAGCGCCGCCATACGGGCCACACGACCGCCAGGGAGCACTTCATACCCATCCGGCGCCGTCTGCTTAGCTTGTGCCATCAAGGGCCCCTTTCGAGCCGGGGAGGGTTGGTTGAAGATGCTGCCCTGCTGGCTTCCACGTCGGCTGCGCATGGCTCGGAGACAGAAGAAAACCGCCAGAGCCAAGAGGGCAAGTGCAACGAGGGAGCCGATCACAATGCCTGCTATGGCACCACCGCTGAGCTTATTTCCGCCATCGCTGCGATTGGAATCAGTCGGAATGCCTGTTGAAGATGGCGCTGATGTTGCGGTTGGCGGCGTAAAGGTCATGGTCGCAGTGATGTGAGGGAGCTTGACACCTTCGCATCGTTTCTCGGCATTGGCATTGTAGCAGCAGGTATCGGTTGAGTTGGTGCCTCCGGCGGCGCAGTAAGAGCAGAGACCAATAGTGCTATTGCCGTAACCACAGTTGCCGGACTCATTGTCGAATCCGGCAATGCACCTGTCGGTGAGGGCATCCTCGGGCAAAGAGCACGTCGCAAAATCGGCGCGGATTAGTTTGCTCAAATCAGGACTGGGGTTGGAACAGAGACTCTTGTCAGCAGTGATGTAGGCTTCGCTCTGGGCAAAGTCGGCACATGTATCTGCACACAAAGGCCGCGTCGCGTCGCCACTGAGCGAGCAGGGGCTGATGGACTTCTGAATGAGGGTGTTGCACAGTAGTGTTGTGGTATACCGGGCGTACATGTTACTCGGGTCAGTAAAGTTGATATTACCACAGCCGAATAAGCTTTGGTACCTGTGCAGTCGAGCGTCAGATCCAATCCACACACAGACAAAATGACGGCGTTGGACCGTGGTGGCGTTCTTACTTGTCTTTTACATAAGATGTCTCGACGTAAGTGGACAATTGATGGTCGAAAGACCCTGTGTCAGATACGAATTGCAAGAATGGACTACATTCAACTCGCGTTAGTAACCCAGGTCGTCTGGGCGAGGGTGGCCAAAACTTACTACATCTGCACCATGCCGGTGTTGGTCGACACGGAAGCCGATCCAAAAGCTGGGCATGCTTTTGAGCCTCGTAATGATACGCACCCGCCGTTACTTTGTGCCGTCGCTGCTCCAGGCATGAGGATGAGCAGAGTAAGTGCCGCAGCTCCCCCAGCCACAGAGCGGCTCATGGACGGTGTGTGACAATTATTAGCATGCCGACAGGGCCGCTTCGCCGAAACCTTGCGGGCGACAGGCAGCTCCATGGCCATGTTCATCATACCAAGCATCCGAAGAGCTACTAGGTCGTTGCGAAGTGGATGCTATGGCGAGTCGAGAGCCCGGGCAGCTATCATGCAGTAATCTGGGCGACGAAAACAAACTGGCGATGCCGGCCAATTGCGGTAACAAAGTGATTGGTGGATGAATACTGTGTCGATGAATATCCTAACCAAAAAGAGAGAAGGCGGCGGCCAGAAAGAAATCAATTCAGTGCGTGGTCGAATGTTGCTGGGTATCCTTAAAGGTCGTGACTTTGAAGACTGCGGAATCCGAGAGGGAATGGATAGAAACGGAACGCGAACTTGAAGTCAGACCAAGACGGGAAGGGACGATTAAAAATTAAGGGTCGCAGGTTGCAGGTTGCAGGTCGCAAGGAAGAACAACAGAAAGTAAAGGCGCAATTGGCGTACGTGGGAAAGAACGGAAAGGAAGTCGTCGAGACGCAAAGACTCGGGTCCAAGGAAATTGTAACGAGCGGCAGGCGCTAAACCAGGGCGAAGGAATTGGGCGGGCGACTGGAAGCCAGGCGCTGGAGCGAGGCGAGCACCTACAACGCCGGTCCGCAGGTGCTCGGTAAGCACCTAGAGGTAGGGTCTGGTGGTAGATCTTGTTATTAGGAGCCGGAGTCGTTCGTCCTGGCTGGGCGCATCGGACCAGAGGGCGCAAACGAGGGTGCAAAGGACAGACAGCCGGGCCCAGACAAGACGTTGAGGAACCAGCAGCGGGGACCAAACCAACGCGGCGGATAGCGGTCACAGAAGAGAGGGAACAAGGAAACAAGGACGAAAGGAAAGTAGTACGAGGGCGTGCGCACAGAGGCTCTCGAGAAGGGTGGTGCGGGAGCTGGGGAGGGCAGCATTGGTGTTTTCTGCGCCGATCAACGAAACTCGACAGTACGTACTCGGTACTATGGACGTTAGGCCCGGACTCATCAAATCTCAGACTCTCAGGATCGTGCTCATGCTCCTTGCTTCCAATGCTTGCAGCCCCCCCCCCAAATGCAAAACCGGCAGTCACGACCATGTCTAATCTCCTTCCTGCAGGCAAAACCCACGCCTTGCCGCCTCAAGCGCTCCCCCATCCGCCCCTTCCTTCCCTTCTCCTCTCTCGCTCCGCGCTGCTCGCTCCTCCTCACCAGCAGCCTCGACATTTGTTTTGCGTCCCGTTACCATGACCAACTGTTCCGTACCCGGACAATACCATACCGGTCACCCTTGATGCCATCGCTCCATACCCGGAGGCGCGTTTCTCCTACTGGTCCCTGGTGAACTCTGGTTTCTCGTCTCACCAGGTCCGCCCCCTTAAATGGGCCAACCCAGTCGACCCCCCCCTGCTTCTGACCAAGAACACGTTTGCTCATTCAACCATCATCCAATCAACACCCATCGCCGTGATTTGATGAACGGCTAAAAGCGCCACCGCCCGGAGGGATGCGCCTGGTAGCTAGCCGACGGCACAGCTGTCGAAGCTCTGAGCTGCTTCCCTTCGCAACGCAGCTAGCCACGTACACACGGCGTGCGCCGTCCGTACGGACTACTCCTACAATACAACAATAAATACGTGGTCAATTTGCTGACCGCCCGCCCGAGACGACGCCGCCGTGCTGCGTACCCCCAGAGCAAGAACTCTCCTCACATGCAACCTAAGTACTTGAGTACGTACTAATTAATGCCTGGGGACGGAGCACCTGGGTACTTGGTTAGTACGTACACTAGGCGGATGCCAAATGGAGCTATTCGACACCCTGGGGGGCCCGTCGCGCCCGTGCAATTTTGCAGGACGGGCGATGCGCAGAAACAGACAGGGAGGGGAGGACGCCAAGTTGAGGAGCTGGCCAAGATTGGCCAGGTGGAAAACAACTTTGCCAAAAAAGGAGAGGAATCATGGTGACATATCCTCACAAGTCACGAATTCGAAAAAAAAAAAAACGAATCAGTCATTTGAATTCGGCGGAAAAGGATCACGTGGGCTTTGTCTTTCTAATCTTTGCAACAAATTGGCGACGGAAGCGCAGCTCGCGCAAGTCAGACATCAGCAAGTCAGACATCAGAAGGAGAACCGCGGCCCCCATGATTGGCGAGATACTCTGTTGCAACTTGCATCAATCTGCAAGTCATTTTTACCATGCAGCTTCCAGTTCTGGCACGTACGATACCAGAAGTTGAGCGTGTACGATCATGACCGTACGTATGGCACTTCTAATGAAGCGCCCGCCACACAACTTGGAAGTTCTATCCCTCTTTGTTATTAATCGTCATCATCTATTCATTGGGCTGAAAGCCGCAGCTGCGGGTACAACTAGTGTCGGGCCACGGTTTCCACGTGGCCAGGTGTAAATAAGTAGTACTAGTACTACTATTACTACTATTCTCAAACACCTCCCGTCAGATTGTTTCCCGCATTCCAGTGCCAGTCCCATTGTCCTGGCGGGACTCGTGGTTAGTTTCCACGAGCATCTGGTCGATAACGAAATGCCCAGGTTTCGCCAGCTCCGTCGCGCCGGTGGCGACAAGCCATTGTTCTGCTCTGCTGCTGCTGCCTTGTTGGCGGGCTGTGTCAACTTTCATCTGCAATGGTGGTGCTGCAAAGAGAAGCACTTGAGAGAAAACTGGTCTGAAAAAGTACGGAGCACACTCCGTACCAGGACCGTCGGCAGAGACTGAGACTGGTGGGTCAGACATAAATCCGTCTTGTTGACGCAGGGGGTTTCCCTACCTTAAGTACTTATCGACTCGGTCGTGTGGTCGTGTGATGATGGTACCTCCATGGCTGTCACCAGTGACCACACGAGACGAACGCCGGCTGATCAGAAACACGACGCACCACACATTCGGTACTCCGCGGTGCCAACGGTATACACCTCTGCCACCATTTGCTATTCACGCCCGCGATCCCAACTTAAGTAGCCAAGGCGGCTTCTTCCGCGCCACAAAATGCCGACGGAGCAACGCGGCTCCACACGCCCGACGCATCGGCTTCTCCAGACGCGCGAACGCCGACGTTGGCGCCGTATCTTTGGTCATGGAGGCGCCGGGCATGAGGTGTGTGAATGAGTCATGTGACACTTGCCGTCTACAGGCGCACATTACATGGCCACTCATGACATAAAGTTACAAGCACCCAGTCGAATATATCGATGTGAACCGCCGTCTTGCGGACCATCCAAACTGATTCACAAATGAAGAGACATCCATAATGTCGTCTCAGGCATCGCCGCTGGGAGCACCGTCTATGGACCAGCTCCGGAAAATGGTACTCTCCCTCTGCTCCGCCATCAGCCATCAGCACCACATCACCCCATCGCCAAATATACACACATGTATACGCATATACACATAGACATATACGTTCCCGTATATACGTCATGTATAAAAAGCTAACGCCATCATAGGGCCCCCCCTACCCCCCTCAGAGCGCCGGCCTCGGCGGCACGCCAACCAACTCGGCCGACACGCCCGTCTCGGCCGTCTTCATCGCGCTCTTCACGGTCTCGGCAGTCCTCAACATGACCATCTTCCAGCGCAACCGGCGCAGAGGCCACAAGTTCGTCCTGTCGGCCGTCCTCTTCGGCTTCTCCATGGCCCGCATCGCCGCCAACGTCATGCGCATCGCCTGGGCCAACTTCCCGCACGACGTGCAGGTCGCCATCGCCGCCAACATCCTGTCCAACGCCGGCGTGCTGCTCCTCTTCATCGTCAACCTCGTCCTGTCGCAGCGCATCCTGCGCGCCCACCAGCCTCGCATCGGCTGGAGCGCCGCCGCCTCCCTCGCCTTCAAGCTCCTGTACGCCGCCGTCGCCGCGCTGCTCGTCGCCGTCGTCGTCTCCACCGTCTGTGGCTTCTACGCCCTCGACCCCGGCGTCCGCTCCCGCCTGCGCGACGTCCAGCTCGTGGCCACCACGTTCCTCGCCGTCCTCGCCTTCCTGCCGATTCCCATCGTCGCCCTCGCCGCCCTGCTGCCGCGCCACGGCGCCCCCGTAGACCACTTCGGCAAACCGGCCGCCATGAGGACCAACATCCTCCTCGTGCTGTTCACCACGGCCCTGCTGGCCTTTGCCGCCGGCTTCCGCGCAGGGGTCGCCTACGTCCCGCCGCCCGCCGGCAACCCGGCCTGGTTCCACCACAAGGCCGCCTACTACTGCGTCAATTACACCGTCGAGGCCGTCGTCGTCTTCACCTATGCCCTGAGCAGGTTCGATCTGCGATTCCATGTGCCCGACGGCGCCGGCAAGACGCGCCACTACGCCAGCGGCGCCGAGGCGGAACAAGCTGGACGTGAGGCTGCCTGCGAGGAACGCCCGCGGACAGAGACGGACGACGACTACGACGACAAGCACCATCCGGCACGAGGGGCTCTGCCGACGGGTGTCGGGGAGCCGCCGTTGAGCGCATGACTCACTCGCACTCAGTTGGCAAGACATGCGACTCTCTCTCCCTCTCTCTTTTTATTTTTAGTTTCTTTTTCTTTTTTTTCAAGACGAATGCATTTTCAGCGACCACGATGGGCGAGGAGAGCTTGGCAAGAAAGGGGGACAGGTTTCGGTATAGAATAGCCTCCGCTCTTGCTGGGCAAGAGGAGAGCACCGGCAAAACGTGACTAGGCAATATAAAATTTTACCTGTACATATATACCATCTTGCAAGGACGCCCGTCCTGACCACTCCCTAACAAGGTGGAGGAAAAAATCGCCCAGGGCCACCAGAAAAGCCACGCCGCGACAACCATCGCAGACGCACACACACACAAGAGCTGCCGTTCTGGGCAACTTTGACACAACTGTATTTTTTCATCTCTGTCTTCTTTTGTATTTTCCTTCACTTCCTCTCCGTCCGGTCTTGTGACTCTATCAAGGACCGTACGGGTCTGCCAGGGCAAATCCGGCACATCCAGCTGCCACAGCCACGGAACATGACAATGGAGCCCCATCCCACAATTCGTAGCATCCACTGAGGATCTTGTCATGGCGCCATTTCCGCGTCCCGCAGACTGTGGCATCAACATTAGTAGTAATACATGCTCGGGACACCCAGCGGCACCTGCTCCAACTCGTCTATTGTTTCTTCCACAACATGAACCGGCCAATGCAAGCGTATTCCGTGATTCGAGTGGCGATGTGATTAGAGGAAGTAGTCTGGTGTGCCTGTATTGAGTCAGTCATGCATCGTGGAAGGCGGAAGTCGTAGGGCTGATCATGATAACATACGTCTAGAGACCATTGGTTCTCCTGCTCTTGGGCACGGGTCGAATTGCAGGCTGCACGTGGTCAACGTCCATTCTCGGGCTCACTTTTTGCAGAAATACATACAATGTATATTTTAAGTGCTCATCAATTTCCATGATGGCTGCCTGGTTGCCACATCGGTAGCAGTAGTTGGGGGCTAGTCGCGCAATTAGTAAACAAGGCCATGTCCCAAACAGACGCCCAACAAGTGCATGAGTCGACGCACCTGAGAAGATGGTCACCACATTCCTGTCCTGCGACCAGTTGTAACCTTCCATCACCAGCTGATGGGCTCGTGCAATCAACGTCAGGCCATTGTTGTGGTTGAAGGCTTCTGAGATGTCCTGTCCAAAGGTATAGCCCGCACCTCGAGGAGAAATGCCCCAACCACAACGATCGTCAGGATCCGACCACAATAGATCGCACATGGGGCCTTCGTGGGGAACCTCCTGAATCCGGTCAAGAGCTTTGATGTTATCCAAGGTATCTATGCTGGGCGACAGACCACCGTGAAGACAAAAGATCTGGTTGTCAATGAGAGCAGTGAGGGGTAGGTAGTCGAAGAGATCTGTGAAGTACTTCCAGACATTGGCGTTGCCATATTTTCGGAGGCACTCGTCGTAGAAGCCGTAGACTTGGGTGATCTGCCGAGACTCGTGGTTTCCTCGGAGGATAGTGATGCGCTGGGGGTATCGGATCTTGAGGGCGACAAGCAGAGTCACGGTCTCGACCGAGTAGTAGCCTCTGTCGACGTAATCACCTAAGGTCGGCGTTGGCTTTGGAGAGACCAAAAGAGGTATTGTGAAGGGGCATCGGCGGCAAGGAGACAATACTTACCCATAAAGAGGTAGTTTGTGTCTGGATTGGGGCCACCAATCTTAAACAGCTCCATCAAGTCGTGAAACTGGCCGTGAATATCACCACAGACTGTCACGGGGCATTTCTAAGTGCATCGCGTCAGAAGCATCCCGTGGCTTGTGCCTTGACTGGCGTGACGTCGTCGTAAAACGAGGCAGGCAGTACGTACCACAAGCTGGACATTCTCCTCCTCCTGCAAGACTTCTCGTGCCTGTGGTGTTGCAAGAATAAAATTGGATCAGCAAAACAAGAAAGCCCAACCCCCAAATGAAGCCAAGGCGCCTGGCGTGGATTGGTGAGAACTGATAGCTTCGCCGCCGCACGCAGGAGGAGAGAAGAGAGAGAGTACGGCGACGGACATGAAGAGAGGAACAAGAGTGGTCAAGCGTGCGAGGAGCATGAAATGACCAGCATCTCTCTGGCGGGAAAAAAAAATCAATTTCCGTTGCTCACCTTGTCGCAGAGCCTCTGGACGTCAGCCTCGGCCAGCTGCTTGCAGTTCATCAAACTCTCGATCCAGCCGTCAAGGGTTGGGATGGTGGCGGGTTCGTTGACGACGGGCGACATATCGGCGGGCGCCCTGCCGACGTCCTCCATGTTTGTGTCCATGATTTCTTCCGATGCGACTCTGGTCGAGGCGCCGAGAGTGAGTCAAGAGTTGGGTGTTGACAAGAGGTGGGAGAATGACGTTGCGGTCACGGGCTGGGTCGCAATCGGGTGGGGCAGCGAGGCACGAAGCGGGAGGCAGGAGGCAGGGAGATGCTCGGATCAGACGACGACGACGACGACGACGACGACGATTGCTGGCAGCAGAGACGGGAGCGGGAACAGAAGAGAAGACGCCGCGGCCAAGTTCAAGTTCAAGTGGTCAAGGGCCGAGGAGATGTGACGCGTGACGGGCGGCTCGTCAATGGTCAGTGAATAGAATGGTGTGCTCGTGGGAGTTGCCGCGCGGATGGGCAGGGATGGTGATGGTTGATGGTGCAAAACCGACAAGACAAGTTATTAATGAAAGGTGGGAGCACTCGAGGACGGTGCGGCCAGGCCGGCCGCGTCGGATTTGGACTACCCTAGAGGCCTAAGCGCCCAAGCGCCCAAGCGCCGCGCCCAAGCTGTCAGCTGTCACACCAACACACACAGCTCACACAGAGGCTGAGCTCACACAAAGCTCTGCCCCGAATGGCCTTGGCCGCCGCATCGGACTCGCCCATCCGACGGCGCTTGCATACTTCGCACGATAGAGCAGGTCTTGTGTGCCATGCTAGTCACCTTGCACTTGTCCATGGACCAACACGTCTCGACAAAACTCCGCGCTTCCGCACCTACATCCGTCCATGAGCACGCCTCCTCCTTGACCGGCTAAATAAAACAGAGCAGTCCCCGTCCCCGATGCTCCTTTGAAAAAATCACCCAGCCAGTACCTCTCTCCCTGACAACCACCGCCGCACAAACCACTAAGCCAGTCCCAGCCCGACAGGCAGAGGTCCCGCCGCCTCAACAGCCCCCTTGGAAGGCGGTCCCACGTCTTGTCCTACCAGGTTCCTAAAGTCCAGCCCAACCGCCGACAGCTTCGCCGCATGCTCCTTGGCCCTATCCATACACTGCGTCCAAACTTGTCCGCCTCGCTCCGTGCTGCTCAGCTGCCGAGACAGAATCACATTGAACGCCTCCACCTCCTCCTTGGCCCACCTCACACAGGCACTCATCATTGGCAGAGGGAAGCAGCTCTGGAACGTCTGAACAGTGTTGTGGATGACGGTGAAGTACACAAAGGATAACTGCCAGATGTACAGGTGGAGGTCGCCCTGGAAGATGCATTGTCTACAATTCGTCAGCACCATGAGTTATTTTTTTTTAAAAAAAAAAGAAAAGAAAAGAAAAAGAAAAAGAAAAAGAGGCGATATCTACCTGGCTCTCTTGCGGATAATCCCCGTGCGGGCAATGAGAAAAGCCTCACGGGCTCTGTCGTCAAAGCCAAGCGTAGTCAGCCAGCCAACTCTCTCCTTCGTCTTCGCTTGAGACTTGTGCGCCGACTCCAGCTCGCGAATAATGAGAGCAGCAAGTCTGCCGCTTCGCTCCTCAACCTTGAAGTTGATAAAGTCTTGCGCAACCGCATTGCTCCGAAGGCCGCGGGCGAGGCTCTTGAGCTTTTCCACGCGGGCAACCGCAGGCTCGAATTTCTGTAGAGCAATATCAATGTCCAGCTCGTCCATCTGACCCTCCACCCATCGAAGATTCTGCTGTTTGCCGTCGACTTCGATGAGCATGTCCTTGATGTCTGACAGCGTCTCCAGGAGCTCCGTCTTCTGCAAAAGTCCGGGATCTCTGGATGCAAAATAGTTAATCGTCTCCCTCGCCTTGTTGTTGGCTTCCATCTCGGACTGCAGGCCCTTGCGCAGTTCTTCCACCGCCTTTCGCACATTCAGGAGCAAAGTCTTCTTCTCGTCACCTTCGTGCTTCTCGGTCCGATAGATGAAAGACTCTTGGCCACCACCCCGAATCATGATGGCATCGGCAAGCTTGTTCCTGCCCCCAGACGATTCGGCCGTCCCGGGCATGTCTACGACTTCAATGTCCAGAAGGGACCAGCAGCGGTCAGCCACCAATTTGATCATTGGGCCACGAGCATCGGCGGGCGCGTCAACTTTTCTCTTCTTGCGCGACGCGATGAGAAGATGGTCGTTGAGGAGGAAGATTTGCATGGCCCGTCGAGATTTGTACGTGGCGTTGTCCAGCTCGACCCAAGAGCCGGCATTCTGTACAACATGACGACCGACAGCATTGGGCAGAAACTTTTGAGAGCCCTCGACGTTCTTATACAAGGCCTGCATTTGCGAATTCCACAACGCGCTTCTATCGGCAACGGAGCTTCGCTTGTCCCGCTTGCTCAAGCCTGAGGGGGCGCCGCCAGGTATGGTGGCCGGCTCGTCACTCTTGATGGAGGCGGCTCTCAGGGCAGTTGTGTTGGTCTTGAGCTCTGCCATCAAGTTCCGCAGCGCCCTCATTTCCCCCTTCAGCTTCTCGGCCTCCTTACTGATTTTGATAAACTGGGTACGGTTCTGCAGGAGGTTCTGCTGCAAATCTGTGGCAGCGCGGCCCTTGAGCTTTCGAAGAGAGGCTTCAAAGTCACGGATCTGGTCGTCGGTGGCGTCTCCCAACACGGCTGAAACGTACTGATCAGGGACGAGGTTGGGGTCTCGAAGGGCCGTGATGTCGATTGCTGGGGCTGCACCTCCGCGTGACGGCGGGGGTCTCTGAGGTTCCCTTCTGTCATAATGAGCAGCAACCGAAGGTAATGCCGGGATTGGAGGGACCGAAGGGTCGAAGTCAGTGGGCAAGTTATTGAAGCGGGTAGAGTATCGTTGTTTGACCAGATCGGACGTCTGCACAAGTCAGCATACAATGTTGTAGAGGCCGTGAATGGCAAGTGTGTGCCCAGAACAAACATTACCTTTCCACCTGCCATGGGCGGCGGCCGAAGCCGCGGTCTAGGGACTGCCTCGGGGATCAGTGGTGGCGCGCCGCCGAGGGAGGTGTCCTGTGGTATAGGATTTGATATCTGCCTGGGAGCGCTGATGGTTGGGCGAGATGGTCTGCGCTTCTTCCCGCTGCGAAGCGATATCTTGCTGCGTTCTTCCGACATGATGGGCAGTGGCACAGACCAAGGACGCAGCTGCCCAGAGTGCGATGAGAAAGGGCGCCAGTCCCAGCTCTGGCGCAGAGAGGACGATGGATGAGGTCGTGGCCAATGTGCGAGACAATGTGTGCGTGCGTGGAGGAAGAGACGAGATTGACTCCATCCATGTCATGCCGAGATGTCGAGCTGGTGGTGGAGCCTGGAGCCTGGAGCCTGGAGCCTGGAGCCTGGAGCCTGGAGCCTGGAGCCTTGAGCCTGGAGCCTGGAGCCTGGGGCCTGGAGCCTGCAGCCTCCCCTAATTTGCCCGCGCCATCGTTGAGCCGACATTCTTCCAGCGCGTTTTGGGGTGGAGGGGGAACGGCTTGCTCGGTAGCTCATGGCTGGCTGATGTCGTCAAAAAAAAAAAAATCGGTTCAGAGTCCCTCAGTCAGTCCGGTCCTGATCGAAGGCACGACGAGAGCTGCAGCTGCAGACCAGACCCGACATCTATCAGCTTGGCCGCTCCCCTACTTGCCAAACTCCAACCCCTTCCCCTCATCTACAGAACAATCGCAGGGAGAAAAAGACTTTTCCGCCCACATCTTGCTTGCCGGTCCTAAGACCTTGCCACTTTTGCCTTCTGCCTTGGCCCCCGTTTAGCTTCAACGGCTTCACATCTCCTCTGGCAACAATGGTGCAAACGTCAACCGTAGTGACGGCCACCGTCGCAACCGCCGCCACAGCTCTCATCGGTACGTTGGGCCCTCTGTGCTGTTGCTCGGCACATCACGACATCGGGACCAGAAGCACTTGATTGCTGACCAGTGACCTCCTTTCCTCTGCTCTGTAGCTTACGCCGTCTACTTCGACTACCGCCGACGCAGCCAGGCCGAGTTCCGCCGTGACCTGAGAAGAAACGAGCGCCGGCAGGTTCGCGCCGAGAAGGAGGAGGCCGAGGCCTCGACGCGCGCCCAGCGAGATGCCATCAAGGCCAAGGTCGACGAGGCCAAGGAGGAGGGTTTCCCAACCGGTGTCGAGGATCGCGAGGCCTACTTCAACGAGCAGGTCATGTCCGGTGAGATGCTGAGCTCGGATCGTAAGCCTTCACCTTGTTCTCGACGGCTCCCCGCAATGCCGCCAATTGCTTGCTGCCACTACGCTGGCTAACCGTCGTGTAGCTTCCCAGGCCGTCGAGTCCGCCCTTGCCTTTTACAAGGGTCTCAAGGTCTACCCGGCCCCTGGTGACCTGATCAAGATATACGACAGCACCGTCCCCAAGGTACGCACTCCGTCCCTGCTCTTCGGCTGTCAACAGGACGCAGAGGTGCCTAACTGCCGTTCTGCAGCCTATATTAGATATCCTCGCCGAGATGATCGCGTACGACTCAAGCCTCGACATTCGCTCCCGCTCCGCTGGCGGCATCAACCTCGGTGACATCCCCAACGTCGGCCTCGACTAGATCACCGCTGTCCCGACGCGACGTTGCCCACGGGGGAGGACGCCCAGAGCGGGGAGAACTCGGGTGCTGTCTACTATGACCTAATGCAATAACGCGCGAGACCCCTATTGTTCCTTCGACTCATTGTCCTGTGCCATCAACGTTGGAGTGTGCAGAAATTTTTTTTAAAGGAAGAAAAATCCCAAACAAAGATTAAAATGGATCAGGAAACGGAGACTGCGTGAACTCCTTGTTGTACGATATAAATTTTCGCTCTTCTATTTGCGCATAGAGCCTTGTGTAAACAGTCGTTGACGGTATAATAATGCCGCCACAGGAGATGGAAAGTGTCTGCGGAAAGCCGAGGTGGCTTTTTCCACGAAAACATTACATGTTAAAAACTTTGGCGCTTGCAAGTGACGTACGTCAAGACTCAAGAACATTGGATTCCTGGGCCTGGTGGATCAGCGTCCGCGCCTCTTGGATGACACAGTCCAGCGAGAGACGATAACGTCCAATGGCAACACCCTCGATCCGCCTATTTTTGTACGCTGTAGAGATATATATACAGCGCCTAGGTGCTGTTGAAATCCTCACACGCAGTTGCGTACCTTTGACACACGCCGCATTTCGGCACACATCAAGATCGATTGAATCAAACCAGATAAATCAGCGTCACCTCGGCAAGGCTACTGGACTGCATCTCGATTCGGGCACGCTATTTACCAGCTCTCCGGCGGCGGGGCCTCTCGCACCACGACGTTCTCAATCTTCCTTCCCTTCCTGTCGACCCGGTCGTCTCTCGGATCAAAGCCTCCATTCCCCCACAACGCCCACTCGGGGGTCGGCGCGCCCATGTAATCCTCGGGCGTCCAGTCGCCATCCGGTCCCCTCTCCTCGAGCAGCTCGAAGAAGCGCTCATAATCAATGTGCGTGTGCCACCTGCCACTGACCAGGAACCGCTCACTGGCGAGCAGAACACAGCAACTGTGCGCGTGCTCCGCCGCAATGCCGTACTGTAAGCCCTTGGCCTGGAGTCTCTGCTCGAGAGCCTTGACGAATTCGCAAACTTCCCAGTAGAACGGGACGTTGGACATGCTCAGCCCGGCGTTGGAGGAGGTCGATGTCCCGCAGTACGTGACGCCCTTGACTTCGACGAAGCAGGGGAGTCCGCGCTCCACGAGCTGCGCGTAGCCCTCTGCTTCGTCTTCGACGTTGAAGCCCTTGACGAGGGTGAGGCGGAAGACGGTGCGGTGGCGGAACCGTTTCTCGCGGAGAATGTCCAGGCAGCGCTGGAAACGCTCCCAGAAGTCGCGGTGTAGGGGTCTGTCGATTTTGCGGAGGGAATCCTTGTTGGAAGCGTCGATGGAGACGTAGAGCTGGGTGACGGCCTTGAGGGCCGCTAGCTGGTCGGGGTGTTGGGCGTTGCAGACCAGAAACGACGAGATGCGTTCTGCGTGGAGCATGGCGAGGAATTCGTTGATGTGAGGGTAGAAGATGGGTTCTCCGACCAGCGAGAGTGCGCAGTGGCGGATCCTGAGGGCCTCGGCGTACCGCTCTGCTCGCACGCCGGGCACGCCGCGCATCATCTTGATCTTCTTGTAGTGGTTTTCTTTGACGCCTTCGAATATCATCTCCGGGGGGTCAACTACCCAGCGCCATGTGGTGCCCACGGGATTGGTGCCGTGTCGCCAGCAAAAGACGCATTTGTTGGAGCAGGACAGAGACGGTGTCGTCTCCATGCATTGGTGGGAATTGATGCCATACAGCGAGTACTTGTAGCAGCTTCCTCGGCCGCGCAGGGCCGACTTTGTCCAGCGACAGATCTTGACGCCCGAGTGAGAGCCGACGATTGAGTAACCTTGCTTGGTGAGGGCCGCATATGTTGGCGAATTTTTGGCGACCATTTCCTTGATAACGGGGGCTGTCGGTCTGCGCTCCTTTGTAGACGGTGAGCCGTGTGAGGTGAAGTCGACGGGAGGCGGCGCTTTCTTCCCATCGCTGTCAGCTGTTCGAATCATGCGACCCAAATCTTCTACGTCATCTAGGGGTCGAGAAAATTCCTTGTCGCCACTGGACACATCTCCTTCAATCAGTAACGCCCCATCGTCTTCCTCGGCCGCATCCTCTGCGTCGCTTTCAATGGCATCACCACTGCCGGGAACACCTTCGCCCAGGCTTCCGGTGCTAGCAACATGGGCGATGGCTTCTTGTACACCCCATGTCCACTCCTTAAACCGTTTAGAATGGTCGCTCTTCATATCACCCATGCCAACAGGGTATGCGCGCTTGCGGCCAGTCAACTTGGACATCCATTTATCCAACTCTGTAGCCTGGAAGCAATACCCGTCCGCCTCATTAGGCCAGCCCTCCTTGTCTCCGAACCCAAATACTGAGTACCCTAACAGAGATGCCAAAGGTGCAGTGTCAATTCTGAAGTCATGGTGCGTCTCTTCGAGGTGTTGCAGCAGTGTGTCGTTGATGGTGTCGATGTTGTAGCTAGGGATAAGGAATAGGTAGAATAGATGGGCATTCTCGACCGTCTTGGCGGGGCTGACAAAAAAATCCTCGAAATCGATTTCCGACAGATCGTGGAGCTCAGGCTTGAGAAATCGGCGCTCCGTCTCGCGCGAGAGCTGATCAACCGATTGTCCCAAAGTGTTTATATACTGTCGCGCAATCTTGTCCGTCTTGGTCGTGACCGATGAGAAAAACACCATCGTCTTGATGGGTCGGCTCTTGTCGGGTTCTTCGTTTTCTTGCGCCGCTGGCTTCTTGGCAATGCCGCCTTTGATTCGTCGAGGTCCGTTGGGCTTGACGATTGGCGTTTCGAAACTCGAAACATTCGGCTGCTTGTTCGCGCTCGAGGGCTCAATTTCCTTTTCGTACCGTTTCGGCAGCTTCTTCAGCGATCCCGCTTCCTCAAAATTGTGCACATAGATTCGAAATACAACGAGCAAAACTAGCGCGCACAAAATTATCGGTGTCCGGTGGCCATGCCATAGTTCGACAATGTCTTTTTCGTCTTGTTAGTTGGTCGATACAAACGGCGGTTCAAATTACGAGGGCCACATACCGCTGAACCTGGACCCAGGCGGCCAGCCAAAGATACCCTCGAGGGGATCTGCTTTCTCGCAGACTGCAGACATCTGGCCATCCAATAGCTGTGGAGGAGCTGCACTGTGTGTGGTGTGTTTGGTAGTTGAAGCCTTTCGACGCAGGAAAATCGGCGGGGTGAGTTGCCGCCACGTTTGATGCCTATCGATACGTGCATTTGGCAGCAGTTTACAAGAGTGCTGAGTGGTTGAGAGGCCCGTCGCACTACAGCGACGTCTCCACTTCTCAGTACGTACTGTAACTACAAAGCGAGTATTTGCACATCTCAAAACATGCGAGTTTTCAATAGACCAACGTGAGGTGAGCCCTCGAACCACGCCAGAATTAGTAGTAGCCTTGCATACGGCGTCGGATACATTGCTCATAGCACACACAGTAGAGTCAGTTGGTTCAGAGCTGCTGTAAGCCCAATACCGATCCCAGGGGTAATCTCGACAATCAATATAGTATTTTCCCCGATGCTACGGCACATGTAGCGAATTTTGTGAAACAGGATTTCTCGAACTTGGTTCGTTCAATCAATGTGACTGTATTTAGATAGCCCAGTTGATCAGTAGCAATTTGCCCAGTCCCGAGAGACGCGTATCAACAACCTCCACACAATCTCTGCAAAAACCAATTTATCATCAAGACAACAGTCTCGCAATGTCTGCCAGTCTCGTGTCTTTGGTAGGCTTTTCTTTCTTTTCTTTCTCTTGAAAAGCCTTCGTAATGAGCGCCCTCTTCTCCTTTTGGATATCAAGGACTCGCTCTTCGACGGATCCTTCCACAAAGAGTCGCCAAACCGTTGTCTTTTTGGTCTGGCCGAGGCGGTGAACTCTGTCAATCGCTTGATCCTCAATTGCTGGTGCCCACCCTAGATGCTGTCAGTCATGAAAAGTTAGGCTTATGTAAAGTGGTACATACAGCTGTCAGACAAAATGACGGTGTCCGCAGATACAAGATTCAACCCGACGCTACAAACCGCCAAACTAGCGAGCATGACGCGAGTTTCCGCGTCGTTGTCCAGGGCCCGGACGGCAAGATCGCGTCTCTCCGTGTTCATGCTGCCATCTATGCGACTGTATTTTATCCCGGCGTCATCTAATTGGTTCTGGATGATGTTTAGAAATGAGGTCCACTGGGAAAATATGACCACTTTTGACCCATGGTTCTTTAATGTTGCCCGGAGAATCTGCAATAACGCCTCTGTTTTGGAGCTTTGAGTGTTTATGTCAAAGTTCTCATCAAAAAGCCCTTCAGCTGCTGGTTCAAGTAAACACTCCTCTGCAAGTTCATTTCTGCACATGGGGCATTTGTGTTGCATGCGAATGACCTTTGTGACACAAGCTCGGCAAAATACATGTCCGCAGTTTGTTATGACTGGCCCAGTAGGAATGTCGAAACAAATAGAGCAGTCCTCCTGACTCTCTACGTAGAGCCGGAGAGCTTCCTGGAGCAATGCCATGTTCTTGTCATTAAATGGCACCACGTCGTAGTCCTCGAGTAGTTTCGTCGACTGTTCTATGCGGTCTTTGCATAGGATCCAGTGATTGCAGCTGGGATGGCGCGTTAGTCTGCTTGGGGTACCCCGGGACGATGACGATGCGAACGCACCTTTGTCGTAACCGTAAAAGGCGCTCCAGGACGCCTTGGAACTGTCCTTTTTGACCAGTCGCCTTGGCCTGGTACTCTGCCAGGGCACCACGAGCCTCTGTGCTGAATACGACGTTAACACTCGGTGTATTTCCCAGGACAACGACATGATTTACTCACAGTAATGCCTCGTATTTTCGTTTCTCTGCCGGGTGAAATGTGATTTTGTGAAGGTATTCCTTCTTTTCGGGTATTTTCAGATCCACGAATTTCATGTCTTTTTTGCGTCGCAGGCAGATGTCCTGCATCAGAGCCTGCAGAATTATTTCTGCACTGGCGTCGCCGGAGGCTAATCGCCTTGTTATTCGGGATTTGAAAATTTCAGGGTGCTCAATGCCGCCGGTGATGTGGAGGAACTTTATGAGAGACTGCAAATCTCTCACAGAGTTGATGCTGTGAGCCGATTAGTATCACAAAATGGCCAGGTACGTGGCTTTGCTAACTTACATCGGGGTACCAGTCAATACCCATCGTGATTTGGCATTGATGGCACACGCGGCCAACGCGACTTTTGTTCTCGCATTCCGAATCGTGTGCCCTTCATCGAGTACCACTCGCCTCCACTGGATGCTTTGCGACAGCAAGACCTGGCGAACATTTGAATCCCTTTCACGGGCCAACTTTCCATAGCTGGTAATGACAACGTCGAAGGTCATCATCTCCTCTGCAGTCATATTTTTGTCGCCATGATAGATGAGAACACTCGGCAAACACCCCGGCTTGACATGTCTTTCAAACTGCTGTTGCCAGTTCGTCATGACACCAACAGGCGCAACAATAAGGGTGGTACCGGAACCTCCAGTCAAGATTAGGCTGATGACTTGAAGAGTCTTGCCAAGGCCCATGTCATCCGCCAGTATGCCTCCCGAAAAAAGCTGAGGAGCTGTTCTGCTCACAAAATTTGTGGCGATATTCCAGTAGTATCCTCTACTGTCTTGTTGCCATAGTTGAACTTGATTGGCCAAGTCCTTGGTTGGCAAGGCAGGCTTCTCTTTTGAAGTCATCCATGCCAGCCCCTGGTTCAGTGTTAGTGAAGTCATAAGCTAGAGAGAACCATGCCAGCGTACTTGTAGTTGGTAAGGCAAAAGTGTGGCCTGAAGAGCCGCGGGCTGACCACAGCTAGGCATTTTAGACAGATATTCCTCATCCACGGTAAACGTTTTAATGGCGTCTGCTCCGTTTCGAAAGTCCACTGCTTGGCTCTTTTTCAAGATGTCCTCCAAAGATATCTCTGGTTCTTCGGGATTTGTGGAACCCATCCTATAGTCAGTTCCTCCACCCTTCAAGCCCATCACGACCCTCTGAGCCTCCGCCTCTCTTCTCGTCTTGTTGAGCTGGGTCGCCTTGACTAGCTTGTCATCTTTAAGTCTTTTTTCAACTCTTGCTCTTTCTGTCGGATTGATAGGCCCATAGAAGAAAAGCGTAACTGGGCAATCGTACTGCCCCTTCGGCCCCGTTAACTGTGCTTCGAGCACGATGTCCCCGCAGTCCTGTCTCTGTGCGTCAATATAATGGCCTGAGTATCTGAAAGAGGTGGCATACAAGATAAGGCGCGACTTTTTGCACAACTTTGCGTGGAAGATGACCAATCTGTTGGTACATGACATTGTCGATTTTAATAGCGTTCCCGTCATACTAGGGTTAGATGTTAGAAGAGCTGGTAGGCTTGTCGCAACGGCTTGAATTCTGGGACCGACCTGGTTATCTGGTTCCCTCAGACAAAGAACCACTTCTCCGGTTGATGCGTGGCCTTTGTAATATTGAATGCCCACAATTTTTGTTTCTAATACCAAGTGTAAGAGTTTGTGGTTGTTGATCAAGATCAAAGTATCTTACCAAAAGTGCCGTAGAACTCTCTGGCTGGCCCTTCATCGTCCTGAGTCAAATCCAAAACCTCACGCTCGTCATCGGCCAACCGAGACGTCGCAAGAGGCTGGCTGAAAGGAAGGGAGGCCCGGCTGTTCTGCATTCCGGGACTTGATAAATAGCCTGTACCATTTGACAAAGGATTGTAAGAAGATGTTCCACCTACGCCAGTGGAAGACAATGCGAGAGCTGGTGAATGACGTTTGGGCTGATGATCTGAGTTACAAACATCTCGCAAGGCCCGTTTCTTGGAACCTGGCATGAGGGCTCTGCTCGGATGTTGGGTTAGCGTCAAAACTTCATTGCGAAAAGGCAGAAGTTTGGTTGGCAAATGAGATGCTTACGACGATGTCATTGTTCTAGAGTAGAATCACGCCAAGCAGATGTAAAATGCAAAAAAATAAGCAATTCGCAGAAATACTGCTTCACAGTTCTCTCCATGCAGCGCCGGCGCTCACTGTTCACTGTTCTTCCAACAGCAAAGCAAGGCTCATCAATTGTCGCGCCTCATTTTTGCCTAGCGCGATTCCTCAATCTTCGACACGCGAAGTCACGTGATACGATGGAGTTAGTCAGCACACAGTGAGGGCTCTAGTTCGACCCACTCACAATCCGTTCAGGACTAGCGCTAATCACGCAATCGATGACCCAGCCCAAGGGAAGGGTATGAAGAGCAACGACATCTCATTCACCAACTTTTCTTCTTCCAACTTCACTCCACAGTCATTTTTGGTGAGTGGAAGCGTTCTCAGAACGCGGGGTTTTTTTTGCATATCCCCAGTGCCATGCTATCATTATAAAAAGACGCTGCTAACCTAGGATTTCCACCAGCATACACTAGCCCCACAGCAGCCGCGGAAGGGAGCCTTGGACCAACCGAGCGGACTAGAGAATGGCTTCGAGTGACAATAGACAGAAGGAGAAGAAAAGGACTCGCTGGACACGCCAAAGAAAGACAAGCATATGCCGACATAAGGAGACACTCGCCCTGAGAGGCCTCATTGTATGCTTGGATCCTCTACTGCTTCAGAAGGCGACCATACGCCGAGTAGTAATGGCATCCGGGCACATGGCTACTCTTGCCGGTCTTCTCATTGAAGATACGGCACCCCTCTTTGGCAACATTCGGGGGAGTGTACACTGGCAAAGTTGCTAGTTAGGCTTGTGGCAAGCGTCGCATGAGGAACTGAGCGCAAGCGAGGACATACAGTGCAGGGACACAGCAAAGTCGCTGCCCCTATTGGCCACGCGGTGCAAGCCAAGTTCGTCGGCCATATAGGTGACACCATTTTCTTTATATGTCTTCTCAGATATGACAGTCATTGGTCCCTCCTCATCATCGTCTTCAGGAAAGGCGTAGCGGGTTTCGGTCAGAGTACCGCGCAGGATCTTCATCAGGCAATGAGCATTGCCATGATCGTGGATGGGACTCCCTTTTCCGGGAGACCATACGAGCACCAACTATACCTCCCGTGAGACAAGGTTGATCAGTCGCGATTTCGGGAAAAGCACCTTCATTATTAGGTGGCGACGACTTACCAAGTTGCTCTTGCCGTTGCCCTCGTCGACGAGGTTGCGAGTGTATCCCCGGCCGGCGTCACCATAGGCATATTTGGACCATTCCCTAGGATTGCTATCATAGTTGAGCATCAGCTCGGTCAACGAGCCAACGTCGACGTCGTCCGAGGTCAGTCCTGAAGAGGGGCCAAGGACCTTCTTCATCGTCAGGATGAGTTCCTCAAACTTGTCGGACTGTCGGCGTGTCGCAGCAGACTTGCTGTTGGTGGAGAGGACACTTGAGATAACGTCGACGGCCATCATGGCTTACTGTATCGATGAAGGATTACTGGCGTGGATGGGATATAGGGCTGGGACGTGGGTTTCGCGTATCACTTGATGTAGGGCAATATCGAGAAAGGACAACACGTCGACAAGGCACCGAGCGTTTCCTATCGGCGGAGATGGGGATACGCCGACTCCCTATCCGAGCCCACCAAGGTCACCTGAGCGGTTGGGCAGCGTCGGTGGATAGTATCACCGAGGTCGGACGGTGGGGTGGGGTGTCCAAAATATTTGTTCGGCCACCAACGAACTGCTAAATCAGCAGGAATGGCTTCAGTTGACGTGGGAAACCTTGAGGGGTGATGGGTTGTGACGACGGTGGTGCGATATGGTTGGTCGCCAGCAGAGCGAAAAGTGGATACCCCCGCTTGAAAGCAGTTGTCGAGATACGTATGCTCATATGCATGAGACACGGATACTCGAAACGGGGAACAAGGGGTGGGAGCGCCAAAATACCGCATCGTTGAAGGATGATATCGGCTAGAATCACATACGTGGAGCAGAGTATTGCGTGGCTGTCGGGTGAGGCAGTATTTAGAACACTTGATAGTTTCGAAACTATGGAGTACGCGTTTTTTTTACAAATTCTGGTGTAGGAGTGGCCACTAATAAGAAAAGTGGATGGGAACTCGTATCCAACCAAGCCCCCCTCGCTTCAAGTACCGGGACTCGTGGTACTCAAAAAAAGTAAGTACCTAGGTAGGTACGTAAGTACATATATGACATATGGCACCCGTATTGACGGGCGGCATCGGCCAGAGCGACACCGGAGACGCCCCGAAGAGCGCTAGAAAAAAATGGTCAAATCGGCCCAGAGGTCGGAAGTCGGCACCAAGCAGGATCACCGTCAGTTGACATGACCCCAGTGCCAGGAGCAGAAGTGGCATAATGGTATTCCCCCAATTTTAGAAGGTGCGACGACGGTGGTGCAGCGGAGATGCAAAGAATTATTACTCATCAATGATCATGGCCCGCACGAGTTCCGCGGTGGCGTCACGAGTCGCACAGGTCAGGTTGTTGCCGCCATTTCCGTCACTCTGCTCGTCACGTCGGCTTCCGCAGTGGCGGACGGCGCATCGAGCAGCGCCAGCCGGCCGCAAGAGGGTGCACGTAGAAGGCAGAAGGCACCGGGGGGCGCATGGGCGCTGCACTGGGGTTTTCTCGGACTGGGCGGCGGCGTCAAGTTTTCGTTTAAAGGAAGGTGCAATCCACGTTATCGGGATTTCTCTTGCCGCCTTCGCGCTGACGCTGTTGTCGGGACATCATCCGCATTCATTTGCTGTTTGCTGTTTTCTGTTCGCTGTTCGCAGTCCTCGCCTTCGTCCTTTGCGCAATACGTGCCATAGTACGTGCGATAACCTGCCCGCCCAGCAGCCATGCCGGATGGCCTCTCGTACTCCGTACCTGTCGTCGGAAAACTCGACCTGCGCAATGAGCATCAATGACGTGGCCGACCACAACGCCAGCGACAATGAAGGCAGCGTGAACGTGAATGTGAACGTGAACGCTGGCGTCTCGCCGCTTCAGGAGACGCCATGTAAGAAGAGGCGGTCGGAGTTGCAGGAACAGGGATGGCGGCGCATCATCCGCAACTTTACGCCTTCGTAAGTCATCAGTCATCACCAATACTATGTGCTGGGACGCTGGGACGCTGGGACGCTGGGACGGCCAACCGGCGTTTGAGATGGCCGTGCAAAACTAACCATTTGTTCCGTGATAGATGGTTCGCAGTCAACATGGGGACTGGCATTGTTTCCATCCTCCTCCTCCATCTGCCGTACAATGCCCAATGGCTCCAGTACATCAGCTACATCTTCTTCGGCCTCAACATCCTCCTCTTCGCAGCCTTTTTGTGCATTTCCGTGGCGCGTTATACTGCCTATCCCGAAATATGGCAGGCCATGATTTCCCATCCAGGACAGTCGTTGTTCCTGGGCTGCTTCCCAATAGGTTTTGCCAGTATGTTCTCGCCGCGCCTCCTTATCACCAACCCAGGACATGTGCCGCCACCTGTGCTTTTTCGTCATGCGACACGCTGACTTTGGTTCAACAGCCATCATCAACATGATGATCTTCAGTTGCGCACAATGGGGCGACTGGCTCGTCTACCTCGCCTGGGCATTCTGGTGGGTAGACGTGCTCCTCTCCATGGCCACCGCCATCACCATGCCCTTCATCGTCATGCATCGCCATAAACCGGGACTGAACAACACCACCGCTGCTTTGCTGCTTCCTATCGTGCCCACCGTCGTCGCTGCCGCCACGGGGGGCGTCGTCGCCGAAGCACTGCCTAACCACGGACACGCATTCACCACCCTCATTGCCTCCTACATCCTCTGGGGCATCGGCGAATCTCTGTCCGCCTGCGTCCTGGCCCTCTACTTCCACCGCCTGACCATCCATTCCCTTCCGCCAAAGGAGGTCATCGTTTCCGTCTTCCTGCCCGTCGGACCCCTCGGCCAGGGCGGTTTCGGCATTCAGCAGCTCGGCAAAGTAGCCGTCAAGCTGCTCTCGGCAACATCAGCCTTCCAAGCAGCCAGCGTAGACGTCGCGCGCGGTGCCGAGATGCTGTATGTCCTAGGCGTGTTCATAGGCATGATCATGTGGGGATTCGCTCTTGTATGGGTCTGCTTCGCGCTCATTAGCCTGGCAACGATCCGTGACTTTCCCTTCAACATGGGCTGGTGGGGGTTCACTTTCCCCTTGGGCGTCTGGGCGACGTGCACGAGCATGCTGGCGATAAATTTGGACAGTGATTTCTTCAAGGTGGCCACGGTGGTGAGTCCGCCGCTTCGAGAGAGGTCGCGCTGCTCGAAATGCTGTTCCATGCCTGCTGACCCGAGTGATAGGTCATTTCCCTGTCCGTACTTCTCCTCTGGATCATGGTTGCCGCCAGGACGCTTCGTCTAGCCGTAACAGGCGAGTTGTTCTTCGCGCCCTGTCTTAAGGATCTCAAAGAAAAGGAGCCGCGACGAGGAGACTCGGGTGAACGAGTTTGAGGGTCCATGTCTTTGGGGAGTAATATAGAGGTTATTCGTACGGAATCTCGGTTGTACATGTATGAGATTCCATTTCATTTAGAGCTTCCACAAAGCGATGGCATATCAGAACGAAGATAAAGCATCTGGCGTTTTTTTGGAAGAGCATGGTTGAAGAAATCAAGTCGAATTATCAAAAGCCCCATGGGGAAACCTAGAGTTTATCATGTACAGCAAGAGGACCATCTAGCTAGTAGTACTGTGGTAATATCCTTGCAAGCTGATAAAACACACCTTGATGGTTGGCTGTGTCGCGCGATAAGGTAGCTCTCCCAATGAGGCGGCATTTTGCAGCCGGGGCGTGACAATTAAAAGAGAAACATGTAGTCATGTGTTTTCTTGTTGCGGTATCTATCTAATCCGCCTTCAGGGCTTCACCTCAAGCGCTATGCCATGCACGTGTGACTTGTATAAATCCACGACCCAAAAAAAAAAAAAATTAAAAAAATAAAAAAATACCGCCCCGTCCTCTTCATTTAAGCCATCTGGCATAGGCCCACCGAATCCGCTCCAAGGCCTTGGTCTGCACTTGGATGCCCTTGATGTTGGCCAAGTCGTCAAGGTCTTCCAGAAATTCCTTTTCGATATCCCGAGGCATCAAATTGCTTGCGTAGCTGCGGAGAACGTGTACTTCGCATAATAGCAAGCCGTGGTCCTTGTAGGACAAGACATTGTTTTCCGTCGGCCTGGCTTCCGATAATATTCTGTCAATGTTACGTAGGATCCGTACAGCCTTGCCGGACTTCTTGTCTCGTCGCAAGCCGCTTCGTCCTCCAAATATTCCTCGTAGGTACTGAAGCACGCCGATTGACACCAACACCCCTGGCGTCAAGCCCACAAAGCCAAACACTAGCTCTTGGCTCTTAAGAAGAGAGTCAATGCCGGTCATGGCCACTTCCAGATCTACCTTGGTCTTTTGTACCTGGATCAACAGCGACCGGACTAGATCGCCACGGATGGCGCCGACAAGAGGGCTGCGAAGGTCTTGTTCGTACGCCCTCAGCACAGGCGTCACGTCTCCTTCGGCAACCCTGTTTCGGATCTCGGCAAGTTGCATGTCCGTAATGGAGCAATTTCCTTCAAACGCAAAATGCGGCTTGTCCTTGGCAAAGTCGACAACCATCCGTTCCAAACTTTCACGGTCGGCTTTCAGACTGTCTCGGCTCATAATGGCAATATCACTGGTCGAGTCATGGCGGATAGTCTTGATGACTTTTGTCGTCGGCTGCACAACCCAGTTGAACCAAAAGTCTCGGATGGTACCACCGAGGCTCGTAATCCAGTTGATAATTTCGTCTTGACGCGAAATCAGGATGCGCAAAACAGTGGTAGATGACAACACTCCAACCACCGTCGGAAGCCAGTACCTGATGAGGCGTGAGGGTCGGCCATTCTCCCTAGCAAGGCTTTGCATGTTGTTGAAATGCTCCGGGAGTGTCTTGTCTATTATGCGCAAGAGTCGACGGGACAACACAGCTGGGCGGTCCGGCGTAACACTCTCTTCCAAGTGAATGGACAGCTCAGGGTCCTCTTCCACGCCAGCAAAGACTTTATCTTCGAAGTCGTGGATATTCACGTCCAGGGTACAGACCTCCTTCAGGACCATGTCCATCAATGCAACACTGCGCTCAACCACGCCTTTGAGGTCATGACTGTCTTGCACATCAGCCTTGTCATCGTCATGACCAAACTGAAGGCCCTCGTCCATCAGCACTCCGAGCCCGCTGGCTGTGATTTCTCGCAACTTGCGGAGATGGGCTTGCTTTCGACGAGCCTCCGACCGACAAAACGCCACAGGTGAAAGAACCTTCCGTTGGATGTTGGCAAAGGAGCGCTCCTGAATAGTGCCACGCACAATAGCATAAAACTGACGCCATTGCTGGGATACGCCGGCAGCAGTGGAGTCGACAAGCTCGGCGGGCGAGTCTCTGACAGACAGGGACTGCAAGCGCATCCTGCTTGCGCTGTATACTTCCAGTGTCCATGCCCACAGCCGAACTGGCGACGTCTGGACAGTGTAGAGACTGCTGTAGGTGTACGAGCTCAACACATCGGACCAATACCAAATATCGTCGTTGAGTGGAATGATTTGATCGAGCAGGGAGTTGAGAATGGCGCCGTATATATGGACGGTGGCCTTGGTCACCAGCAGCCATTCGATCTCATCCTCATAAGCACTCTTGGCCACTGGTTGCCCTGCTTGGTCAAACTGCCTGATGGCATGCTTTTGCAAAGATGGCAACCCGGACTGGGCGAGGAGTGCCTTGACACGATGCAGCGGAAGCACAGAATCGGAGGCGGAAGTTGCACTGAGGGACTGGACAATCCGAAGCAACTCATCCAGTCGTGGAGAGGCGAAAGCATCAGCAGTGACAAATGCACGCTCTTGTACATCAGAACGACCATCGTCTGATGCGGCTTCTGATATTACCGGCAACCGGTCCAGATAGGCATCCAGACGGCGGACTTGGCTGGGGAAGCAAAAAAAAAATAAAAGAAAAGAAAATCAGCCCACACGGAACAAAGGCGTGCCGGCAGCAAAGGAGGGCAACCAGCACTTGGACTGGTACTTGTACTTACTCGGACACCAGCGACATGATACAGAAAAGGACAAAGCCAATGGTGAATATCGAGGCCCGTCAGCTGGAATGGAACGGAAAAGACTGGAGCGCGGCTTGGCCTCCAACGACGACGAGGCCAGGCCTAGTGCCAGACTGACAGAGCCTCAATCGGCATGGATCGAACCGACCAAGCGGGAAAGTCTGTTGATTCCGGGAGATTGTGTGGGGGAGCGAATCGGGAACAAATCCAAAGGTCTGTCAGCCAAAGGTAAATTGTTGACTGGCTCATCACACCGTGCGTGGAGTGGCCGACAGGGAACGGGTTTCGCTCTGTTTATTACGGGAATCGGCTGGGGCTGGCGAGAGGGAAATAGAATTTCTGACTTGGAGGTGGAAGCGGAAGTGCATGACCAAGAAAAGGTCCTGTCAGATTGGCCGGGTGGTCTCGTGGGGCTCCAGTCAGGCGATCCTCGTGTTCGGATCCAAGGCGAAGAGCAACGACGTTTTGAAGCAGACGGCGGAGACAAAGGCCACTCTGACGGCTTTCAGTCTTTCACAGGGACGTTGTCCACACAAGCCGGCGCAACATGGGGGGAGTAAAGAGTTTGGTCCGGGGGGCTGCGACAATTGACAACCTTGATGCTCTTCTCAAGGCAGCAGTACCCGGTAACAACCGCCATGAATCAGATCGTTGGAGACGAACAACAGGGACGTTACGTTGGGCGGTGGCAAGGCGCTGTGACGCCCGGCGACGACGCGCGTATTCGTATTTGTGCCAAGTCCTATCGATACAGAGCTACTACTTGCTATTCTCCCAGGTACGTACCCCACGGCTGGGAAGCGCGACGTTGGAGGTGGCACCACTCTCAGAACGCGGCCCCGATGGCAAGCTGCAAGCATGAGAGCTGCAAGTGCCCTGCAAGTACCGGGCTGTGCCTCCAAGCGTATCCACCGCACTGGCCACAGCCAAAGGTACCTGATCGCGTCCTCAAAGCACTTCGGTGGGTGGCGGTCTGTTTGATCGGTCCCCTGGAAATAATCTACGTGACGCTAATAATCAGGCCAGAAACGAGAAATGAACCGCGATAAAATTCAATCGGACCCCCCCGCCGCTGTCGCAGTCTGGTCCCTTTGCATCCATCAATCAGTCGTCGCCCTGCCTTGTTGTCGTTGTCAATCTTCTCTTCTCATACGTCGTTTGCACATTGTTAATCCTGCTCCTTCTTGTAATATCTTGTTCCTAGCGAGGCTCTGCCTGTCTCGCCCGTCTCTATGGACCTGGCGTGAGTTTTACGCTTCCTCTCAGCATGACGGGCCCCCTTTTGTCGGAGACGATGCACCACGGCAATGCTAACAAGCGTTCGTTTTTACAGCAACACCACCGTTGGCGCCCTGAACCAAACTCAGGATTATTTCAGTGTCTTCGAGGAGGTCTCCAGGTACAATGTCAACCTCAACTACTTCGAGCGCCTCTGGGCAGTACGTCCTCCCCTCGCCACCGCGTCTCCCTCCCTGTTCTATTTGGAACTTCGCCAGGGTCATAATCCATCGTCGGGCGGACAAAATCGTTGACCAACTGATAGGCTTGGTATCTGTACATGCAGAACGACACCCTCGCGACTGGCATCCTGAGCTTCGTCATGCACGAGCTCGTCTACTTCGGCCGCTGCCTGCCCTTTATCATCATGGACAAAATTCCCTACTTCCACAAGTACAAGATCCAAAACCAGAAGATCCCGACCCTGAAGGAACAGTGGGATTGCGCCGCCATTGTTCTCATCAGCCACTTCACCGCCGAGCTTCCTCAGATCTGGGTGTTCCACCCCATTGCCACCTACTTTGGCATGGATTACGGCGTACCATTCCCATCTCTCTGGAAGATGGCCATTCAAATTTCTATCCTCTTCGTCATGGAGGATACCTGGCACTACTGGTTCCACCGGGCTCTGCACCACGGGCCTCTCTACAAGGCTATTCACAAGATGCATCACACCTACTCTGCTCCGTTCGGTCTGGCAGCCGAGTACGCTTCGCCTATTGAGACGATGCTCCTCGGCATGGGTGTAGTTGGGTCTCCCATCATCCTGCTCTCCGTCACCGGTGACCTTCACCTCGTCACGATGTATGTCTGGATCATCCTCCGCCTCTTCCAGGCCATCGATGCCCACAGCGGCTATGACTTCCCCTGGAGCCTGCGTCACATCCTGCCCTTCTGGGCCGGCGCCGACCACCACGACATGCACCACGAGAGGTTTATCGGAAATTATTCCTCCAGCTTCCGCTGGTGGGACTTTTTCCTAGACACCGAGGCCGGTCCCGAGGCCAACAAGAAGCGTCGTGAGCGAAAGCTCAAGGCCATCAAGGACGCCAAGAAGGAGAATTAACAGTTTGATTCGCAAGTGTCGCTAGAGATGTGCACGTTTCGTTTCCTTGAATGGTCTTGACGACTAGAAGAGTGTGTTCATCAAGTTGGTAGAATCGACAATTCTGGGACTAATGGCGTGTCGCAGGAGAGGACGTGTCGGAAAGAGACATTGGAGATGAGTCCTCGTGAACGACTATAGACTAATGGTCATGCATATCATGCGGCCCAAGCCAGTCAAACAGGCAGTGCTGGCGTTCGCCCGTGGCGTTTTTGGCAAGTTGCCACACAGCATGGCACTACATGATTTATTGTACATATAACATTTTGTTGTGTCATGCCCGAGGGAGCCCTCAGATCAGAGTAGTTAATAATTCTTGACTCGGCCATTCGCTTCATTGAATGGCCGGCGGCCGCCAACATCACGAGACCAGCCATGTTTGCAGTCACACGTCGGTGCGACACGAGCCCGGAGAGCATCACCCACGGTGCCAGAGCTGCTCGTCGTAGGAGGCCTCGTCGGCATCAACACGTTCCACCCGGCGAATCTGCCTCACAAGGTCCATGGAAACCCAATCACTTGTGCGCCTTTGGCGTACAGCAACCCCCCGACAAAGAAGCAGCCGTGTCCGCAAGCCCCTTGACCTTCGCCTCGTTGCTCGCAGGCTCCGGATCCAGCTCCCCAAAGTCCCTGGCAACAGCATCGCATATCCCGGCCAATTTGACATCCTTCTCCGATAACCCCTGGGGATTATGCGTCGTCCACCGAACAAACGCGGTATTGTAGACCTGTGCCTCGTCCCGTCAGACCGGCGTTCCTCACGGGTGCAACGGACGTATCAAGGCGCACGTTTGACCATTCAGGGTGGTGGTTGTGAAGTTTGCACTGCAGCGATACGGCGGTCATGAAGTCCTGCACCAAACCCTTAGCCGTTGGCCCTGTCCTCGGCTCTCGCGTTTCCCAGCACGGCATACCCATGTCTTTGCAAACGTCTTGAACTTGAAGCTTCGCTCCAGGGCCTGCCCCTGGGAGGATAGCGCCCATCGCCCTCCGGAGGAAATCAAGAGAGGCGTGAGCGCCGATGCGGTGGAGGTTTCGTCGGTGCCTGGCGAGAACCTGGGCTGCATGGTGGAGTATGGTGCGGCGGGATAGATGCGCGAGGGAAGGGCGCCGGCGGCGGTTGTTGCTCGCAGGAGCCGGGACATGTTATCGCAGCTGTTGGTGCGATGAGGTCGAGAACTGGGTGCCGACTTGGCTGGTGGAGGGACAGAAACTTCAAGGGTCCCCGCCGCCCGCCCACGCGCGGGTGATGGAACAGAACGTCAACGTTCTCTTGAGACCGGCAGCCGCACAAAGTACCCGTCTCGGCGACCCCGTCGAGGACTTTGCACGGCTTCTTTGCGCGCCAGGATCGCCGAGGGGGGGAACTTGGTATTTACTATTTACAACGGTACACGTTCCAATCAAGTCCGGCCCTGACAACCCCGTCTTCCTGATTACCCAGAGTCCCAATATCATGGTCAAGCAGGACGCCAAACTCGTCCCGACGCCACATCTTATCCGGGTCCCGGGTGCCGACTACGTTGGCCAACCCCAGGGGCTTGCTTAGTGGGCAGAGGCCGCAGAGCACTGCTCGGTCCGATCGAAAAGTCCAAGGTCTCATGAAAGCTGACCATCATGTTCGAATTCTACACTGGGTTGGTTGCGGTCTGCGTGCGGAACTCGACGAAAATGCTGAATGTTTGGCCATGGCACACGTTCTAGTAGTGCAAATCATCCATGAGAGTTCGCGTGTGACTGCATTAGATTAGACCCGTGCTTTTTGGGCTCTTGATACATAGTTTGCAATGATACTGCTAGGATGCAGAGTATCTTGTCAAGTGACTCAAGTTTCCAGTGACAAGATACAGCGTAGCAAATCATACATCAACCAGTGTTAAGTGGAAACGTATTACGCACGCGTGACAAGTTTCTTCCAAAACTCTGTCGGATGCATACCTAGGTTTCTTTCTGGGCTGTGTCCCCAAATCACGCACCGTAAGTCGTTCAGCAGACGGAGCTGAAAGACTCTGGAAGGGACTAGGAGTTCTCACCCTGGTTTCTGGTGATTCCGGCCTCGGCCAAGTTTGGCAAGACCAAGTAATCTGGCAGAAATCCGTTATGCGAGATGGATGTCAGAGCGCAGAAGGCCGCATGGGAACATTTGATTAAAGCCGTTGTATGCGGCTCTGGTGACATGAGAAGAAGCATGACCACCTCATAAACGCTGGCAGAATCGGGCAGTCTCGAGATGGTGAGCTTGAGACAGGATGATGACCCGCTTTTTAGTGTTGTTCGATCCTCTTGTTGCTGACAAACCAGACTGTTGTTGGGTCCGTCCTTGACCGACGCCTCCTCGGCAACAGAACATCTCGAAGCTAAGCTCTCACAGAAGCAGCAGGGTCTCGTGGGGATGCTCAGGTTGATGCTGAGGACCTGGAGAAGTGAATAGTCGTTGGTATCGATATTGACATTGTCACTGCCATTGGCATTGGTAAGAAGTGAACCGCGAACCCATGGTCGTCTCGTCCTGACTCCTGTGGACATGGCTGGGGACAACTGGGAGAATGAAGTTGAGATGACATTAAAAGCCAGCAACCAGTCGTCACGCCCTCCATGCCAGATGTCGTCTCGGGAGGTCCACTTTGCTTCGTTGCAGCCCAGCCACACCATTTCCCGCTGCGTGCAATATGTAATACATAGTCCGTGTTCCGCAGCGGCTGTTGATTGATGAATCGAGGAGTCGAGGTGCAACTGCTAATGTTCAAGGCTGAGTGGTCATGCAGATGCAGGCGCAGAGGGGCCCATGGAACCGATGTAGGGACGTGGACGACCGGGAGACAAGCTGAACTCTCCGTGCCAAAGACCTGGAGACATGCAGATCACGTAGTTGGTCTTTCTAGTTATTATTAGCAGTTGGCTTCACGCTTTGTTTCCGGCAGTCTTATTTTCGTTACATAAGCCGATTCCCATGACTCCGCTCCTTCCTGGCCTGGCGAGTGTCACCATGTCATGGAAGCGCGACTGGCTTGCGCTTTGTCGGCGCGTGTGGGTACATGTGTGGGTGCCACCTTCCCACTCTAGCCGCACCAGTCCAGGGCAAGAAAAGGCTAGTCCGCACCTGCCCATCCTCGGGGTCCTCTTTTTTCCCACGTTCACGTCAGCACTCCGTCTCCTGCGCAGTATGTAATCCTCGCCTCGCGCATCTCGAATGCTGAGTCAGAATATCCTATCCCAAGCAATGCAGCAACCATCGAGCTCTGGGAATCAAGGTAAGTCAGCAAGATCCTCTTTCTCCCTTTGCATCGCACACGACCGCCGTGCCTCTTTTTGGACGTGTGTAAAACACCTGCACGCTTGCCAACTGCATGCTTTCCTTTCCACGCCAGCCAGACCTTGTCCAGAATCGCATCGTCTTTTGCACCATTGCGCGGGCTTCTGTGCGCTTGTTGGCCGAGGCTGGCCGTCTTGGTCAAGTGACGACCAGCGGCTTGGGACCTTGCGCGCACTTTTGATACTTGCCTGATGCTGCGGCTTCCGGTTTAGCAACCTTGCTCAATTGCTGCGTTTTTCCTGCTCTGATTTGTGCTCGGGGCGGCGGCTGCCCTTCTTGGCTGCCCAAGGGTCCCCGGAGTGTCGGACTTCGTGGGAGGATTCTCAGGAAACACGAGAGACAGACGTCGCTGACACGGATTGCCGTCTCTCATTCTAGAGCAGCACTTGCGCGCACAATTGGAGCTCCTACAGAGTCACGACGCGAACGCATCGACAGCTTCAGGCTCGTGCAACTCGAGAAACGCCACTTCTGACTCTCCGCCGGCGCGAACGGCGAATGGATACGAAGAATTGGCCGCTGCCTCACACGAAGCTGCTCGCGCCTTGAGGAAGACCCAAGCCGAGTCGCATATCCACCCAGATCTCCGAGCCTCCCCAGGCCACCCATCCAGCATGATGCCCATGGGACCGCCTTCTGCACACAGCCCTGGGGCCAGTTCATCCGGGCCGGTCAATGCTTCCATAGCCCCTGCGCCGTCTTCATCGGTCCCCGAACCAGGTGCTGTTGGTGATGGAAGGAAGGCAAAACGTGAGCTTTCTCAGTCGAAGCGCGCGGCGCAAAACAGAGCAGCACAGGTAGGTTTTCTATTGCTTCTGATTCGGCTCTGAAACCTCATCATCATACACGCACCAAACCACACCGAAATTCCCAGGGTAGCAGCTAATATTGCGTGCAAAGAGAGCATTCCGGCAGCGCAAGGAGGGCTACATCAAGAAGCTCGAGCAACAGGTGCGAGATTACGCCGAGATGGAGCAGACATACAAGGCCGTGCAAGCCGAAAACTACGCCCTTCGTGAATACGTTATCCATCTTCAGTCGAGGCTCATTGATACCCAGGGGGACTATCCGCCTCCGCCTCCCAATATTAATTTATCTCAATCCTCTGCAGCCCAGCCCCCTCCTGCCAGTGCGCCAGAGCAAGTGGCAAATGCTGGAGTTGGAACGCCGCTTGAAGCTGTTGCTCAGGCGGTGGCTGGTCTTGCCGCTCAGGAGCAATTGGCCGAATGTCAAGGGCGATATCCCAGCCCCGTCTACAAGCCCGAGTCACGCGATGAGGATAGTCGAACCGTCGAGGAAATCAACAGACAACTTCAACAACAGAGCGAAGAAAGCGTCAGTCGATCAACAGACGTGTAGGGGTCCTGCAGACGTGAGATTTACCCCCCCTCAATGGGCACTCCAGGCTTCTCTAGCTTTTATTTCCGGGGGCGTTGTGGGATACCTGTTTCGAGGTCGTTTTTAGTTGATTTATCATGGCGTTATCGGCGTTTGCAACGTGATACGGAGTCTGAACTGGATGACTGCGATGACCACGTGAATTCGCCACGTCGGTCGGTCGCGGTCAAGCCCAGCAGAAGAGCAAGGGGCCAGAGAAATTTGTACAGCGGGTTGGCGTTGAACGTATGATTTGCTCAATAGGGAAGGGAGTATTGTGGAGTGGTCTATGAATGCTGGCTAGATGATGGGACATGTCCCGCTGATCGTGAACCCGAAGTTATTTCACCAGGAATATCACTGTCCCCCTTTATGCTTCTTGGACGCCATGGAGGAGCCAAGTTATATTTTCAAACACTGGTCTTGTTTCTTGACTGGCTACGCTATTCCATGTTTGTGCGTGAATTATTTTCTCTATTCAGTACCTGACGAGACCCCGTACATATAATACATGGCACTTGAAGACAGCCGCATCTTGACTCCGACGTCCCATGACCGATTTACCCATCCATATTTTCAAGCATACGAGTTGCCCATGTCATGCTCCTATTTCTCCCACATTAGCACGTAAACGAGTCTCTTGCTTGCCGTGGAAAACACAGACGCAGTAGCCGAAAAGAAAAAAAAAGAAAAAAAAAACGTACCTTGATATACTCTGGTCCCTGTTCGCGATACTCCTCCCTCGTAATTGTAGCCGCCTTCCACGCCGGCGTCCCCGCCCAGCCGGCGGCACCCTTCCACGCATCCAGCAAGGCATCCTGCGCACGACGCACCTTCAACTCCGAATCGGCGGGCAGCAGCGCCCTGAGACCCTCACGAACACGCTGGTCAAAGTTCTGGAACAGGGTGTTCCCGCCGGTGAGGAAGATGTCCTTCAGAAAGGCGTCGCGGTCAGGCACACCGCTCAGGCGCTGGTTCAGCACGTCCCCCGCGATTTCGATGATGCCGGTCTGGTCGACGCCCGCTATGGACGGGCGGAACACAACCTCCGGGACGCGGATGCGCTCCACGTTGAGATGGATCTGGTTGAGCTGTGCCTGGGAGGCCGAGTCGAAGGGGCGGGGCCCGCGGGCGAAGGCGTGCAGCAGGGACTTGGACCAGTCGGACTGCGCCTCCTGGGTTTGCTCGTAGTCAAAGTCCGGATCGTACTGGAGGAGCTCCTGCTCGAGGTTCCTGAGGCTGGTGGCGAGGTCCTCCTCCTCCTGCTCGTCCTCGCTGTTGTCACCGACGGCGATCTGGCGATAGACGCCCCAGTCGTCGTCGTTGGCGCCGAAGTCGTCGTCGTCCCCGCCGCGGCGACGCTTCTTGGTCGTATTCTCGGAAGCGAGGTTGGCGATGCTCTTCATGCGGATCTGGGAGGCGAGGGATTTGCGGTTTCCCAGATCGGCCTTTAGGCGGTCGCGCTCCTTGATCTTCTGGAGGGTCCGGAGGCGAGCCTGGCGCTTCTCCTCGAGCCAGTTGTCGAGGTCGTTTTCGCGGCGCTCCTTGTCGAGGCGCTCCTCCTCGGCGACCCGCGCCTTCTCGGCCTCCTTCTCGGCCTTGGCGCGCGCGCGGGCTTCGTGGTTGGATTTCATGAGGCGCTGTTGGCGCTTCTGCTTGATCTGCGCCTCGTCGAGCTGGTCGTCGGGCACGTCGAGCAGGTCAAAGTTGGGCTGTTCCTGGTCCTCTTCGGGGTCGCCGCCGACGTCCTTTGTGCGCGCCTTCTTGATGGACTTTTCCAGCTCCTTGATGATCTTGTCGAGCTGGTTTTCGTCCTTGATCTCGTGGCTGTCCAGCTGGCGGCGGATTTCCTTCTTGGTCTCGTCGACAAGCTTTGCCTGTAGGTTCTTGTAGTACTCGAGGTCTTGTTCCTTCTTCATCAGCTTTTCGAGCCTCATCTTGGCGGCCTGTTGCTGTAACCGACGGCCGCTCTCCTTCTTGCGTTCTGCTATCCTGGCGAGCTCCTCCTCGGTTTTCTGGACGACGACTTCCTCTGTGTAGGGATACTGGATGACGACGTCTCTGTCTTCCAGACCTGTCCAGTCGAGGTAGTTTTTGATTTCTTCGTCGTAGTTCTTGGATACGTAGCAGTGATCCCGGATCATGTGCTCGGCCTGTGAGCCGTTGAGTTTGGCATTGAAGGCAGGGTATTTCAAGCGGATAAGCTTGAGGAGGTACTCGGCGCCGTGATACCCTCCCCAATTGAGCCTGATCGCCTGGCCGAGAATCGCCTTGGCGTTGTATACTGGAATGACGTGCGTTGAAGTGTGGGATGATGAGATGACGAGGCCTGTGTTTCCCCTGTTTTGTCGGTACGAGAAGAGAGAGTCGATGCCGTAGGCCAGCGATGGCGCGCCGTAGCACTCGAAGATGATCTCAGTCATTGCTGGAGCGCCTTGTTAGTGGTCCGACTCTCACAGAGTGCGTGAGCGGGGAGCTTGGGCAGACATTTTCTCGAGTACGGCAGATTGGCAACGGCCTCTGTCATGACAATGGGGACGTCTACCGATCCGTCGCTTGATTCGTTGAGCCCCAGTTTGAGGAATACATAGTCCAGGACGTGCTCCATGACGTCCCAGTTACTCACGATGCCCGTGCCGGCCTCGAATGCTCCTCGGATATGGCCTCGAGCTGTCGTGTCGGCGTAGCAGTCGGATCCGGCAAACGAGAAAGTCTTGCCGAACTTGCGATCGCGATACTTGGCCATTATCGGGGGCATGCTGAACCGCGGCGCCGACTCAAAAGACCACCCGGCACGGACGGCCCAAGACCCTGCGTCGTCGTACGTGTCAGCTTGATTCGGGCTTGGGCAGTTTGACGTGCAGGTTCGCCATCCACCATCCATCCATCAGACTTACCATTGTCGATGACGATGGCAGCATCGCCCCCGTGTTGCTCGAGGGCCTTCTTGTATCCATCAGCCTGAGGCTCAATGTACTTTTCGAATCGAGTCTCCTTGACAGGGAAGATGTTGGCGGCGGGATACGCCTTCTCGTCCGGGCGCCTCTGCTTCGGGTCGTCTATCGCGGAGGGAGCCATGGCTGGCGTCTTTGTATGTCGCAAAGCTTGAGTCGAAGTCACCAGGTAGCTGCGGTTATCATGTTGAGGGCCAGCGTTTCCGGCCGGTTCGGCGAGAAGGGCGCCCGTGGATGACGGACTTGGCTGGTGCGCGACAGGCAGTTGAAGGGAAAGCGAAGGAATTCAAAGTGTTGGCGACGCCTCCAAGAGACCGAGAGAGGCCAAAAGAGCCAATGCGAGGCTACGAGGCTGATGACGGGAGGGGAGGCTCTCTTGCTGGTGGGTCTCGTAGTCTCGTCGTCTCGCACCATCACGCCCCTGCGGGTCGCAGGTTGCTCGGATCGTGGGGGGAATGAGTGCGAGGCTCGTTTTGTCATTTCACGCCCTGTGCGCCATTTCGCGTTGTTCTTGTGCTCACAGAGGCAAATTCGTACACAAGCCAGAATTGCACTTGATAGTGATGCGTTTATATATGTTGAACTAAGTACAGGGGTTGTCCCGCCATCATCCAATCCAACCCTTCACTCTGCTCGACACACCCCAAGCCTTTGTTCCAGCCAAGATATGTTTGCCCGTACCCGTCGCTATGAGGGTGGTTTGAGGTTGTCCGTAGCTGGAGCACCGATCAACACGCGTTTTCTGGACAATCAAGCATGCAACTCACCTTCCAGATGGAAAAGAACGTTGGACTGATAGTTTTTAAACATTTGCGCCACCAACTCGACATTCATGTTTTGAATGTTGATTTCCTGATTGACGCCGAGTCAACACGGTCTCTATTCCTCATCGCAGTTGGGGATGTCATGTGTACCTGAAGGCTTTTGTTCATGACAATGACGGCCTCGTTTAGTTTTTCCTAGCAGATGGTCAGCCGGTGGCGTATTTCCGCATGGATGGATGGTGAGCTGTAGTACCACGTTGGTCACGATGCGAGACAACAGCAAGTTCTGCTGGTGTTCGTGCGGGCTTTCCTGCATCAACACTTGAGTACATCCATGGTTTCAGATTGAGTGGTCTCAAAGAAGAAAAAGCTCACCATCCTTTTGCTCTCTTCCAACAATGCTCTCGGCAAATCACTCAGGCTGTTTCCAATAAGAGATCCTGCTGCACGGCTGGAGCCCGGTGGTGATGGATAGCGGCGAGTGGCCACATTGGGATGCGGTGGGACGCGGCAGAACAGCAGTAATTGGTATGCGACGAGCACCACCACCATCTGGCCCGTCCAAGCCGTGACCGCAGTCAGACACTTGCAATCTTTTTAAATAAAAATACAAGGCTCCCTGCTTCCCCCGAGACTAGTTTTCTCATCGCGAAACGCCCCTCAAAGCTCCTCAAAATGGCTACTGCTACCCCCACCGAAGCCCAGATCCAGCACCAGCAGCTCATCGAGCAGCTCGATATTCACTCGATCCACAAGACCTTTAGAAACCCCCATTGGAAACCAAACCAGCGCCGAAACAAGAACCTCAAGGCCATTGTAGGCGATGCCTCTAGAAGAGAAGCGTCCGCACTGGCGACACCTCAGGAGGGAAGTGGAAATGCGACGCCCGCAAGAGAAGATGGCTTGTCCACAAGCGGAACCTCAACGCCTGCCACCACCAACGGCCGAGACCAAGCGCCGAATCTCGCTCAAGCATCGCGGAGTCTTTCAAAGCTGGTCCTCGAGAAGAGTTTGAAGCCAGCAGGGGCCATAGCTTCTGCACCGACGGCAACATATACCAATATCGAATCAGCGCCATCACTGGCTCACTCCAAGCACTACTGCGACGTCACGGGCTTGCCTGCGCCATATCTCGACCCCAAGACCCGAATGAGATACCACAACAGAGAGGTCTTCGCTTTGATTCGGTCCCTGCCGCAGACTTCTGCTGAACAGTTTCTCGAGGCTCGTGGCGCACATACCGTACTGAAGTGAGCACTATCTTGGTGCTGGCCGACACACGTCCGCTCGCGGCGCTCCTAGTTACATTTGGCAAGCCGCCTGGGGAAACCATTCAACATGTGCATGGGGAGACGGGCCAGGCCCAAGCGCTGTCATGTCCGACTATCAAAACCACATACAACAAGCCGTCACGATAGGACAATGTCCGACCAACAAAGTCAAGCCTCAACTATGCATCCCCAGCCTTTCAGTCAAGGATGGCAAATGACGCTCCGGCTTAATCGTGATCCATTTTTGCTCTTTGCCCAAGCTGTGAAAGCCGACAAAGTACCGAGAATGCATCGAGGCAAGCAATCTCAGTTGCCAAAGCTCAAGACCTTGGCCGTCGGGGCAACGTGTACTAGTAGTAGTAGCAAAGACAACATCATGGCAACTATTTGTCAACCACTGCCAATATATTGAAGCTCCTGCGCTGGTTCTGCAGTACGCGATCTGGAAATCGTTCGTGCATTCCTCAACTTCAAAACACACAAGTTGGAAAAGAAGTGTGAAGCCACAAGTGGTCATGATTGGGAAAGCCACTTGGCTAGCCACACGAGCGCGCATCCGCTAGATCAATCCCAGCACAGCAGAACAATGACGGGCGTGTCGAAAGGAATAGACTTCGTCGAGCCATCAGACGACGTAACCGCGAAGGGTCAATCGAGCCTCTGCCAGTCTCGAAATTTTATCTCGCCAGCAAGAAGCAAAAAAATTGACTAAGCAAGTGGCCCCATTTCCCGCAACCGCAACGGCGCTAAACCACGTTCGTTAGACTTTCCCCCCAAGGCTACACCTCATGAAAGCGCGTGCCTGGCCCTAAGTGCTAGAGGACGGCTATTGCTACTACTATCAAAATTCAGTCTAGTGGCTAGCTTCCCACACCACTATATATATTTTTATATACACCTGTATAGTTAAAGCTGCCCTTAATTAAATAAAAAAGTAGTTAATTGTTATATGTTAAGGACTAGCCCTATAGGAAACTACATATAAGCGTTACTGTGATAGACTAGCCCTATTAGGCCATAGCGGGTGCCAGCCGCAGTCATCCCGGTGGTGTGCCGGACCCCTTGACCGTTGAGTCAAAAGGGTACGTATTGAACAAGCTGCCCACAGCTTGCTCAATCTGGCACTATATAGGTCTCTCTCTAGCACGGGCTTATGTCCCCTATCGCGCGCAGTGCAGTGCATCTATTGCAGCGCATCCATTCCATTAAGGTCGAGCATAGCTCAGACCATAACAGTTACTAGTATTAACTATAAACTTAGAGAGAGAAGAGAGAAAGGAAAAAGTTCTCTATTCTCTCTTTCTTATACTTTATTATATATACATAGGTCCTAATATATATCCTAAAAGTATTTAATAAGGTAGTAATATAGTGCTCAATATATACTTAAGCTGTAAGCTTAAGTCTATTGTATACTTTTATTTCTATAGGCTTATATATATATATATATATATATATATATATATAGTTATAAGCAGTAAGGACTTAGTATATAGTAGTACTAACTTAGTAGGGGTAGGTATATAGAGTTTAGTTACCCTAGCAACTATACGCCCTGGTAGCCCCAATAGCAATAGCCCTAGAGGACCCCGTACGCCAAGCTGTCCCTTCGCATCCGTCGACCGAGACCACATGCAAGCTCGGAAGGGAAAGCGGAACGTTAAATAAAAATAAAGGCCAAAATTTCCCTCCTTCACCCAGCATTCGCATTGAACTCGCCCTGTCCCGAGCCGAGACCTTCTCTTCCACCCCATCCGACATCCCCGCCAGCATTCGACGTCTGCCTTTTTTTCCCAAACAAATTCGGAAACAGCAACCACCCGCCATGTCGATGTGGATGTCCGACTCCCAGAGTACGCCATGGCCCAAGGGACCCCTCGGCACGCGCGACACGGCGAGCTCGCTTCGCTTCGTCGCAACGTGCACGGCTCGGCCGTAAACCGGGCCCGAAACCGAACCTGAGAAACGCTGTGCTGACGAGTGCCTACAGAAATCGGGGTGGTTTTCTGCTCCGGCGGTACGTGCGCCGGCCGGCCGGCATTCGCTCGCGTCGCCACGAACTTGTTGAGCGCCCGACGGCTAACATGTTCCACTGTCAGGAGGACTCTTCCTCATCGGAGGAGTGATGCTCTTCTTTGACCGCGCCATGTACGTGCGCGCGCCGCGCCCCGGCCCCCCTCTCTCAGGCCCTCGCAGCGGTGACTAATTGGCAGCAGGCTTGCCATGGGAAATGTGCGACTGCCCGCTCCCCTCGATCCCTCGAGACGCCCTCGCTCGCGCCTTGTCGGCGGGGAAAGATGAAGAAGAGGAAGAATAAGAGGAAGAAGAAGAAGAAGGAGGAGAAGAAACTGACGCAGCGCGTAGATCCTCTTCCTGATTGGCCTCACCATCATCATCGGCCCCAAAAAGACCCTTCTCTTCTTCGCGCGCAAACAAAAAGCCAAGGGCACAGCGGCATTCTTCGCGGGCCTGACATTGATCTTGATGCGCTGGACGCTCGTCGGCTTCTTGGTCGAAGCGTACGGGATAGTCGTTCTATTTGGCGACTTCTTGGGCACGATTGCCGGCTTTGCGAGGGGAATACCCGTTGTTGGACCGTACATTGGCATGGTGGTTGATAGGATAGGACTGGGCCGTCGGAATGCGGACTTGCCAGTTTGAAAAGGTGGCCGCAACGAAGTGAGATGCTGCTTCTACAGCTCCAAATGAATGCATTTTGGAATCATTGGTCGAAAGGCCGGTGGGAATTGGGCGAGGGACGAACAATCTACAATAGAGTACGTGCAGGTGTTTTGGGAGCAGGAAGGATTTCCAAGACGCCTGCTTTTTGACTTGATATAGACTAATTTCCCATTTCGGGACAAATGTACGCAGGGACAGGCGGACTCGAGTTCCGGGCTTAGAGGACGGGAACTAGCAAGGAATACTGTATTATATTGCATAGCAGAGGATGGATGACGGGGAAACAACCCAAGATCGGAACCGGGCCTGTGGCCGGCGACGTATAAATGCTACTACTAGCGCATTTTCCCTCTGCTCTGCCGGTTTCTTGGGAGAGGCGTTCTTGGGAATGAGTCTTGTATCCCGGAACTGTGTGAGAATTTCCTCCTCTGTGCGGTACATGCTGTTTTGTTCCTTTGGTTTCATTGCCCACGAACTACACACTTCGTCACCGGTCATGTCGACGAAGGCAGCAAACTTGGGAGTAACAGGCGGCCGGTTGAGTTTTATAAACACCTAATCTTCATATATGTTCGTAGCATCTTGCCATGTCGACTTATTTTGTATAGCTTCATCTCGTCATACATATCCTTCCCGCGTCTAGTATCCCTGTCCAACAAGGTAGTCAGCCAGTCCTTCGACAGTCGAGCTAGCGTTGCCAGCAACGCCAGTCTCGGCGTGGTGGCCAACAACAATGGCCTGCTTGGTCTTGGCGATGGCGACGCCCAGTCGACCCTACACATGGGAGCAAAACCCAAACCACATTAGCTTGCACGACGGGGGGGGGGAAGGGGGTTTTTCCCCAGCCAAGAAGCTCTCCGTACCTGTCTGGCGTAGATACTTCGACCATCGGCTCGGGCCATGACATATCGGCTGCCGGCAATGTAGAGTCCTTCAGCGAATGCTTTGTCTTTGGCGGCATCGTCGCCGCCGACAATAGCAGAAATGGCCTTCATCTCGTCCGGCTTAAGCTATTGTTGACGATGATGAGAGTCGCGGGAGCATCAGTCAGCTGTCTGCCTCGAGATCTGCATGTAATATCGCTGCTGTCGGAGAGGCTCCATCCGAGAGGGGAGGAGAGGCGACACTGTGGTGTGAGAAGCTGGAAAAAATTACCTGGAAGTCGGCCGAAGCAGCCCAAACGCTGTCGCCGGCTGCGCTGATAATGGCGGCCTTGTCAATGTGACCGGTAGCCACGAGGCTGGACAGGAGTTGGAGTTAGTATTTTTTTTCTCCCCTGGTTCTTATATAATCGGGAGCGACGATGGGAGTTTCCGGGAATGGAGGGCGCAGGTCTACCTGGAATCGATATAGGCTGGATGGCGGAGGAAGGGTGCGTTAGTCAAGCATGATGGATACGAGTTGTGGTGATTGGGGGGGGGTTTGTTGATTGGGAGCGGTGGGAGGGTACCTTGCCACGACATGGTGAGAGCTTCTGGGAGTGGGAGAAGCAGAAAGCAAGAAAGGGAATGCGGGGATCAAACGACAATATTGGACGCCGCTCCTGAGCAGTAGTTTGCGCCGACAGCAATGCAAGACGAAGGGGTATGAAGGTCAAAGGTGCAAGTTTGTTTGTGTGATGGGGACTCTGGAGCCGGTCGAGCACCCGCCGCTTCTGCCCCTCCTCTCGGGGTCGGGGTCGGGGTCGGTTGCGCGCGTGTCATTTTTTTGATTGTCTTTGCTCATCCGAGATTGCGTTGACCCAATGGATCAGCCCGAGCCAGCCAGCCAGTGTCGACTTGGGCGCGCCGAGGTTCCCCGCCGTGATTTTTGTGAGCAGGTACTTAAGTAGGTAGTTACTTAAGGTAGGCACCTTGAGAGCTAGGTACTCAGAACGGTCACTACAAGATACCTTGGGCACTTGATGATGGTGATGTTGGTGATGATGGTGATGATGATGATGATGATGCAAGTGCTCACACGTGCACCTTTTGGCGTCAACGGGTGTCAGCTCCCAGCATGCATGTCTGTTTTACTTTGTAACCGTTCTTCCGTCACAAGTAGTACTACTGAGCTGCCTTTTTGTCACCATCTTATCTTATCTTGTTTGTACTCAAGTACGGAGTACATTCCTTCCTTCCTTCCACCCTCGTCAAGCCGCCATTGGCCATGGCGACAAGAGTCAGCACGCACCCAACGGCTTGGCTGCAGCCCCTAGCAATGTATCCCAGATTCAATCTGCCCATCCCCATGTACGTATATTCCAGGAGAGCTACATCTCAATATCTGATGATTAATGCCCGCGATGAGTCGTTGCCTTGTCGGGATACGACAGTGAAATACCCCGTCACTGGTGCCCAAGTAAGTACCTGGGTACCTCCCTGCCTCATCCGTTGATGGTTGGCATCTTCATCAGTCTCAACTCCGAGGTGGCTGCGTCCCTTTAATAACATCATGCCGCATACTGCTTGAAGTACTGCATCTTGCAAGTGTACCCGATTAGGTCCCTGGTAGTTGGACAGGCGACTTCTTTGCCACTCTTGGTCACATTTCTGGGTTCACTTTGAGACCCGGGAAGCATAACCAACATCGCCACCGCGTTTATGCAAGTGTTTATTCGCCCTTTCTCGTCTGACGCCATTCAAACATTTTAATTTCTTTCTCTGAAACTCTAGCGTCTAGTATTTATATGCCCCTAAGGGAATTCTGATTATAATTACTATTCCAACGCTCCCTATTCGACTACGTCAGACAGTCGCGGGAGACTTTTACGCGTTTCGTGTCAGGAATACAGATTGTGGACCCGGGAAGACAGAAGAACCTATTTCATCTGGCGATCCCATTCTGTATCGTCATGGGGGGGGGGAGGCTTGTGGCCATTCACAGTCGCTCTCGCTTGACCAAAAAGCGGCGGTACATGATTCTCTGCATTTAATTGCCAAGTTAATAGATAGTATTTGCTCGGCTCATTACCACAACAATCAGCACAGTTGCGAAAGCGCAATCGGAAATGCGACATCCGGCTGGATACATCCTGTGACAAGAAGACGTCAATTCAATTATTAAGCTCCAAAGGCTCCTTTGCCGCCCACATTCTCATGCATTCCAGCTCCATAATTCTCTTCTGCGCACAAGGAGTATGGACTACGGAGTACGCTCTGACCCCAATTCTTTGACTGTGTTTCAGAGCCGTAGTAGCCCAGAACACGAATTTGGCGGGTGCTGCAGTAGTCGAGATTTCATTTCGAGCGCTACCCTGGCTGGGCTTTGTGACTTGGAAGAAAGAGTAGTAAGCAGCGCAACCTGGTTGAAATGCGATTATCCCTGACATTGTCACATTCATCTAGGTTCTTGCTTGAAATTCGACGTCTCGACATCACTACTCAGACCCCCCCCCCCCCTCCCCC